CGAGGTCAGGGAGGTCACCGAGAAGACCTCGTTAGGAAGCCAAACCCAGGCACTGCGGGGAGAGACCCTGGCCTGACCTTGCCCACTGCCTCCCCAGACATGGGAAGGAGAGAGAGAGACGGAAAGAACTGGAATGGGGACGACTCCCCACAACACACACCAAGGCCAGAGGGAGCCCTTGCACAAGACAGTCTGCGTGTGTGTGTGTGTGCGCGTGCGCGCGCGCGCACGGGCACACACACATTTCAGGGCACCTCGGTGGGAGACAAACCACTCCAACTCATAGCCAGGGTCCAATCCACCACAAATTATTCCCTGCAAAAGCTCCCTTCATTTCAACAAGGCTTGCGCAACAAAATCCCTGCTAGACTCAGGCCCTGAGTGGGGTGGGGGTGGGGGTGGGGGTGGAGAAGCATCCTTTGGGTTTTCTGCCACTGGCTGCCTACACACAATGCAATGAAAGCACATGACTCTCCCCCCCCCCCCAAGAATCCTGGGAATGGCCGTTTCCCCATCACAGCACTACAATTCCCAGCACCCTTAGCAAACTTCAGTTCCCAGGTTTCTTTGAGGGAGGCCATGTGCTTTCCATAGTGCACATGCAGCCCAAGAAGCATGTTTATATATATATATATATTTATATAAATATGTTTATATATTTATATATATATATATATATGTTTATATAGCTCTTCTTAACAATGTCCCAGGACGGTTCACAAAATGAAATTTGAAATATCGCAGAACTAGATACAACATACTCAAATCATTAAAACTGACAGTGCCACGGAAATAGCTCTGATAGACAAGAGTTCATTCCCTCAGCGTCTTTACATCCTCCCAAGGTCCCCAAATGCCCAAGCGGACCCCTCCAGGGCTTCTGAATGCAAATCTAAGAAAATGAACTAAGCACAAATATGAGGTATAAGAACATATAAGAAGAGCCTGCTGGATCTGGCCAATGGGGGACCATCTATCCCATCATCCTGTTCTCCCAGTGGCCATCCAGTTGCCTCAATGGGAAACTCACAAGTAAGACTGGTACACAAGAGCCCTCTCTCTTCCTGCAGTTCCCAGCAAGTGAGATTCAGAAGCCTTGCTGCCTCTGACTATGGAGACAGAACATAAGCCATCCAGGCTAGTAGCCATCAATAGCTTTCTCCTCCATGAATTTGTATGAATTTTTGCCTTGAATGTTTTCCTGCTTGACATTTTTTTTGGGGGGGGGGAGGGGAAAGGAACTGAAAAATCTTATGCCTCGAGAACATTCATACATGATATTATCTCTACTGTCACACGGCATATGCAGAAGCCATTAGATCTCCTCGCTCTGGTTGCGAGGAAACAAGATCTTAACAGCAAGATTAGGTGGGTGGGGAGGTGAATTCAAATTCAGACGGGAGTCCTAGAGACCAAGCAGGTGAGAAGACTTTCCTCCTGACTCAGAGGAGGCAGAGATCCCATGGTCCTATACACCATTCTAGACATATCTACTCAGAAGCAACCCTCTGTCCTTTCAGTGGGGCTTAGCCCCAGGTAAGTGCTGGCAGGACAACATTATGAGAACTTGGTCTGCCCAAGAATTTGCTCCCCTTTTGCTCCTCTTCTTCTCCTGCTGGCCTAACCCTGTCGCAGCATCAGGTCAGGAGGACTAAAGGAAAGGCAGCCCCAAGACAGCTGTGCCATCAGCATCGGGCCCTGCCAGCTTCCCAAGGATGCCAGCTGCTGCTCTGACGGGGACTGATTAGTTGGTCTCTCAGGAGGGGAGAAAAAACGAGTTTTTAATGAGGAATTAAAAGCTGTGCTGGTGAGCAGCAGGCCAGGCCTGGGGTGTGGGCAGGCCACAACAGAGCCGTGGGCAAGGGCTCGGGGTCTTTTCCAGCTACAGGGGCGCAGATCTCCCTCTTTCCACTTTTTTTTCAAATGCATAAAGAAAACCTCCTCTTAGTGGCTAGGTGCCTTGCAAAGTGGTGAGACCCCAGCTAACAACAGAGCCTAAGAAGAGCCTGCTGGATCAGGCCAATGGTCCATCTAGTCCAGTATACTGTTCTCACAGCCCAAGAAGATGCCCCAAAGGGAAACCCACAAGCAGGATCCGAGCGTAAGAGCCCTCTTCCATCCTGCGGTTTCCAGCAACTGGAGTTAAGAAGCATTGTTAGGCAGAACAGAGCCATCTTGGCCAACAGCCATCAAGAGCCCTTTCCTCCATGCCCCCTGCCTTCATTTCTCAGAGGCTTCCACACACAAAAAGTATCCCGTGCCATGGGGTGTTCTCTTTTTCCTCGGCTGCTCCTTTTTTTTTCTTCTTTTTTTTTCATAAATGATATTTATTCCAAATTTAAGATTACAAAAAAGAAAAAGAAAAACCATACAAAATACAGAAAGAACTTTAACCATAACAAAACATAAAATGAACAAATAACAAAAAGACAATAAAATAGAATATAAAAAAGACTTAACAAAAAATATAAAAATGCATTGAATTGAAATAAGACAAAAAACAGATTAAACCTTTACTTAGCCTTTTCCCCTTTACTTATTTCCATGACCTCCTCTCACCTCCCAACTTTGTATTCTAGTTCAAATCGTATTTCCAGCAAATCCTTCTAACCTTCTTTTCATTTACGTATTTTAAAATTAAAATAATGTAATTAATCCTCCTCTATTTCATCAATTTCCATACCTCATTTTTACTTAGTCCATTATATCATATCTGCCAAAATGACCTAATATTCTTTTTCCAACCTCTTTCTAACATTCTCTTATATTGCAGTATTTTTGAAGATATATTTTAATTTTTTTCCAGTCTTCTTCCATCGACCCTTCTCCCTGGTCTCGATTCCTCGGCTGCTCCTGTTCAGTCTGGGGACAAGGGCCTGGGCTTGGCCCCCTGAATGGCCCCCTCAGTGCTGCCCCCTCTGCCTGCCTGCTTGCATACCCTCCAACATTCACCCCCCCAATGGAAATAGGGACGTTCTAAGGAAAAGTGGGACATCCTGGGATCAAAACAGAAACCGGGATGGCTTCTGTAAATCTGGGACTTCCTTGGACAATCGGGACACTTGGAGGGTCTATGCCTGGCAACCATAACCCACCCCCTCTCCTGCTTCTAGACCTTTTGCATGGGGCCAGAAGAAAGGAGGAGAAAGGAGGGCCTGTAAGGTCACCATACGTCCGGGGTTTCCCAGACATGTCCTCTTTTCAATGGCCAATATCTCCTTCTCGGTGGATTTTTACAGTTTACAAGAATTGTCCAGGGTTTTTTTGGGGGGGGGGCATGCATGCACTTGGGAGGCTCCCAAACCTCAGCTGAGCCAGCCGTGTGTGTGTGTATCCTCTTTTTTGCTCTTCCAAATATGGCAGCCCTAAGGGCCTTCATTTCACAGGGATCAGTGGACATGGTTGGGCTCTTTGCCCACCTAGCTGGGTACCTGCCCTGGTTGGCAGCAGCAGCAGGGGTTGCAGGCAAATGTCAGAAGGAGCTCTTCCTCCCATGCCAACTTGCCTTCATGTGAGGACCTTCAGGTGAGGAGCTTCTCCAAGGACTGTCCGTTTGTGCCTCATGTATGCATAAGGAAAGGGTCTTTCCTTCAGTGCTTACCCCCCTCCCTTGACTTTGGAATACCCTAAGAAAGTTTGATGGGCGCCAGCATTCCACCATTTCCATCAGCACCAGGTCAAAATGTTTTTATCTGCTTATCATCATCTTAAACACATCTGATGGCCTGTCTCCATCTCTCTCTCTCTCTCTCTCTCTCTCTCTCTCTCTCTCTCTCCTTTTCAGTATTATAAATCGTCCCCTCTCGGTCTTGCTTGAAGAATGTTGTTGTTGCCTTATTGCAGACTGACCTGGAATCCGTCAAGAGGAATATATACTGTATTTAGAGCGCGCTGTGATATAAATAATTGCAGGGTTCTTGGCGTACAACAACACTGAAATAACAGCAAACCACAAAAACAATAAATTAATGCAACACTGGAAACTCCAACAGCAGAGAGTAAGATCGACAGGGCCAAGCCTTTCAAACAGCACAGAAGAAATACATCTGACTGGGATCTCATTCAGAAGACTAGGAGCTTAAACGTTTGAGCAGTTTTAAGTGGTTTTAAAAGGCCCAGGGGAAATACAAATGTCTTCATCAAACACCGGAAAGGTGGCAACAGGTGAGCCTCTCTGGGGAGAGCAGTTCATAAATTTGGGGCACCACCACCAAACATGCCCTCTCCCCAGTGGCCACCCATCACCCCACCCTCAGCAGGGGGCTCTCTTGAGTTGGGTCTCCCATGATGATTTTCCAAGCCGTGAAAGATCAAAAGCAGCCTTTTGAATCGGGTTCAGAAGCCGACTGGAAGCCCATGCAGACAGCAAAGCAATGGAGGAACGGGATCAAAATGATTCAGTCCTGATTAATAATAATAATCCAGCCACATTTCGGACTAATGGAAGTTTCTGCTGGAAGTGCTGAGATGCAGCTCAGCTTGTACTGAAGATTTGAGGGGAAACCTCCACGCTCCCTAGACTGTCTTTGACCTAACCTGGGCTGACCTTTCCTCACTTGCTAGACTGATATGCTTTGCGTTGACCTCATTTCCTACTCCCTTCTCCATCCTTACCTTGGGAGAGGAGACATCCGTGTGTGTGTGTGTGTGTGTGTGTGTGTGTCCTGTGTGGGAATGTTGAGGGTGGCAGGAGAAGATCTATTGTTTATTAATATCCTTCCTAACTTGCGTTAGCAAGTTTGTTCACTTAGCAGAGTGCATTCCCCTTTACACAGCAGAAAACTAGTGGCAAACTTGTGTGAGTTTCTTAAGACAATAAGCAATTCAATCTGGCTTGTCCAGGTTGAAATGTGTTTTAATATTTTCCTGATAAGACCCCTTGAATCCCTCCTAAAAAAATAAAGACATCACAGTCTTATTCATAAGCAATAAATGTAAAGTTTACTCATGATCAGGCAGAGCACAGTGTAATCCCTGAAGGCAGGCTTTAGGCTTAAAGTTACAAACATATATGTCAGAGCTGGCTCCAGGTCCCAGCTCACAGAGGACCAACGCTAGCCGGCAGTAATGTACAAAAGTCTTTATTGAAGTACAGTTTCCATTTTCAAGCCGCAGCGCCCCAGCTCTACGTCTAGGGGTTAGATCGGCGAAGCTCCGTCTGAGTCTCCGCCCCTTGTACACCAACTTAATATCCTAGCCCTGCTCCACCTTTTCCGCCTGACTGTTCTTCTCTGGGTCCCTCTGCCCCCTGGGGTCTCTTCTTTCCGGGATTCTTCTGACGCTGACGTTCCCCCCCCTGACTCTTCTCCCTCCTTTCGGCGGGCTTTAGGACCTGGCTCCCTTTCCGGGCTGCCTACTGTGCCACCTTCCTGTGCATTTGAACTTGGCGCGCGCGCCCAACCTTCCACCTTCCGTCTGACCGTTTCTTCGCTCCCCGATGGAGGTGTGGCCACTCCTGACTCGTGCCCTCCCCCCTGTTGTGAGCTGCCAGCGCTTGATCCCTGGCTCCCTTCCTCTTCCCTGCTCTCTGGCGGTGACGCTGGTCCCGATTTCCAACTGCTCCCCTCTGAGTCCCCTCTGGCTCTATCTTCCTGGGGCGTCCCCTAGGCTCCCCCTTGCCCTGGCCACTGGTGCTCCTTTCTGTGAATCTTCTGATTCACTGGAAAGACTCGGAGATCTCGGGTCGTCGTCATCACTCATCTTTTCTTCTGCCTCCTCCCCCTCGCTCTCTGTTTCCTCCCTTGCCCTTGCCTCTGCTCCTGAACCCCTGACAATATACAAACAGGTTTACCCCATAAGGGAGGTGACCTGGCAGCCAGCAGTTCAGCCCAGGAAGTTTGCAGGACAAAAGGAAGATGGAAAAGGGAGAGAGTGGCAGCATGCCTGGGCCTTTTACCAGGTCTGGAAATGTCACGCCCACCCACTAATCACATGCAAGGAAGGATGCTCCAGGCCAGGAGGAACAGGAAGTTCAACTGGCTGGACCAACATCCCCTTGCATGTTCACTCTAGGAAAACAAGGAATGTTGTCTTTGACTGCTCCCAGTGGATTACATCCTGCAGAGATGAAAGGGGCCTCTCCACCTTAGTTAGACAGAGCCAGTATCTTTCCTCTCAAGCATAGTTAAACTATGAAGCTCACTTCCAAAGAGGCAGTGATGGCCGCCAACTTGGATGGCTTTAAAAGAGGGTTGAACAAACTCATGTTCTGATATTCTTCGTCAACATATAGCTTTCTTCCTTTCCTAACTCAGAGTCATGGTTGTGGTGACATCCATGTGCTCCTCCCACGGCGATTCAGTGCTCAGCTCAGCTTCCAAGCTGTTGTGCCACCTCCTAGCATCCAGCAGCTTCTGGACCATTTTCAGATGCTGCCCTCCTCAGCATCCTTCTAGCTCAGTTTTCACCAATCTGGTGCCCCCCAGATGTTTTGAACTTTGATGGGAGTCCAAAACAGTTGTGGGAGTTGGAGTTTCGAGTATCAGGAGGCTGCTGGGATGGCAAAAGCCTGGGTCCTGAGCCTGGGACCTTTCACAGGCACAGTAGGCCATTCTCCTGAGTGTTGAAGCCAGTGTGGTGTAGTGGTTAAGAGCGGTGGACTCGTAATCTGGTGAACCGGGTTCGCGTCTCCGCTCCTCCATATGCAGCTGCTGGGTGACCTTGGGCCAGTCACACTTCTCTGAAGTCTCTCAGCCTCACTCACCTCACAGAGTGTTTGTTGTGGGGGAGGAAGGGAAAGGAGAATGTTAGCCACTTTGAGACTCCTTAGGGCAATGATAAAGTGGGATATCAAATCCAAACTCTTCTTCTTCTCCCCTGAACCCCCAGAAGCTGCCTTTCACCAGGTCATCCCATTTCCCCAGCCAGCTTGGTATCATCCCCCCTGACTGGCAAGAGTCCCCTAGGGGGGTGGGGATTGAACCTGGGCCCCTTCTGTTTGCAAAGCTTGAGCTATCTCTGCCCACCCCCACATACCCTCCTCCTCCTGCCCCCACTTTCATTCCCTGTGGCCCTCTAGAGAAAGAGATTGCTGCTGTCCTTTGCAAACTATTCCTGGTTAGACCCTGCTGGACTCCTCCATCGTGCCCCAGACCAAGATGCAACCGGCACAGGTCGGGGGTCTGCATTTCTGAAGTGGTCCTGCTCAGGTGGAAACTAAGGGGCAGCAGCAAGCCCAGTCCCAAGAGCCAGCCACGCCACTGCGGCTGGAGATGGATTCTCAAACGGAAAACCCAAGATACTGTAAAACAGCATGCCACCCCTCACCCCTGGCTGCCGCCAAAGTATCAGGAGAGGCACCAACCAATTCCCCATTAGCCACCCCAAGACCTCCGCCTTAATGGGCCCGAGAGCCTCCGAGAGGCCGTCAAATCACTCTAGGAACGAAGCCACAGAGCACTCTCAGGCAGCCGCAGAAAAACCACTAATTAGACGCAGCCTCTGATGGCATCAGGAGGACTGAGCCGAGCTCTCTTTTCAGGGGCATGGGGGAGGGGAAGGGGGCTCAGGCTTGGCCGTCTGCTGCTTACAGCCTTGCCACCAGGGCAGGACTTAGGGGCACAAGTCCAGCCCCCCTGCCCTCAGTGGGGTTGGCTGGCCACATTTCCAAGGAATCCTCCGCAAGCTGACTTGGGAATAGGCTTCGTTTGGTTTTGTGGAAATTACATCTGACGATGCTCCTCGGATGATTGCGCTCTAGGTGAACTGAGGGCCAATATGGCATGTCATTGATGCACCTGTGCCTTTAATAGGTGGGGAGTGACATAAATTGCCCAGGACAGGGAGCCTGATCCAGGCCAGGACACTAATGCGTGGCGGGGAGGGGGCTTTAACCTTTTGCCTCTCACTACACTTCTCATCAGGACCACCACAGATTTGTGGTGGGTCTACACCAGCCTCACTTGTTTCACCGTTATATAAGAGTATAAAACCGGGCCGGAATGGAGGAGAAGGAGGGGTCTGTCTAGGCAGGCAAAGCAGACTTTCTATACCAGAGCAGACCAACTCCTTGCATTTGATTTCAATTCCTCTCTCCTTGACAAAGATGCAGCTTCATTAAGCCCGATTAGCAGCACGACATGGTGTCAGAAGTGCTGAACGAATGAGGAAAGCTTTCAGCAGAAAATGTGCACCCACCTCCGAGAGACGGGCTTGCCATGGAGCCAGCCAGTGTGTGCAGTCAAAGGTGGAGGAGAGCTCCCAAGGATCACTGTCTTGGGGGAGAGCAGGGGTAGACCACAGACCCCAACCTAGCCTGAAGGATGCTGCAAAATAATAATAATAAATAAATCTGGCACATTTAGGCAAAGTTTTGCCTCCTGTTGATGGGTTCTTCAATCTATACACCTGATTGTGCTATGCAGGAGAAGGAGGGAAAGTGGCAGAATTAGAATTGTTATTTTGCTCCTTGTGGGTGTTTATTACATTTTACGCCACCTTTTCTTCCAAGGGTCTCAAGGCAGCATACGTTGTTCTCCCCCCCCCGCCGCCATTTCATCCTCACAACAGCCCTGTGAGGTAGGTTAGGCTGAGAGGCGGTGGTGCCTCTGGCCCAAGGTCACCCAGTGAGCTTCATGGCTGAGCAGGGATTCAAAGCCTGGTCTCCCAGTTCATAGCCGAATACTCAAACCACTACACTATACTGCCAACTAAGTTCCGCTCAAGAGTAGACCCATGGAAGTTGAAGGGCCCAGGGGCATCTGGTTGGCCACTGTGACGACAAGAGGCTGGGCTAGATCCAGCAGGCTCTTCTCATCTTCCTATATAACGGTTTCTGCAGTTTAAAAACGTGCCCCAATGATTGAGCCCTGTGTTCCTCGATCAGCCCAGGGTGGGGAGGAGGACAAGGTGCCAAATTACAAAACATAATCCCCGGTTCTGCTGACACGTAGATTGTGCAGATTTAAGGAAGCGCCTGGTTTCTGTTCCACTTCCAGTAACTTCATATTTTCTCCAGGTTAACAGGAAACCTTGCTATAGATACCAGGCATGGCGCCAGCACAGCAGGCATCCGTAAGCAGCTGCCAGGGTGCCAACAGGGCTCCCTGCCGCTGCCTTGCTCTGAGCCACCCCAGTAATTGGCATAATGGTTAGAAGTAGTAGTGGTTGTGGTATTTATTAAATTTGTTCATTGTGTTGTTTTGTCCAGGACAATCCAAAGCAGCTTGCATCCAATCTGTCCAGGGCATTGTCTTGTGTGAGGAGCCCCTTGGCTCTATTACAGTGGTACCTCGGGTTACATACGCTTCAGGTTACATACTCTTCAGGTTACAGACTCCGCTAACCCAGAAATAGTGCTTCAGGTTAAGAACTTTGCTTCAGGATGAGAACAGAAATTGTGCTCTGGTGGCGCGGCGGCAGCAGGAGGCCCTATTAGCTAAAGTGGTGCTTCAGGTTAAGAACAGTTTCAGGTTAAGTACAGACCTCCGGAACGAATTAAGTACTTAACCCGAGGTACCACTGTACTTTAATCGGTTGCAGAACCTGGTCAAATAAATAAACCCAACAGGTGCAGCTGCAAACATACACATGTGGAGAGACCTGCTAAATCTTTGCTTGCTGCTAAGTCGGAGCCATAAGAACAGCAGCGTTTGCTGGAAAGGGTCACGATCCGGCCACCCTCCGGCCAGGCCTCGTTAATGCCACCTTTTGGCACGGCTTAATTGCCAATCAAAGGCTCTTTGCCATCCCTCGAGGCCACGTGCAACAAGGTGGACTAGGAAGCCTATAAATAAGTAACTATGATCTGTATGTGATTTGATATTTTATTTATTTCGGTAGTTGAGGAAGGAAAAACAGTAATTCTGGATTGAGGTAGTTCCTGCATGATCGTTTGTAATTAGGAGGGAGGAAGCCGACAGGAACTCAAGAAGAATGTGAAATGAGATGGATTTTATTGTCTTGCGTTTGGTTTTTTTTTTTTTATCTCCTGCTTGTTTTACGGGTAGGCTCTAATTATTTTAATTTGGTTACTGTCGACGTTTACGCCGTGTTATGCTTGTTTTTGGAAACTTGGTGTTTAAAATGTTAGAGAATGCTTTGCAAACAAACAGTTTACAAGTCCTGTAACTAGATCAGGGGCCTGTCAAATCCAACATCCTGTTCTCAGAGTAAGCAAATGCCCCTGAGGATCTAGAAATCCAGATAGAGTGCCTCTGGACCTGGAGGATCCACAAGAACCTATTAGCTTTCACCTTCCGTATGAATTTGTCCAATCCTCTTTTAAAGCCATCCAAGTGGCAGGGAGTTCCATACTTAACTAGCTTCGCTGGGGAAAAGGTTTTAAGAAACAGAAGACCGCTAAGCTGGAAAGTAAGATGCAAACATTATTCCTCCTTCTCCTCCTCTCTCATACGTTCCCAGACTCACTCATTTCCTTATATTATTCTAGCATTTGTTCAGTTTTAGACACCAATTGAAAATGTATCTTTTCCGCCCGGCTTTTTAGTATAAGTGATGCTTGGACTATAGAAATTTGATATACTAGTATGATGTCTGGATTGTGTTTTTTTATTTTAGATTGGTTTTAATATTTTATTGTTGGCTTTTTTGGTACACTTTATTGCTGTAACCTGCCCTGAGAGGGGATAGAAGTTTTAAAAATAAACCGTTAAGTGAACAACAAGCTCTTGCACATGAGAAATTGGGGGGGGGAGGTTATACATACGTAACCCTCTCTAAAGAGAAGTCATCCACCTCCCTGTTCTTTGTTTTGTCACTACAGTGAGAACATTGAAGTGCCTTCCGGTTAAAAGAGAAGTTTTGCAAGAAGCCTTTGTTTTCCCCATCTGTGAAAAAGGCATAGCCGTCCTGTGCTCTGTCCCCTGAGCTATTCAAAGCAGATAAGCAAGGGCAGCAGAGAGCTAGTGTCGTGTAGCGGTTAGAATGCTGCATTAGGACTTGGGAGAGACCAGGGTTCAAATCCTCCATCCCTCCCTCTCGGCCTAACCTACCTCACAGGGTTGTTCTGCTGCTCAGATGAGGATGAGGACCTGGGAGACTAAGGTTTGAATCCCCACTTGGACGCAAAGGACTCAGCTACACTAGCCAATTTACGACGCTATAACTGCGTTATAAACATGTGACACCAGGTGGTGCTGTAGAGCATAAAACTTTGTCTAAGCGATTTTACATATAGCTTTTTTTTCTTTTGTTATAATGATTAGTTTGTGACTTATTTATAGCGTCCCAAGTGGCCTTGGGCATAGCTGTCAACTGTTCCCTTTTTTTAAGGGAAATCCCCTTATTCCAAATAGGATTTCTCGCAAGAGGGAAAGGTTGACAGCTATGGCCTTAGGCCAATCCCTGCATCTCAGCTTAACCTCCCTCACAGGGTTGTTGTGGGGATTAAATGAGGAGGGCCAGAACCATGTGCACCACACTTTGAGCTCCTTGGAGAAAAAGTTAGGAGATGGCTGCAATAAAGAAATAACTCATGGGAGTTTTACAGCCACACCCCTGTTGAGAGGCAGGGTTGAGAGGGCAGACTCCACCATCATTTGCAATATCACAAAGGGTGTTGGGGGTCACAGGAGATACAACCTGCACAGGTTGCACAGCAGCCAAATGCCTCAGACTGGAACAGCCTGACGGACTCTATTGAGAGTGCCACAAACCCAGACTGCAGTGCAATGCAGGTGCTTACACTGGAGTAAGCCTCCCTGGGAGGACAGGCTTAAGATGCCTACCAAATTGGTGGCTTATTGAACAAGGAGCAGTAAAAGCCACTTAAGGTTGCATTTAAATGATTAGCAGGAACTGTGACAGTGACTTTTTTCTGGATTCCTTACAGAGGGTGGAGGGTAAGAGGGGGCCAAGAACTGCCCCCCCCCCAAGCCTTCCCTCTTATGCCCCCTCTGTTCAAAGTGCCACAGCACCTCAAATGCCACCCATCGCCTGCAACCATGCAACCCATCACCTAATGCACATGTTGTAGCTGATGGTTAAACCCTTATTTATTAATGCATAATTAATTTGCCACAAATGAATTATTCAGCGTAACCCTTCGTCCTTTTTCTTTTCATTCCCACCCATCTCATGGCATTTTGTGGGAGTGAAAACGCCAATGATGGCAGGCCAGATGGGGGCAAACCTCCTATCTGCTCAGAAAGGTACAAAGTCAGAGTCTCTCTCTCTCTCTCTCTCTCTCTCTCTCACACACACACACACACACACACACACACACCATGCCAATACAGTGGTATCTCGGGTTACATACGCTTCAGGTTACAGACACTTCAGGTTACAGACTCTGCTAACCCAGAAATATTCCCTCGGGTTAAGAACTTTGCTTCAGGATGAGAACAGAAATCGTGCTCCGGCGATGCAGCGGCAGCTGGAGGGCCCATTAGCTAAAGTGGTACCTCAGGTTAAGAACAGTTTCAGGTTAAGAACGGACCTCCGGAATGAATTAAGTTCTTAACCCGAGGTACCACTGTAGTAGCCTTGAGGAAGAGTCTCCTATGAATGCAGCCTTTAGATCGATTCCAGGGCTCAGGTCATTGGGGAGGGAGGGGAGGCAATTGGCATGGCTGCAGGTGCCAAATCATACCTGTTCCACGTCGTTTAGTGTGGCAGCACCTGCACTTTGGAACTCCCTGCTTATTGAGGTCAAGAAGGTGCTTTCACTGTATCCATTTCCTTGCCTGCTCAAAGCATTCTTGCTTAGACAAGCCTACACAGATGCATAGCAAGTCGACGTGAATTTCAACCTGTTTTTTATTTTCATTGCTGTATTATTTTTCCCCTTGATTTTCTTGTTTGGCCTTTTTGTAAACCGCTTTGGGCTTTTCATTTAGAACCAAGCAGCGTCTAGAATTTATTCAATAAACAAACAGATAAATTCACAACTGCTACAGGAGGAAGTCTGCTGGAACTATCAAGGGGGCACCAAATTTCCCACCTCCTTTACCCTCCACCCCGCCTGTGGGGGGGGCAGCATATTGATTTTGCTGCTATTTGGATCTCTCATATTGCTAGGCGTTGTTTCTGACTTTATTAACCTGAGATGTTTATTTGTCCTGTCAATATTAGGGTGACTTTTAGTTTAAACTGTGTTGTTTCTGATCTTGAAATGTTCTGTTTTATTCTGTACGTTGTTGTGAGTCGCTTTGAGCGTGGTTCCAAAGAAAAATAAAAATAAAAAATCACAAGGAGGAGGAGGAACTTCCACACCCTGAGCCCACCCCACTCCTCTCCAAATCCTGCCTCTACCTGTTGCCTTCTAGAAACAGAGGCTGAGGAAGCCATCTCAAAAGCGACCATGCTGAATCCCAACCCCAAATGGTATAGTTGCATCTGATGCTGTTGATCCTGCAATGCTTCTGAATACCAGGTGCTGGAAACCGGGTGGTGGGTGGCAGAGGGCTCTTGCGCTCAGGTGCTGCTTGTGGGCCCCCCTTTGGGAGACCTGGCTGGCCACTGTGAAGTAAGTCACGATGCTGGACTAGATTGTGTTAGTTTCTGTTTGCCACAGAGCAGTGCTTTGGAGTCACAAGACTCTGTTTACATTCCAGAGACAGTCCAGGCTGTTGGAAGTCTCACGGGAGAGGAGACGGATGTGACGTTACTGGTTTCCTGTTCCTTTGTTCCTTTGTTTCAGTTGCTCTCTGCTTTCATAGAGAGAGGATGTCTTTTTCTTTGCTGTCTGCGTAGAAGATACTAAAACTCTTTAGCCATGTAGCTCATACTATCTCATCCTTCCGCATGCTGCTGGAAACTCTGCTTAATGGAAATGTGCCTGAGGCCTCATCAAAGGCTCAGGTTGTTAATTATTTGTCGGGAGGGCGATTCCGGAGGAAGATGAGCTTTATCAGCTTGGCCGAGCAGAGATCCCGACATTTTTTACCATTGGCCTCATCCAGCAGGGTTCTCCATATGGACGCCTACTGTGATAGCCAAGCCTCCATGGCCAGGGGCAGTCTAGCTGTGCATTCCGGATGTTGAGGAACACAGCTCTCATGTCCTAGCCCTCCCATTTCACTGGCTGGCCCCTGTGAGAGACTTAAGTGGGCTAGCAAATCTCTCCACGTGGATGTCTATTGTGATAGCAGAGCCTCCTCTGGGCCCGCCCTCAAATGTCCTGCAATGTCCCAGGGCATTGTGGGGAATGGCAGCTCATTGCCAGCTGCCCAGCACAAAGGCCCAAAGTGACCAAGACAAGCCGAGGGCATTTGGGGGGCACGGCTAGGACATGGCAGCTCCCCAAGGGTGCCCAGTTGCCATACCAAAGTCTATGATGCCTGCATTGCAGGGGGTGGGAATAATGGCCTTTGGCGTCCCTCTTTCAGTTTGACAATTCTATGCCTACCAGCACAATCCTGACCCATCGCTAGTCTGAGGTGGCCACAGAAGCAAGGGGGAGGGGTCCAAGACCTAACGGGACCCCCCCAACAATGCACAAAATTGTCTCCAAGTCCCTCCCTGCTCCCTTTGCTTGGGAAACAGCAACTTGCCTTGGGCTTGGGAGGGGGGCAAATCTTGAGGCACTCCAGCTGTTTTGGCTCAGAGCCGAGGTGCTGGGGGGGCGGCAAAGTTGCTGTCAGCAGAGGAGGTTCTTTCCTGAAAAGGTCACGTCTCCCCCTCCCCTTTAATCCGCTTAGCCAGAGGGGAGCTGAGAGCCAGGCCATGTTTACCGGCCTGCTTAAGGCTGCCTGGAGCTTATCGCTCCTGCCATCCATGCGCCAATCAATACTTTTCATAATTCATTTCCCACCCCCCACCCCCACCCCGCTCTCCTGCTTAACTCTGAAAGGGGAGCAGAGCTCCTTCCCCTCCCCAAAGAATCTGTCTCTCTTCCACACAATCAGAAGCCTTGGAGGGATGCTGCCAGCCAGTGTGGGCAAAGCTGAATGGACTCATGGTCGGACTTACCGTATTTTTCGCTGTATAAGACGCACCAGACCACAAGACGCACCTAGTTTTTGGAGAAGGAAAACAAGAAAAAAAATATTCTGAATCTCAGAAGCCAGAACAGCAAGCGGGATCGCTGCGCAGTGAAAGCAGCAATCCCTCTTGCTGTTCTGGCTTCTGGGATAGCTGCGCAGCCTGCATTTGCTCCATAAGACGCACACACATTTCCCCTTACTTTTTAGGAGGGAAAAAGCGAGTCTTATAGAGCAAAAATACGGTAGTTTAAGGCAGGAGCCTCTGTTCCTAAGAGTGTTCCCTGCCGGACAAGAACAAAGGAGATCTGTGCTGCTCCACCTCTGCTTCCCTGGGCAGCCACAAGCCACAAAATCATAGACTTGTGCAGGTAGAAGGGACACAGATCCAGGAATCACTGACAAAAGGGAGCCCCCTCCACTCTGGCTGTTTCCCCCAGCAACTGGTGTTCAGAGATAGAGTGCCTCTGCAGGGGGAAGTTCCACTTCCTCTATCCCAGCTCCTCATGGCTCTTAATAGACTTTCTCCTCTTGTAATTTGCCTTTGGGAAAGAAGAGCCCAGTTTTCCCCCCAAAAGCAAGCTTGACCATTGGAACACGTGAAGTGATGACAGTGCCCTTAAGCATGGGCAGAGTGCCTTTTGCTTGCCACGGAAAGGAAATGCAACCTGCCTCCCCCACTTGGTATTTATACAGCGGTATAGAATATTTATTTTCAGCAGCCCCAAAGCAGTGAAAAGGGGGGCCCTTGAGAAAGGCGGCTCTGTGTGTGTGTGTGTGTGTGTGTGTGTGTGTGTGTCTGTGTGTGAGGGGCCCCTTAACCCTGTGTGTGAGCTTGTGGGGCAGAGGGAAATGTTGCTATATGGGGCAAGAGGCAGATTTGTGCAGCGTGTTAACACCTTGCCAGAAATTCCAGGCCCCTGCGAAGGCAGTGTTGACATGAGCCATATGGAATGATAAACAGAAGCTGTCACCCCAGAGGAGACGCACGAGGGAGGGGGGCGGATAGGAATCAATACTGGGTTTTTTATTTTATTTTCTCTCTCTTTTCTTCCCCTGTCTGATTTGACAAGAAATGAAGGGGGAGATCATATCGATATTCATCCAATCAACTGTGCCCCCTCCCTCCCCTCCCCAGGACTGTTCTACATAGAAGATGCCAGACCCCCCCCCCCACCCTACCTCCGCCACCACCTGCCTCCCCAAAAGGCAGCTGCATGGCAATTCCTGCCCAGAATTGCTGTGGGTTGGATTTCGGAGAATTTGCATCCACTCTGCGCATGCAAAGGCAGCAGTTTGCAACTGATTCTAAATAGGTTAGGTGACATGTAGGTACAGAGGTGGTAAGGCAGCTTCACCTGTTGGATATCCACCTGCTGCTGAAGCACTGGGAGGCGGCCTGGTCAAAGGAAAGAAGAAGGAAGTGGGGCTTAATGGGACCTGGAGGGGAAACCAGCCAAGCACACAGAAGAGAGAGTGGGGAGTCTCAAAGAAAGAGAAAAAGGGAGGAGGAAAGAGAGAGACCCTCCTCAGGTCAACCTCGCAGGAGTAGGGCTGGGTGATATATCGATATATCATCCAAAACCAGTTTGAAATATATATCATGATAACAGTTTCATACTTTTTGACCTCGCAATACATTGTGAATCATGGTGTGTGTGTGTGTGTGTTGTGCAAAAATCACAATGTGGGGAAAACCGTGAAGCCAGCCAATACATAGCTCCATCCTTATTTCAGACATTGTGATATGTCGGTATATCGCGATGTTTAACTGGTGATATATCGTGATGTTGAAAACCAGGTATCACCCAGCCCTACCCAAGGGGCATTTTGAGAATGGAAGAGATGGACAGGCAGGAAGTGTCAAATTTATTATAATAATTATTACATCTTTGAGTCCAGTTCTTGATACAAATATACACACGATTCGGGAAGGCCTGCGATCGGAGGAAGAGGCCCCAGCACCCCCCAGAAGGCGTGTCCAAGGAGAAGGAGGGGCTCCGGACGAAACCTCAGTGGACCGCCTCTCTTCATATCTCAAGCCCACCCCATGAAAACACACAGAATCTCACATGAGCTGGGGGGAGGTCACTGGAAGGCCACGGCTGAGGGCGTGGTGGTGGTGGGGGGTGTCCAAGGAGGAGATGGTTCTGCAAAGACAAAGACATGGGTTGGAGGCAAATCGGCAGACCAATCCGTCCATCCATTTCACTGGTGTTCGTTCATGAGATGGTGCCAACCACTTTCGGCTTTCATTTGTGCACAAATTTGCATTTCGTCTTGGCGCAGACATTGCTTTTTGGTGCATTTTGTTGTACAGTGGTACCTTGGTTCTCAAACGCCTTGGTACTCAAACAACTTGGAACCCAAATACCGCAAACCTGGAAGTAAGTGCTCCGGTTTGTGAACTTTTTCTGGAAGCTGAACATGCTCCGTTTTGAGTGCCACACTTCTGTTTTGAGTGTTAAACTGAGGTCTGTCTGTTTTTGCTATTTTTTTTGCGTTCCTGTTTTTGTGGGGGGGGGTTGTTGTTGTTTTTTGCTTTTGTGACTGTGTGGAACCCAGTTCAGCTACTGACTGATTGATTGTGTGGCTGCAGTACATTGTTTATTTTATGGATCAGTGGTCTCGTTAGATAGTAAAATTCATGTTAAATTGCTGATTTAGGGGTTGTTTTTAAAAGTCTGGAACGGATTAATCCATTTTGCATTACTTTCTATGGGAAAACGTGCCTTGGTTTTGGAAAGCTTTGGTTTTAGAATGGACTTCTGGAACAGATTAAGTTCGAGAACCAAGGTACCACTGTACTTATTTAAAGAGGTGTGTGTGTGTGTTTGCAAACATCAAGCATGCCATTGCCCCTGCCTTGCTTCTAAGTTGCCCCACTCCGAGGAGGGGAGAGACTGCCTTTGCTATTGGAGCGATGCCCAACTCCTTCCAGGACCTTTTGGCCCCCTGTTCTCATCATCACCAACTAGGATGGCCGATGCTGAAGGACCGTGCAAGGCATATTGCCCAGAAATAGCTGGAAAGGGGGGGTGCACGGTCCACATTCCTGGGCTCCACTTCCAAAGGTGGGCCGTGCAGAGGGTGCTCTCCATGCAATAGCCACAGCTCAGAGTGAGGAAGAGCCAGGACAAAGCACTGCGGGGCCCTTTTCCTCCTTAGCAGCCCCTCCCCCGTCCCTTTCACCCCCAGGACCAGAATGGGAAGCCGGGAACCCTCAGCCATCCTCACCTGACACGCCAGCCCCACAGGCTGCCCCCTCTGGCATCGGCCTCATAGGTGGACGTCAAAGACCCCGTCCTCCACCGCTTGCGTGTCCTCTTCCTGGATTTCTGAAAGGAGACCCGAAGGAGGATAGGGGTTGAATTGAAAGGCACTTTCGCTAGGTTCCTTGAATTACAGCCCCCAGCAATGAATGAAATTCATTATTTCAGTCACAGACCAGTTCCAGCCCACATACAATATCAAGGAAGTCATAGGGATACATTTGAATTTGCCTTCAATTTAATATCACAAGATAGGCTTTGGGAAAAACTAAGGGCCTCAAACATAGACAGACATCTACTGTGTCTCATCCACAGTTTATATGAAAACACTCGGGTCCGGGTTAGGTGTGACTGACAGGGCCATTTATCCAAGGAAATCTGGTGTTAAACAAGGCTGCGTCCTTGTGCCTACTTTATTCAACTTCTATATTAGTAGGAAACATGGAGAAAGCCAAACCCCCTAAATTAGCTGGTACACCCCTCCCTGTGTAGGCCTAGGAAAACTTCTAAGATCTCTCGCTGCTTACAGTCATACCTCTGGTTGAAGTAGCTTCGGGATGAATATTTTCAGGTTGCGTTCGGTGGTGACCCAGAAGTAATGGAGCACATTACTTCTGGGTTTCGCCGCTCGCGCACCCACGCAGATGCTCAAAATGACGTCACGCACATGCGCGGAAGCGGCAAAACGCGACCCGCACATGCGCAGATGCCAGTTGCATGTTACATTCACTTCAGGATGCGAACGGGGCTCCGGAGCAGATCCCATTCGCATCCAGAGCTACCACTGTATTGTCATGCCAGACAATTAACAATTAACTATAGCAAAGTTATGGTGCTCTCTAAAAAACGAATGAGACACAAATGGAGAATTGACAATCAACCTATTGAACACGTATCATCTTTTAAATACCTGGGTATAACCTTCCAGGAAAAGGTCTCGTGGCATTATCAGGTTAAAAATACTATTGCAAATGCCCAAAGATCTACCAAAGTTAATATAAGGTTTTTCTATGGAAAAGGGGGCCAATATATTCTGGCATCCTCCCAGATCTTTGCTGCAAAAATATTAACCCCCCCAGCAATGTATACCCCATATATGGACCCACTTGACTGCTTTAGTTTGCAGAACTGACTCTATGACAGGTGCCACGTAATACGTGTTCCGCATTTGCAAAGGCTTTTAATGTGGCAGCAGCACCCACACACTGGAACTCCCTGCTGTCGTGGTTTGGCTGGATGCCGAGGAGTGCTGGGATGCGCCAACTGGGGAACCCCCAGGAGAAGAAGGCTCAGAGCCCAGGGAGTGGCGGTGGGACCATGATGAGTGGTCAGAGGGGGAAGGCCGGGGGGGGAGGAGGGGTCAGAAGCTGAAGAAGCAACTGCGTTTGGTGAGCAGGAAGAGAAGACTAGAAGCAGAGGCAGGAGAGGGTGGCCGGGAGACGAGGCTGGCAGCTGAAGAATCTAGGGAGTCTCCCCCTCTTGCTGTGACCAGCTCCCCTCCCCACAGAACCTGCAGAGGTATGAAGAGGGCAGAGCAATGAGAGACAAGAGAAAGGAGCCTGAGGCTGCTGGGGGAGGAAATGGGGGAGGAGTCTTAGAGAAGCGGCAGGAAGGCAGGGACCTTCAGTCCTCGCAACGGCCTCATTGGGGCAAGAGCTACTGGGAAGAGTCGCTGTGATCACTAGGCCTGCACCGCTTCGGTTTGACTAAAGGGTTAACTTCACTGGCGTCTTGTGAGCTATTGCTGACTTTCTCCCGTCTCCAGCCTTGATACCTGCCTATTGATATCCCCATACTCTTTGGGGCGCCAGCTAGAAACACATTTCTTTAGACAAGCCCATCCAGATATTTAGAAAACCGATGCAAGTTTTAATCTGTTTTTAGTCTACTGTTGCTTTAACTTTCCAAAAGTCTCAACTTTTTAATTTTTCTTTTAGATAACTTAAGCAATTTTATTTTATGTAAACTGATTCAATGACTTTATATATATATATATATATATATATATATATATATATATATATATATAATCTATCTCAAGGGGTATATATTCATCGGCCATGAATTCAGCAGCTGCAGGAAGGGAAAGCCACCTTCCTCTTTTCCTTCTCCCCCTGGATCAATGCAGAGCAGCCACTGCCAAACTAATCTCAAACTCCTGGGTTGCGAAGCAGGCAGAGGACGCCAGGGGGAGATGCTCCTCCACAATCCAGCCATTGCAAGGTGCTACAGGGAGAAGCAGCTGATGTTTTGCAGGGTGGAAGGCGGTGATGGCGAGAGGAACAATGACATGCGGAGAGGGGCTTCACACTCAGATATTGCAAAGGGGCTTTTTAACCCAACTCATGAGATTGACATATTTCCTTTATTTTATTTCTCACCATTCACATGCTGCTCGATGGTAATAAAACCCCGGAAGTGGTTTACAAAAATGTTTGCACTGTGGTTCCTCCCTGCCACTGTCACTCCACCCGAGAAACGCTGCATTTTGCCACATCACACTGCTTCTATTTTCTACAGAAGTAGAAAATAGCCCAGATAACTGAAATTTCTCCCGCACTGCACCGCACCCCAACCCACAGGGACGTAGGAAGCAGCTGTTTTGTATTGTAGTCAGGTCCATATATCTCAGTACTGTCTACACTGACTGGCAGCTCCAGGGTCTCAGGTGAGAGCCTTTTCCCAGCCCTGGCTGGAGATGCTGCCACTGGGATCTTCCGTGCACAAAGTGAGTGCTTTGCTATTGAGCCACGAAGTCCCCCGAAGCCAGCCCTGACCTACAAAAGAAAGTCCTCCTTCATTCAGCGTGTAGCTAAACTATGGAACTCACTGCCACAGGAGGCGTGATTACCACCAGCATAAGACACCTTTAAAAGAGGATTAGGCAAACTGATGGGAGGACAAGGCTCTCAATGACTACCGGCCATGACGGCTATGCCTGTCTCCATGGTCAGAAGCAATGCTTCTGAATACCAGTTGGAATAACAGAATCATAGAGTTGGAAGGGATCCCAAGGGTCATCCAGTCCAACCTTCTGCAATAGAGGTGTGATGGCCTGGGACTCGGGCTCGGACTCAGAACCAGAGGAGACTCAGTCTGCACTGGATCCTTTGCCTCAGGCATCATCTGAACCAAGTCTGGGGCCTGATCCTGAAGAGTCCCAGTCTGCACAGGTTGCCCTGCAACAAACACCAGCTGGGCTGAGTCAGGGGCCTGAGCCTGCCCTGGCTCCAGATGCGGGGATTACCTCGTTGCCTTCAGCTGGGCCATCACTTACAGCTGCTCCACTACCGGTTGGGTCAGGGGAGACTGAGGCGGCCCCTGGGTCTAGTAACCCACCGACGTCTCCCGAGCTGCAGAGACTAAGGTCTGAGAGAAGGAGAGACCTGAGTACTCGCAGGAGGAGTGTTCACCTTCGGGCGAAACAGGGAGGTGAGTCGCTGGGGGATCAGGACCAGCCACTACCCTGACAAAGATAAAAGGCTGTCGGACCCTGCCCCAGGTTGTGGGAGCAACACTGCTGTATGCTAGATCCTGCCTGAGATCCTGCACCTGTCCTTGCCTGGTTTCCTGCCTTGTGTCCTGCCTTGGCCCTGTTGGACTGACTCCCAGCAGAACCTGCGGATTCTGGACCGGTCCTGGACCGCATTTCACGGGTTACCCCCGGGCCCAGCACAAGAGGAATAAGTTGCTGGAAACCACAGGAGGAGAGAGGGCTCTTGTGCTGGGGTCCTGCTTATTGGTTTCCCGTTGGGGCACCTGGTTGGCCTCTCTTGAGAACAGGGTGCTGGACTCAATGGGCCATTGGCTTGGCCCAGAAGGCTGCCCTTACGGTCTCACCATGATGGCCTCTTCCCAAAGCGAAAAGACACAGAGTGAGCGAGGGGTGGATGTGACCCAGGCAGGAAGCCCGTCCGAGAGTTATTGTCAGCCAGAAGCGAACATGGCAGGAAGCCAGGCTGGGCTGAACCGTTATCGGAGAGGGAAGTGGGTTTCCGGTCCAGGGCGAGGCTCAGCGGGTGGGGAAGGAAGGAGGGGCAAGTGGGCTTGCGAGAAAAAGAACGAGGGATGCAAAGATAAAGAGAAAAATAAGAGGAGCTGGGGACAGCAACAGATGCATGTTTCTGGGAGAGAAAGAGGAAGGGCAAGCGGGTCCATCTAATGTGCTGACAATTGGAAACAAGCAGATTCAAGCTACAAACCCCTAATAATAATAATAATAATAATAATTTACGCCCATCTGGCTGGGTTTCCCCAGCCACTCTGGGCAGCTCCCAACAGAATATTAAGAACAGGATAAAACATCAAACATTAAAAACTTCCCTAAACAAGACTGCTTTCAGGTGTCTTCTAAAAGTCAGATAGTTTATTTCCTTGTCATCAGATAGGAGGGTGTTCCACAGGGCTGGTGCCACTACCGAAAAGGCCCTCTGCCTGGTTCCCTGGAACCTCACTTCTCGCAGTGAGAGAACCGCCAGAAGGCCCTCAGAGGTGGACCTCAGTGTCCAGGCTGAACAATGGGGGTGGAGACGCTCCTTCAGGTATACTGTCTAGCGAATGACTGCTCTGCATTTTAAGCTGCTGCCAGCCAATGCGGAAACTATACTGAGCTACATGGACCAGGTGTCTGACTTGGTCTTCCGCAATATCCCAAGCCCTTCTAGCTCAAAACAGTTGGCAGCCCACACTGGCCGGCAGCATCTCTCCTCCTCCATCTCAGATGGGTGTCTTTTCCAGCCTGGCTTGGAGGTGACAGAGAATGAACCTGGCTGGGACCTTCTGAAAGCAAAGCAGTCACTCTGCTGCCGAGCTACAGCCTCTCCATGTCTCTCCCCTGCATCAACCATGGCAGCCAAAGGAGCCTCCATGCTTCAAGAGAGTCTACCCCTGTGTGCCGGATGTTGGAGACAGGCCTCGGTTTTCTAAACGTATGAGCTTTCTCTGGGCAAGACGGACACCACCCAATCCAATTTGTGCCATGGCACAGCAAGAGGGTCTCCAAAAAGGAGGGTGGAAGGACAATGTTCATTCATAGCTGCCGCCACCCCAACTGTGGAGTGGGGGGAGACAGAGAAAGACTGTGCGTAGGGGGGTCTCCCCTTAGGGACGCGGGTGGCGCTGTGGGTTAAACCACAGAGCTTAGGACTTGCCGATCAGAAGGTCAGTGGTTCGAATCCCCGCGACGGGGTGAGCTTCCGTTGCTCAGTCCCTGTTCATGCCAACCTACCAGTTCAAAAACACGTCAGAGTACAAGTAGATAAATAGGTACCACTCCAGCAGGAAGGTAAACAGCGTTTCCGTGCGCTGCTCTGGTTCGCCAGAAGCGGCTTAGTCATGCTGGCCACATGACCCGGAAGTTGTACGCCGGCTCCCTCAGCCAATAAAGCGAGATGAGTGCCGCAGCCCCAGTCGGCCATGACTGGACCTAATGGTCAGGGGTCCCTTTATCTTTACCTAGGGGGCTCTCCATACCTGTATGCCGCAGAGATGCTGCCCGCCCGGGCCGGGGCAAGGAGAAGCTGAAGGAGCGGGCAGGTAGAGAGGCAGGGCCGTCCAGGCTGACGCTTTTGGTGCGTTTGCGACACTCGACGGAGAGCAGGTCCCGACACTGCTTGTGGCAGCTCACCCCGCAGGCTGGAGGGCACACAAGGGAAGCCAGGAGTGAGGCCACAGACCCCTCTTGCAGGGCAAGGATGGCAGTTGCCTCTCCTCCGCAGACATCAATGGTCAGTGCTTGCAGCCCTGTCCAGATTACGGACATGCAAGGACTGGATTTCCGCAAAACAAACTCTCCAGGTGGAGGCGAAGGGGAGTAGCCCATTCCCTTGGAGAAGGGGGCAGGGCCAAGGCAAAAAAGTGGGTGGGGCACCCCTTCTCTCCACCCCTTCTTCCATCCAGCAGCACACACCTCTGGCTCTTCCTCTCATGCAAACTCTACTTTACCTTCCTTCATTCCTCTCTGCCTTTCACTCATTCATGCCCCATCCATACAATTCCTCTGTCCCACCTGGGGATGGTGACACACCTGGGGAGGCGAAGGGCTGCTTGTGCCCCCCCCCAAAGGCCACTTGTTGCTCACCTGTCCTGCAAAGGTTCAGGTGACCAGAAAATATATTCTCAGCCAGGGAAGTTCTGGCTTCGATCCAGTGGAGAGCACTCTGTACATGCTCAGAGGACGAGCATTTTTTCCTACCTGCCATCGAAAACAAGCTCTAGTGCTAAGCCTTGACTGAAATTTGGCCCTGCTTCACAAAGGTCTAGGGAAACTCCCCACTCCAAGGATAGCCATAAAGTCTCTTAGGCCCCCCTCCCCAACACTTTTCACCCATCTCTGAATCTCTCCTGCTGCAACTTACCCCGACATTTTAGTCCTTGCTTGTAGAGTCCAAGGATCTGGAGAGGGAGGAGGGAGAAAAAAATGTCCCGTTCAGGTCACTTAAGGTTCAGGTGGCCCAAAAGAAACCACACACACAGTCCTCCAATTCATTCCTCCTCTCGCCTTTCAGTTTCTTAGAAGACAGATTAAACTGAGTGGCTGGCCCTAAAGAAAGGAAATTAGACCCAAAGTGGTTCCTAGGGACTTTGCTTAGGGTGCAAATGGTATTGGTAAAGGAGTGCCGCAAGTTTCGGACTACACAGGTCACTTGGGCAGAAGTACAAGAGGTCTGTGCAATTCAAAAGCTTGCTAACATGCATGACTGGGGGGAAAGAGAGAGAAAAAACCCTGAAAGGTAGATGAAGGGCAGCAGAGGCTTTTGAACCCCAAGACGCTTCTTCTTCAGCCCTCAAACTAAAATATGCAGCCCATATTACAAATCTGCATCTCGGAACCTCAGATGCCTCAGAACAAGGCAATCACAGTAATAAAATGGCCACAACCTTTACAATGGGGAAGACATAAAAACTGCTATGGCATGATAAGCAAATCCTGTTTCGCTTTGGGAGAGCCAGTGGTGTAGTGGTTAGAGTGTCTGCCTAAGACCTGAGAGAGACAAGGGTTCAAATCCCCACTTGGCCATGAGATTCACTGGGTGATTTTGAGGTCAGTCCCTGCCTCTCGGCCTAACCTCCCTTGCAGGGGGTTCTTGCTTGGGAGTGGGGAGGGGGGGTTAAATGAGGAAGGGGAGAAGCACGGGCACCACCTTGAGCTCCGTGGAGGATTCTTCAGCTGCGATTCCCGCACTGCAGGGGGCTGGACTAGACAACCTTTGGGGGTCCCTTTCTCCTGCAGAATCCTATGATTAGCTCACCAGGCCTTTGCAGTGGCGACATGCCACGGGGCGCAGGAACGTGGTCTCGTGGAAGCTGTGGATGAAGCCCATCTTGCCGTTGAGATCTGTGCTGGACTTCATGAAGTAGGAGATCATCTCTTCCCGACTGATGCAGCCGTCCCTGTGGGAAGAGAAGAAAGCGCATTTGATTGGGGCCAAGGCTCGTTTGCAGGATCCAAGCCTTAGACCGAGAGGCGTTTCTGTGCTGGGGGGGGGGGTGATGTTGCAGGAATTTATGTATATGCACACGCAGCCCACTACCAAAACCAGCACAATCACTTTTGTGACTTTTGTGATTTGTCCCCACAAAACACTTCATCACAGTTTCTTCCTATCTGCTCAAAGGGCCTTTGCTGCATGATACCAAATGTAACAATTCACTGATAAATGTATCTATGTACTGGCCCACTGGGAAAACTTCAGAAATTTATATAGACATGTGAGCTCAGCTACTCAGCAGCCCCTCTGCCTGAGTGATAATTCCTGGCCTCCTGATACCTGATGAAGACAAAAGGGTGTGGTTAACTTGGCTGGGAAACAGGGAAATGTAAATATCTCTTTTGTTACACTTGATGGGTGTTTGGTGGAGGGCAAGGAGAACCTTGGGGCAGGGTCCAGGATGCTCAGATTACTGCCACCAGACCTCCCCTTCCATGATGTAACCATGATGTATTAGTGATGTAGGTTGGGGTGGTGTAACATGGGGATTAGCAGCTAATAAAAGTTTGGGGGCTCTTTTGTTCGGGGCTTCCATCTTGTTTCACCTTGTGGCAGGTGGGAGTCCTGTCACGACAGTCTTCAATAAAGACCAAGCCTACTGGCTGCTGTTTTGCTCTGGTATTCCTGGCTGGTGTCCTTGTTTTTTGTCCAAGGGAGCCCTCAGATTTCTCCGTTAACAGTGAGATGCTACAAGCCAGCCGGCCCACTTCCAACACACCTGATCCAACAGACTCTTCTAACACGATTTATTTTATTTCATAAAATCTATAAACACCTCGATTGGTTTTAAACACCTCAAAATCAAGGGGCGCTCCTGGTTTCCAAATTGTCACAAGAATCTCAAATGACTCCTATAGTCAAGACTGCTGAGTCTGGTTCACTAGCGATGGCTGTTCCTGGACGGGGACATCCTGGCTTCACTTGCCAGAGAGAGAGAAGGTGTGGGGCATGACAAAAAGTGGGAGGGCCCTAGGCACTTTGTAGTCTAGACCCCCACCCACCTCCACATACAAATTAATGTTGAGGGGATGCAGCCTTCAACAGAAAAGAGGAGATCTCCATGCCCTTAGATTAGGGCTCATCAACATTTCTGCTTGCCCCATCATTCCCCACCCACCCCCGGGAAAACCTGTGCTTTAGTGCTGAATTGGAACAAAGGGGTTTTCCACGGATTGCTGTTTGTTCCGATTTAGCACTAAAGAGCAAGTTTTTCATGGGGAAAAGTGGGCCAAAGGCAAAAATGCTCGGACCCTTGCTTGAAAAGCAGCTTAGAAAGCAGGGTTAGAACTAGGAGGGAGGACCAGAGTTTAATTCCCCATTCCAGGCAGCGATTCACCGAGTGGCCCATAGAAGCCAGTCACATTCTCTCAGCCTCGCCTACCTCGTAGGGTTGTTGTGAGGACAAAAGGGAAGGGTGGGAGAGACCCACGCACTTTGTTTCAAAAGGGAGGCCACTAAGGCAGTAAGCAGACAAATAAATGACCAAAGCGTTGCCCCGATTTAGCTCAGCTCTGTCACCGCCAGACCACCCTTAAACTACAGTGGTACCTCGAGTTAAGAACTTAATTCGTTCTGGAGGTCCATTCTTAACCTGAAACTGTTCTTAACCTGAGGTACTACTTTAGCTAATGGGGCCTCCCACTGCTCCCACGCCGCCAGAGCACGATTTCTGTTCTCATCCTGAAGCAAAGTTCTTAATCTGAGGTACTATTTCTGGGTTAGCGGAATCTGTAACCTGAAGCATCTGTAACCTGAAGCGTCTGTAACCCAAGGTACCACTGTATTGCTTGTCTTAGCACAGGGAGTGGGGGGAAGAGTTATTTTCCCTCCTCAACCCTGAGAGCAGCCACAGATCAGGCCCACACCCCAGAAAGGGGGTGCCTCTCTCTGTTTTTAAAATAAGCCCCAGCTGCACAAGGGGGGGTGGGTTCTCAGGTGGGGAAGTAGGAGAGGGCCATGTCTTTAGGTGTCCCTGAGGACAAATATGGGGCAGCCTTTGAGCACAATGTTTTGTGAAGAGGCAGCCACTATCCCTGCCACGCCTCGCCCCTCCCAGTTCCCACACACCGAGAGGCAGGGTGGAGGCAGCCCCGGAAACCACAGAGATTCAGAGAATGAGTGAGGAAAGATCCCCCACGTCACCCGCTCCTCTGCACACACACACACACACACACACACACACACACACAGAGTTTTGGGGTGGAGGTGGCTGTAGCAAAGCAGAGCAGGCAAGAGAGGCAGGTCACCAAATAAGGAGCGATGTTGGTGTTTGGGGCCTGTGAGGAGGACTCTGGGGCTGTCATAGTTTTGCGTCGCTCAGTCCCAGAGGAAGCTCGCAGGGTGGGCTGAGAGCCAGGGTGCCTTGGTCTTCTCCCAAGGAAGAGAAGCAAACTCCAACTCTGCCAGAAGGAACATGAAATTCACCCCCATGTCTCTCTCTTCACTCCCTGCCCCGCAACACACACACACAATTCAAGTGGTATGAAGATTCGTTTTGCAAAGTCGACTCTGATCACAAAGCAGAAAAGTGTGGGTGGGTGGGTGGGTGGGTGGGTGGGTGTGGGTGGAGAGAGAGGGGGGGAGGGAGAGAGAGAGAGAAAGGTGTAAGAACACACTTCAGGAAAAAACAGCTCAAGCTTTCAAACAGCCCTCCTGCTTCTTCAAAACAATTTTGCAAGGATGAACTTCTGTGTTCATCCACGGCAGCAAAAACAAGAAAGAGGTTTGTGCAAAAGGCAAACAGGTTTATTTTGACAACCAGCGCTGTAGCGGGTTCCCAGTTCCTTATTTGCACAAAAGTTCAAGGCGCAACTTGGGTCGGAAAACTTTTTTTTATTTTTTTAAAGAGACCTAAAAGTTTATCTGCCCCTGAAACCTCAAATCCGGCTTCCTTCTATCCCTCTCTCTCTCTCCATGACGGGGGGGGGGGGCGACAATCTCCTGCAAGATCTACAGATCTGCAAGATCCAATCAAAACTGTCACGTTTGCACAACTTGGAGAAAGGCATGACCCAAATGGCAAAACCTAACCAGGAGTTCGAGATGTGCGCCCCATAAGCAGCTTGGAGCCACCCCAATAATACACTGCATGGGGTTGGACTAAATGACCCTTAGTGGTCCTTCCAGCTGTACGATTCTACGATACACCCACGCTCAAAAGCAGGTCTGGGTCAAGTGCCTTTTTACATAGGACACAAACCACAATAATTACGGCTACAAGCATATCTGATGGAGCAGACTGTGGTCCAACCGTCTGCCGCAGGCAACCTGTTAATCTTCAAAGGTGACACACAAGCCTCTTAACTTGGCTGCGTTCAACTCTCACTCTCCTCAAGACTTCAGAGTGGCTCATTCTCAAACTCCACAGGCAGGAAAGTGGCAGGACAAGGAAAAAACCCCACAATTTGAAATCACGGGAGAAACGGAAATGTGGGTGGACCATTGGAGGCCTGCATCCATTTTTGAAAACTATTGTTTCTCAAACTGAATTCAGCAACTCAAATAACCAAGTTCTGAGTTTCAATGGTAATGCCATGGTTAAGCTTTTGTGTTTTTGATGCAAGCCACTTTGGGTGCTTCTAAATGGAAACAAAAAGATGGGGTGAATAATAATTAAGAATAAGGTGATTTATTTATTTAGTAACCTAGTAATTTCCTGCCAACCTAGCAGTTCGAAAACTCGTCAAAGTGCAGTAGATAAATAGGTACCGCTCCGGCAGGAAGGTAAACGGTGTTTCCGTGCGCTGCTCTGGTTCGCCAGAAGTGGCTTAGTCATGCTGGCTACATGACCCGGAAGCTGTACGCCGGCTCCCTCAGCCAGTAAAGCGAGATGAGCGCCGCAACCCCAGAGTCGGCCACGACTGGACCTAATGGTCAGGGGTCCCTTTACCTTTAACCTAGTAATTAATATATAAGAAACGAACAAACAGGGCAGGTAGGGATGACATTTGGGGTGGGATGGAAGTTGTTCGAGCCTCAGGCTGGTTTGAACCTCCCTGAGGGGCAACTCACTGATTCTCATCCAGGTCTCCAAATTTGCACAGGTACGGGAAGTTATTCCGGATGATCTTGAACTCTTCCTGGGAAATGTGCCCGTCTCCATCCACATCAAAGTTCCTGAAGACAGACTGAAAGAAAGATGGGGGTAAGTTGGAAGCAAGACATCACTGAAGTGTAGCCAATATAATCACCCACACTTCCCCCTGAAAATCCCTGGCTATGTTTCTGCCCCTCACCCCTCACCCTTGGATGACAAGGGAGTCTAAGGAGCGCTAAAGGAGGATAAGGAGTTTGCAGAGAAGCCAAATCAATTATTTGCATCTGTCTTCACAATGGAAGATAGAGGGCAAATCCCTGTGCCCAAAATTGAATTGAATTTTATTATTTCGGTCACAGACCAGTTCTAGCCCACATACAATATCAAGGAAGTCATAAAACATGACAGGGAGACATTTGAATTTGCAGTTAGGTATAACAGGGACAATACAGATACAGCAACAGTTTAAAATATATATAAATTAAAACTTAGTCACTAACATATAACCTAAAATTATCATTTAAAACCTTAATCATTATGATAGCACAGCTTGTTCCCTAAGTTTTACGTCCAAAATGATTTTCACAGGAAGGGAATGTGAAGAACCGAGGCAAATAACAATGGCATGAGACAAAATTCGAGGCCTTGGGGACAAGATAAATAAAAATCACCGGTTCTGGGTAGCATCCCCACACAAGTCCTCAAAGAACTCAAATGTGAAATTGCTCAACTTTTAACAAAAAAAGTCACTTGTCCCTACGATGAGCCTCCAGACCTAAGGAGCCTCTAATGTATTATCTGGGACTCAGCAAACAAAACGTTTTAAGTGTGCTGTAAAGTGCATTATACAAATGTGACAATAGATGGCGATGGTGAGCTATGGCAAATTCAATATCTTTTTTTCAAACGGTTTTTTTAAAAAAGCATTTTCACAATGCTTTTTTTATGTGTGTCTAGATTCTTCCTGGATGTAACCATCACCGGGATCTTTCTCTGCACACCCTTCCCTCCCTCTGCTACTCCCCACCCACCCCAAGTCCTACCTCAACCATCTTCTCAATGTGCTTCCGCACAATCGCCTGGTCCGGTTTGGGTTTGGGCACTGATGCCCACTCCTCAATGACCACGGGCTGGGGTGGGGGGGTGGAGGACGTGGGGCTGGAAGGCTGCAGGAGGAGAAAGTGAAACTATTCATCCATTCAAAATATGTCTCTGCTTTCTTTTATTCCCCCAAGATAGCTGACATACTTTTAAAAAAAACACCACCACCACCCTTCAATATCCTATTCTCCAGAAATTTAGCCATTTTGAAAATAGCAAGTTCACAATCCAGAAACACAGTTGTACAGAAGGAGTTTAAAAACAGGAGAGAAATGCCATTTGGAAAAAATAGCAGCAAGGAGATAAACCACGAAAACTCAGGAATGCAGCTCAGCACAAAAAGCAGAACAAAATAAAAAGAGCCCCATGGCTGGATCAGGTCAATGGCCGTCTAAGCCCAACATCCTGTTCTCATAGTGGCCAACCAGATGCTTCTTCTGGGAAACCCAGAAGCAGGATCTGAGCACAAGGGCCCTCTACCCTACTGGGGTTCAGAAGCACTGCTGCCTCCCACTGTGGCAGCAAAAGAATAGCCATCAAGGCTAGTAGCTGCAGATAGCCTCCTCGTCATCCACAAATCATCCCAATCCTCTTTTAAAGCCATCCAAGTTGGTGGTCATCACTGCTTCCTGTGGCAGTGAGTTCCGCAGTTTAACTGTGTGCTCTGTGAAGAAGTCCTTTCTTTTCTCTCTCTCCCAAACCTTCTAATATTCAGCTTTATTGGAAGCCCACGAGTTCTAGTATTACACGACAGGGAGAAATAACTTCTCTCTATCCACTTTCTCCCTGCCATGCACAATTTTATAAACTTCTATTGTGCCCACCTCTTACCTGCCTTTTCACTAAACTAAAATCTGCAGGGGCCACATGTGCTGCATTAAGAGGCAGCTGGCGCTGGGGTGGAGCGCAGAAGGGACACGAGTCCACCATGTTTGCCTTCATTATATTTCCTCCAAGGAGTTCAGAGAGAGAAACCTGATTTTATCCTCATTACACACCTGGAAGAAGGTGAGATGGAGAGATGGAGGATGCTCATCCAACCACCCTCGGCCCACTTCAAGGAGCAGCCCTTGAACCCAGGTTCCCCACACCCTTCAGCAACGGCCCCACCCTGGCTCCCCTGCTGGCCACCCAGCTCCTTGGGTCCTAGCGCTCTGGCCAAGCAACACCCCTCTTTGGGCAACCCCCTGACCACCCCTTCTAGGCAGCATCCCTGGGGCTGCCCCACCACCAATAGGGCAGCTGGTGGGAGGGAGGGAGGGACAGAGCAATCTGTTTCTGCCCTGTGACAATTTCTCACATGCTCCCCTTGTTTTCCGCTTCTGCAGCATTCCGCGATTTTTAGGGCACAAACTTTTGTACTAGCGTCATTTTTTCCACGAAATACACAATTTTTTTTGCATTTCTCCCCCGAAATATTAACTGTCTCCTGAAAGACCATAATTTGGATGAGCTAAAATATGCAGTTGATTAAGATATTTAAAGGATCCACGGAGAGGAGGAGGGAAGTCCTAAGATTTGGAAAAATCTTGTTTCATTTCAAAATTTAACTGTGTTAATCGTGTGATTTATTTTGTAAAACAATAAAAATTATTTCCAAAAAATGGGAAAAAAACCACATTTCTTCTGCATTTTATCCTAAAATGCAGCACTTTGCGTATTCTGAGCAAGAGCTATATTGCTCAATTTGGAGAAGTGCGGAAAAGCAAAGGGATAAACGGGTTCAAATCTGCATGTCAGTCCGCAGGAAGTGCAAAGCCAGGTTTGCTTTGCTTAAAAGTGCAGATGGGACAATTTTTTTCAAGAGCTGTCGTTGGGAGTGGGGGGAGGTGGGGGCAGAAGGAGAAGCAGCAGCAGAGCTCGATCGCAAACATACAGTTGTATCCGGTGGCTTCTGTTCCCTGACCACAGGAAACGGGTCCCCAAGGGAGGAAGCCTGGGATAGGCTGGGAAGGATGGTTAAATTCAGGCCCCAACACCATCCCGGCATTAATGCACACACATATACACGTACACAAACACAAACATACACACAATATACCCCAGGAGGCAGTGGCGGCCACCATAGAACTGCAGAGTTGGAAGGGACCACAAGAACCCATCTAGTCCAACCCCCGGCAATGCAGGAATATTTTACCCAACATGGGGCTCGAACTCACAACCCTGAGCTCAAGAGTCTCGTGCTCTACCAACTGAACTATCCCAGTTGCACTTGGATGGCTTTAAAAACAGGATTAGATAAATTCATGGAAAGAGTTATTGATAGCTGCTAGCCATGACGGCTCTGCTTTGCCTTCATAGTTGGAGGCAGCGATGCCAATTGCTGGAAATGGCAGGAGGGGAGAGGGCTCTTGTGCAAAAGTCCTGCTTTGCCAGTTTCCCATTAGGCCATCTGGCTGGCTGCTGTGAGAACAGGCTGCTGGACTATGTGGGCCACTGGCCTCATCTTCTGATGTCCTGATGTTCTTACACTGCTCAGAACTGATCCTTATGGCCACTGGATGGCCGGGTGTGTGTGTGTGGCATAAAGGTAAAGGGACCCCTGACCATTAGGTCCAGTTGTGGCCGACTCCGGGGTTGTGGCGCTCATCTCGCTTTATTGGCCAAGGGAGCCGGCGTACAGCTTCTGGGTCATGTGGCCAGCATGACTAAGCCGTTTACCTTCTCGCCGGAGCGGTACCTATTTATCTACTTGCACTTGACGTGCTTTCAAACTGCTAGGTTGGAAGGAGCAGGGACCAAGCAACAGGAGCTCACACCATCACGGGGATTCGAACTGCCGACCTTCTGATCGGCAAGTCCTAAGCTCTGTGGTTTAACCCACAGCGCCACCCACGTCCATGTGTGTGTGGCATATCTGTGGCTAAAAAGCTGCCCAGGATGAGCGCCAACAATCTGAACATTATAAAGAGGGTAGAGGAATTCCTTCTGGGTTGCTATTGAGAAAGTGATGGATGGTTGATGAAGGACCCTGTGCAAGAGGCAGGGAAGGGAACATCTCCCAGGATAGGAGGCTGGAAGAAGAAAGGGAAGCTGCCAGGTGAGCGCTGGGGGAGTCCACCCCTTTCTGCAAGAGACAAGAGTTAAGATCAACCTGAAAACACCAAGGTTAGATGATCCTCAAGGCCTCTTCTGACTCTACAATTCTATGGTTCTATGACTTTGCATTTTCTTTTCTCTTTTTTTCTCATTTAGATCAGTTTGGGTTTTTTATCATACTGTATTATGACAAAGCTTCAGTTTTAAAAAAAAATGGAAAAAAGAGAGGGTAGAAGAATTCCTTTTGGGGTGGGTGGGGGGCAGAAGGACATAGTGGAAACCCAGGTTTTGAACCAGGGCTCAGTGACCCCAAACTTGCTTTCCAGGTCAGGCTGACATGTGCAGAGTCTGGCAACAGCCCTTGGGCCCCCAACCCCTTGCCACCCCAGAAGCAATCCTTTGCAAGACATTACCTGCCAGAGAAAGGAGGGCACAGATAGGATAGGGCAGTCGCAAAAGCTTTACCTGAACGTAACAGTGGCTGGTCAGAGTTGGGCTTTGGGGAGAAATAATTTTAACAAGGCTGGAATGTTCAGCTGAGGTCTCTTAAGGGAAATTAAAGAGCAGGAATCTTGTGCAAAGTTAATTGTCTGGATGTGCTTAACATGCACAGGGTTTTGGTTTCTTAGGGGGCTGGATATGCAAATAGCAGCCTTGGGATCAAGGAGTTTAACTCTCTGAAGGTGTTAGTTGCATCTCAAGGGAAGATTCCCCAGAAGCTGCTGCCTCCGTTGGAAATGCAAAGGCAAGCTTTGGAGAGGCAGCTCTTGGCAGGGAGAGAACATGGCACCCACCCACCCCCCCAGCAAGGCTGCTCAGGCTTTCTTTTGCTTTTACACAGTAAAAAAGAAAAGAAAAGCAAAAAAGCAGGCACCTGAATTTTAATTAACATCACCCTAGTTGGGCCCTCCTAGAGTTTGGAAGGTGACTCCCTCAGCCCCTTCCCTGACCTTAGCAGGTAAAGAAGATTGGGAGGAATTAAAGGCAGTCTTTTCTGCAGGGGGCAAGCAGGAAGACAGAAGCAGACCACCTAGCTCAGGCCTCCTCAACCTGGGGTTTTCCAGATGTTATAGACTACAACTTCCATCAACCCTCCAGACAGTGTGTTATCGGGGGGGGGGCTGGTGGGACTTGTAGTCCAAAACATCTGGTTGGGGAAGACTGGAAGTTTGATTGACAGCTGCCCATCAGAGAACCCTCCTTTCTTGGGCTGCCGATCAGATGCCAATAATAAACAAGTGCCTTGTTGGATGCAGGAGAGCTGATGTGGGCAGTCACCCCCTAGAAGTGCTTAGTAGTAATAATAATAATAATTTATTATTTATGCCCTGCCCATCTGGCTGGGTTTCCCCAGACACTCTGGGCAGCTCCCAATCAAATATTAAAAACATGTTACAGCATTAAACATTAAAAAAATCCTTAAACAGGGCTGCCTTCAGATGTCTTCTAAAAGTAAGATACAGTGGTACCTCAGGTAAAGAACTAAATTCGTTCCGGAGGTCCGTTCTTAACCTGAAATTGTTCTTAACCTGAAGCACCACTTTAGCTAATGGGGCCTCCTGCTGCTGCCAGAGCACGATTTCTGTTCTCATCCTGAAGCAAAGTTCTTAACCCGAGGTACTATTTCTGGGTTCGCGAAGTCTGCAACCCGAGGTACCACTGTAGTTGCTTATTTCCTTGACATCTGATGGGAGGGTTAGGGTGGGCACTACTACCGAGATGGCCCTCTGCCTGCTTAGGTTGTTTGTCTCCACTTGCATCTTTGTACGTAAAGTATTGCAAAAGTGCCCTGACTCTCCAGGTAAAAGGTAAAGGTACCCCTGACCATTAGGTCCAGTTGCGGATGACTCTGGGGTTGCATGCTCATCTCTATAGGCCGAGGGAGTGGACGTTTGTCTGCAAACAGTCATGTGGCCAGCATGACTAAGCTGTTTCTGGCAAAACCAGAGCAGCGCATGGAAACGCCATTTACCTTCCCACCGGAGCAGTACCTATTTTATCTACTTGCACTTTGATGTGCTTTCGAACTGCTAGGTTGGCAGGAGCAGGGACCGAGCAACGGGAGCTCACCCCGTCATGGGGATTCGAACCGCAACCTTCTGATCGGCAAGCCCTAGGCTCTGTGGTTTAACCCACAGCACCACCCGCTTCCCTTGACTCTCCAGGTGCCCCTCCTCAAAAAGAAAGCAGAACCCAACAAGCAGAACTGACCCTGGACCTTCTTGCTGCACAGCAGGGGCGTTGCTAGAGGTTGGACCTGGACTTCTTGCATTGAGCCCCAGATCTCCTCACCCACCCACCCTTTTCAGAACTTCAAAAACTATTATTTGCTCATAGGAGACTGCAAAGCACAGTATGGATGTGATGCCGCCCAGTTCAGGGCCTCCACCCTGATCATTTCTCAGTGGGTAGATCATGTTAATCTCAGGATCGTAGGTTCAAGCCCCAAGTGGAGCAAAAGATCCCTGCATTGCAGGGGGTTGGACTAGATGACCCTCATGGCCCCTTCCAACTCTACAATTCTATGACTCTATATAAATTAAACATTGGCACACTTGTGCCTGAGAAGGGATACGATAGCAGGCTTGAAATATCTGAAGAGCTGTCACTGGGAAGACAGAGCAAGATTGTTTTCTGCTGCTCCAGAGGGAAAGACCCCAACCAACGGATTCAAATAACAAGAAAAGAAATTCCAACTGAATATCAGGAATAGTTTTCAGGGGGCATGAGCTGTTTGACAGTGGAATGGACAACCTGAGAAGGGGGTGGACTCTCCTTCACTGGCGGTTTTTAAGCAGCAGTCAGATGGGCATCTGTTAAGGACTCCTTAGCTGTGATTCCTGCATTGAAGGGGGTTGGACTAGTCAGGGGTCAGCAAACCTTTTCAGCAGGGGGCCGGTCCACTGTCCCTCAGACCTTGGGGGGGGCGGACTATATTTTTTTTGGAGGGGAGAACGAATTCCTCTGCCCTACAAATAACCCAGAGATGCATTTTAAATAAAAGGACACATTCTACTCATGTAAAAACATGCTGATTCCCGGACCGTCCGTGGATTGGATTTAGAAGGCCATTGGGCCGGATCCAGCCCCCAGGACTTAGTTTGCCTACCCATGGACTAAATGACTCTCGTGGTCCCATCCAACTCTGCGATTCTATGATCCTGTGCCTTTAAGTGCTTTGTAACTCTCTCGCTGCCCCTGTTGCAGCAGTTTCTGCTCTTCCCCCTTCCTCTCTCCAGATGTCAAATCCATTTGCAATGCTCATGTCATGCTCGCCTCCCAAGGAGGCCAGAGGGGGTCACTCAGGGTCACGCCAGGGATAGAAGGCGCTGCCTTGTCCTGAGCCATCGACCAATGACCTGCCCAGCCCAGCAATGACTCCCGTGCTCTTCCTCTTTTTCTGAACAGTCTTTATTTATGCATTCTCAGTAGTAAATACAGACTGATGGCCTAATTCAAAACAGCTCCCTCTTCCCCTCTGCCTCCTCCCCCATTCATTCCATATATACAGTGGGGTTTTCCAGGGAGACGCAGGGGTACGCATACCCTAAACATTTTGTGAATCTAAGTTTGGCCTCATTGAGGGGCGGTATTTCAATATGAGTAGGAAAATGAGAGTACCCGTAAACATTTTTTAAGAAAAAAAGCACTGCATAGATAGATAGATAGATAGATAGATAGATAGATAGATAGATATAGATATAGATATAGATATAGATATAGATATAGATATAGATATCAAAATGGTCTGCTGCTCTGATCAGCTGGGCTTCTGAGGCCAAGGAGGCTCTTCCCAAGAATTTCTTCCCTGATCCTGAAATTGAGATCCTGCGGGTTGAACCTGCGGCCGCCTGAATGCAACGGCAGGGGCTCCACCATGGAGATATGAGGCCAAGGCCACAAGCGGCAGGTCGAGGGCTCAGACCCAAAAAAGGAAAGATTGTGGGGTTTCACAGGTTCTCGCCTGGGCACGATCCACACCTCTCTCTCTCTCTCTCTCTCTCACACACACACACACACACACCCGTCCCTGATTGATTGATTGCAGTTATATACCACACCCTTTTCTCCAGACAGCTGAAGGTAGCAGCATACATGGTTCTCCCCCTCTCCTCATTTAATCCCCCAAACAACAACCCTGTGAGGTAGGGTTAGGCCAAGATGCAGGGACTGGCCCCCAAGGTCACCCAGTGAGCCTCATGGCCAAGTGGGGGATTTGAACCCTAGTCTCCCAGAGTCTGACACTCTAACCACTGCACTGCACTGTCTCTCAGCTGGCAGTTACAAGGTGGCAAGGGGATGAGGAAAAAACACACACACTCCTCTTCCGCTGCCATTTCCCACACACACTAGGGCTGCTTTGATTCGGGCCCCGTCTCGATCCTGCCAGTATCATTAGGGGCTTACCGTGGATTTGTTCCGGGGCTCCCGCTGCAGAGAGAGCTGGTAGATCTCCTCTTCTGTCTGGTACTGATCCAGGGAGACCTGAGACACACACAAAGCAAAGTCAGAGCTTGAGACTTGCTGTTTCCAATATTAGAGTTGTCCCCGTTTTGTATAGAAAATGTTCTGCTTGCTGGCTGACCTCAGTTCAGTCCACAACTAGCCTTGAAAGTGCCACAAGAATTTCTGCTTCTCCCTTTCCTGTTAGATCTGTTGTAATCTTTCTCCAAAAACGTCTAACTGCAAGGATGGGATCCCCACTGCTCAATGGAGGGCCCCCCTCACTAAATGGGTATTTAAGTCCAGGGTGCTTCAGGGGCCACCTGAGTCCTTATATCCCAGCTCAGTCACTAATCATCTGCAGGAGTGTAATTGATCATTCCCTGAGTTGGTGAAGCTCATCAGACAACAACGAGAAAAAGAGCCTTTTGTACCACCAGCCCACACCAGTGGAACTCTCTGCCACTGGAGATTCAGCAGGTTCCTTCTGTTTCAACCTTTTAAATGCCAGCAGAAAACTTTTCTGGGCTTTTCTGGCCAGGTCCATGCAGGTAATTACTGTAAGAACATATCCTCCCACAATGGCTAACTGAAGTCTCTCTTTAACTTTCCTGTGGTTTTATTGTATGGTCATCTAGCCCAACCCCCTGCAATGCAGGAATCTTTCACTCAACATGGGACTCGAACCCGTGACTCTAAGAGTCTCATGCTCTACCAACTGAGCTAAAATAAATAAACAAACTTTGTCGAGGAAGTTTTGTAGGCCCCCTGCCTCAAATGCAACTGGGCTGCGTTGCAAAGGGAGACCCAGAGGTCACCTCAAGCAATCTGCATCCCCCCAAAATTGTGGGATGTAACATCACAAAAGCAGTCAAATACAACATTTCCTGTTTGCCCAGAGTGGACACACAGGGGAATGTTGCTCCAGCCAGGTGGACTTCCTGTCACAGCTGGTCTGGAGCATCCTCCCCCTGTGTGACCAGATAGATGGGCATGACCCTGGGAGACCCCATAAAAGGGCTGGTCACGCAGCCATCTTCCCTTCTCTCCTGATGCTCTCACTTTCTTGACTACCTTCCTTGATGCTTTTGCTGTGTGCTTGTTTCTCAGCCAGCAGCACATGGGCTCATTCCTCACAAAAGGATAAATCCACACCTTTCTCTGTAACTGTAACTAAAAGCTAAAGCCTGCCTTCAGGATCATTCTGTGAAGTGAATGTAAGTCAGGCTTCCTCAACCTCGGCCCTCCAGATGTTTTGAGAGTACAATCTCCATCACCCCTGACCACTGGTCCTCCTAGCTAGGGATCATGGGAGTTGTAGGCCAAAAACATCTGGAGAGCCAAGGTTGAGGAAGCCTGATGTAAGTAAACCTTATCATTATTTTTAAAGACTGTTGTGTCATTATTATTTTTAAGAGGGAACTAAAGGGGATTTTAGAGACGCAGGTGGCGCTGTGGGTTAACCACAGAGCCTAGGGCTTGCCGATCAGAAGGTCAGCGGTTCGAATCCCCGCAACGGAGTGAGCTCCCATTGCTCAGTCCCTGCTCCTGCCAACCTAGCAGTTCGAAAGCACGTCAAAGTGCAAGTAGATAAATAGGTATCACTTCGGTGGGAAGGTAAACGGCGTTTCCGTGCACTGCTCTTGGTTCAACCAATAAAGCGAGATGAGCACTGCAACCCCAGAGTTGTCCACGACTGGACCTAATGGTCAGGGGTCTCTTTACCTTTACCTTAAAGGAGATTTACCAGGAACAATCAAATCAGGACAAGCCAGACTGGATTGCTTAACTCAAGAGATTCAAACAAATCTACCAACTAGCTTCCTGCTATGTATAAGAGAATGTGCCTTGCTACTAACTCACTAGCATGAGTGAGGAAGGATAATATTTAATCAATATATCCTCTCCTACGATCCTCAACATTCCCACAAAAATGACCAAGTGTCTTGAAATCTGAAGTGGGGCAAGGAAGAGATTGATGGGAAGGAGCAACCTCTAAGCACTGGCATTCCAGGACCCCTCCAGGACCGGAAACTGGGGGGGACACCCAAGCGCACGGGGGAAGAAGCAGAGCTTACCATGAGCAGGTTGAGGAGGTCAGGGTTGGCCTCAAAGGGCGGACGGATGCTTTGGACCATGGCCAGCTCACTGAGGATGCTGAACAGCTGCTGCATCTTGTTCCCGTTGAGGCACTTGTGCGCCCGGTCCAGCCAGTCAGGGAGGGCCACGTGGACGGCCACCAGGTCCTTGAGGTGGACCCCCAGGATGGGGAACTTAAAGCCCACGCACTCGGCAAAGCGCCGCCGGTAGCGGCTGTAGTTCCCCACGGACGTCAGCAATTCCGTCAGTGACTCCCAGACCTGAGCAGGACAGGGGGAAACAAAGAGTCGACAACAACAGCCCCTTGAAGGCAGGCATGAAGGATGAGGAGGGGGCAGCCCTGCCTCCAGAGAGCCCAGCTCTTCCCATGAGGGCTAGCCACTTGCTTCTTCCAAATGCTTGCTATTCAACCAACATACGGGCAAATGCAGATAAGGCAAGTCAGAGGAAATGCCAGAGGTGTGGAGCTCTGAGGTTGTACTAGGGCAGGATCAGGTCCAACTTTTCCTACCAAGCAGACTGCAAGAGTACTTCAACATGGAACCCACACACTGTGGGGGTGGAGTGAGGCCAAAATTTGATTCTCCACCCCCAGCTCTTGTGCTGCCCCCCAAAGCTGGCCAAGTGATGCTGTGGGCTTTGGGAAGGAGGCACCAGGCTCTGGCAGGGTCCTAGAGCCTTCCCACCTCCTCCTGAAAGCTAGGAAAGCACTAACTAGGCTTTGGGAAGGAGACAGGATGACTCTAGGACCCTGCCAGAGCCCTCACGCCTCCTTCCCAAAGGCCAGCAGCTGGCTGACCCAGCCCCATAAATGAAAGATAAGGGTGTCTTTGCACCAGAGGGGTGGGAGGCAGAGTAGCAGGTCTTTAGGCAGCCCCACCCACAGAGGAGCTAAAACCCGAAGCATCAATCTGCTCCACACTCTCTCATCTCCCTTTAAGGATGGGGGGTGGAGACCCAGCCCAAGGAGGGGGGCAGGCAAGAGAATGAGCAGCAGCAAGAGAGGCAAGTGTGGAGCCTGCTGAGAGCCTCTGGCCAACAGATTCTGCAGCCCCTGCGAGCTCCTTACACAGCCTGCCTCTCCCCTCAATGCAAAAAAGACCCACCACCACTACCACCTACCTTGGTGGTCTCCTGGCTCACGAAACTGTGGGTCTCCTTGAGGCGGGAGATGGAGCTGTGGCTGAGCCCCCCCACCACGGCCATCAGGGTGTTGAAATTCTGCAGCTGGAGGAGCCTCTGAGAGCAGAAGGAGAGGAGAAATTGGGGGGGTGGGGGTTGAAGGACAAGGCAGGAGAGGAAGAAATACAGTGGTACCTCAGGCTACAGACGCTTCAGGTTACAGACTCCACTAACCCAGAAACAGTACCTCAGGTTATTGCTTCAGGATGAGAACAGAAATCGTGCTCCAGCGGTGCGGCAGCAGCAGGAGGCCCCCTTAGCTAAAGGTGTTACGTACTGAAGTTCTCACCCTGGGCCAGCAGGGGGATACTGTAGATAGTTATGCAAATACAGGATTGAAAAGTGATGTTCAGTGATTGGATAGTTTTAGAAAATGGCAACTGTTGCCATTTTCTAAAACTATCCAATCACTGAACGTCACTTTTCGATCCTTCATTTGCATACAAAACTATCCAATCACTGAACGTCGCTTTTCAATCCTTCATTTGCATAACTATCTACAGTATCCCCCTGCTGGCCCAGGGTGAGGACTTCAGTACGTAACAAAAGTGGTGCTTCAGGTTAAGAACGGACCTCCGGAATGAATTAAGTTCTTAACCCGAGGTACCACTGTAGTGGGAAGCAGAGGGAGGAGCAGAGTCAACCCTCACCTCACAGTTTCAGTGGATGCAATCTGAAGAAAGACTTAACATTTCTAATCAAGGTTCTTCTTCTCAGCAGCTTCCGAAGAGCCGAACAAGAAAAACACACATAGCCCACAGAGGCAAATTCCCCTTATAACAGGAGTAACTGGATAGGTCACAGTGGGGGATATTTTTGGGGAGGAGGGAGGTTCCCAGGAAAGGTGGGGAGAGCAGGACTCCCTGTCAGTTAGAGCAATTCAGGTCTTTTAGCTGGGGAATCTCATTTTTATTTAATCATCACTATTTTATTTTATTTTTATTATTTAAAGAAACAGCCTTGGAATGGGTGGGGAGAAATGTTTTAAAATAACATCCCCAGTGCCACAATTTGGATTTCAACCAGCCCCTGCCCCTATTGTTGCCTCTCATTTGAAAAAGAAAAAAATGAAAGATCTGTTGCTGATACCTTCAGGCATTCAGAATTGTGCAAAGTAATCATACCTGGCCACTCACTCTTTCTGTTGTTGTTGTTGTTGTTGTTGTTGTTGTTGTTAATATTATTATTATTATTATTATTATTATTATTATTATTATATCATCATCATCATCTGCATTTATATCCCAACCTCTCCTCCAAGGAACTCACGCTGGTTTACACAGTGCTTCTCCTCCTCCTCCCTCCTCATTTAACCCCCCACAACAACCCTGCGAGGTGGGTTGGGCTGAGAGGCAGAGACTGGCCCAAGTGGGGAATTTGATCCCTGGTCTCCCAGGTCCCAGCCTGACACTAACCACTACACCCTGCTGCCTCTCTTCTGGAGTGGGGAGTCCCTGCTTCACCCCTACCTGAGGAACCTGATTTCCCAGCGTCCTAAGACATGCAGGAAGTCTCCCACTCCCCGCCATCCCTAATCTCCTTGGGCCCAGACCCCGCAAATCAGGGGGAGTCCATGTGCAAAGTGCAGTAGCCCAAAGGCAGCTTGAGGGGAGCCCCAGGTCCCCCGGCTGCTCTTTGATGCCGGCTATAATCTGGAGCAGGCGGTTTTGTGCTGCTCCTGGATCACCTCCCGCCCCCTTCCCAATCTCTGAATGTATAAATAGATATTTAGAGAGTCTCCCGTGTGTGCGCTTTCTCTCTCTCTCTCCTCTTCAAAGAAAAACGACCTAGAAAAAAGGTTGCTCTGAACTTCACACTGTCCAGCAGGGAGAGGCAAAGGGCCAGCAGGTTTGATTAATTTAGCTGCCATCCCCACTAATTGAGGCTCCGGGCTCCAGGCGCTCACGCTTAGAAACCTTTGGGGAGGTTGCCGGGAGGCAAGGAGCAGGAAAAACAGGGCAAGACCTGAATCACAGAACTGTGGAGCTGTAGAGTCCAGTCCAACCCCTCGCAATGGAGGAATCCCAGCTGGGCTGATGTTTGTTTGTCTGTTTAAGGGGGAGCTCGGATTTGGAATTGGAAGAAACTCGGGTGGTAAATGCACCAGCTCGCGTTTGGTGTATAAAAATCAAGACGTCTGTCCTAATCTGGACTTGTCTGCAAAGTTCACAGTTTGGGTCCCCGCCGGGTTAGAGGGGTTTAGGAATTGGGGTTATAAAATACAGGATCCGGGCTCTAGAAACTCTTACATAGGATGCTCAGTGATAGCGCAACACCGCAAGAAGAAGAGGAGTTTGGATTTGATATCCCGCCTTTCACTCCCTTTAAGGAGTCTCAAAGCGGCTAACATTCTCCTTCCCCTTCCTCCCCCACAACAAACACTCTGTGAGGTGAGTGGGGCTGAGAGACTTCAGAGAAGTGTGACTGGCCCAAGGTCACCCAGCAGCTGCAAGTGGAGGAGCAGGGAAGCGAACCCGGTTCACCAGATTACGAGTCCACTGCTCTTAACCACTACACCAAGGACTGCCTCTCACCAAATAAAACGTCCTGGACCCTGAGATCGTCCTCAGAAGCCCTTCTTTGTGTGCTTCCTCCATGTGAGGTCCAGAGGGTGGCAACACGAGAATGGCAGTCGGCTACGTTCAGGGGTTGGTTTGATTGTTTGTTTGATTGATTGATTTGAGAGGCTCAAAATCAAAAGCAGGTGACAATCTCAAGAGGGTTGCAGAAGGCAAGGACGTTCTGGGCGCTGCCCTTTCTCACCTGGGCCACCATGACGAAGCGAGTGATGACCTGGGCTCGCTGCTGGGCGGTGGGCTTGCTGAGCACCATGAGCTGCACCCACTGGGAGACGCTGTTGAAGAGGGTGATGAAGCGCTCCAGGATGGGGTTGTCCACCGTGCAGCCATGCATGACGAAACTGTGGTAGTCTTGGAACTGGGGAGGGGGGGTGAGAGGGGAAAGCAGATCAGTTGAGGCCGAGGGAGGCCAGCTGTTCAAATTGTGCCCAGATAGGGCCCAGAAAACAGCACATCTGTTTTAAAAACACCAGCACGAACCCAATGCAACAACTAATATTTTGTACCTGAGCCTGCATATTTCCTCCTCCCTCCCCAATCCATTTTCCTTTCATGTCGTGTCTTTTTTATATATATAGGGACTCTATTGTTTATACTGATTTGTAAGCTGCCCTAATGGGCTTTTATTTTCTTAACAGCACAATAAAAAATATTTTCATTTAAATAATAAACACACGGTGATGCCTGGAATGATGGCACTTAGAGGATAAGGCTCTCAGCGGCTACTAGCCCTAATGGCCGTGATCCGCCTCCACTCCTGGAGGCAGGAAGCTTCTGCGGAGAGTTGCTGCTGTTGACTCTCAGGTCCTTCTCTAGGGCATTTGGTTGGCCATTCTGAAAAAAAGGGGCTGGTCCTGCTCCCAGGGTCTGATGTGGGGGGGTAAGGACACTCCTGGCTCTGTGGAAAAGCCAAGCCTGGTCTCAGAGACCTGGATGGTCGTTCCGGGGAAAGGGAGGTGGGTTGAGAAGCAGAACACAGCCAGAAGGCCGTGGTGGTCCCCAGTCTCAATGGCAATATAAGAAGATGAGACAGATTCATGGAGGAGAGGGCTATCAGAATTTCTGGCCCAATGGTTGCCATTAATTTGATCGGAATTAATTTTATAATGAAATGATTTAGAATGTTTTATCATTTTACTGTTGTTAGCCGCTTTGAGCCCGGCTTCGGCTGGGGAGGGCGGGATATAAATAAAGTTGTTTATTATTATTAATTATTATTATTATTATTATTATTATTGAAGGCTACTTGCCAGAGAACCTATGCTTCGCCTCCACGGTCAGAGGCAGCAATGCTTGCGATTGTCAGTTGCCAGAAACCAGATAAGGAGAAAGGGCCCTTGCCATTGCCATTCTAAGAGGTGTTTGTGGTGAGTTCCGGCACCTCTTTTTCTAGAAAAATAGCACTGGGTTTGGGTTGTTTTAAGAGTGCTCATAGAGACACGGCTGGCGCTGTGGGTTAAACCACAGAGCCTAGGACTTGCCGATCAGAAGGTCGGCGGTTCAAATCCCCGCAACAGGGTGAGCTCCCGTTGTTCAGTCCCTGCTCCTGCCAACCTAGCAGCTCGAAAGCACGTCAAAGTGCAAGTAGATAAATAGGTACCACTCTGGTGGGAAGGTAAACGGCGTTTCCGTGCGCCGCTCTGGTTTGCCAGAAGCGGCTTAGTCATGCTGGCCACATGACCCGGAAGCTGTACGCCGGCTCCCTCGGCCGATAAAGCGAGATGAGCACCGCAACCCCAGAGTCGGCCACGACTGGACCTAATGGTCAGGGGTCCCTTTACCCTTTACCTTTAAGAGTGCTCATATTGTGTTTGGTGATGTTTGTGTGCCACTTTCTCTCCTCTGGTTGCGAACGGGATCCGTTCCGGAGGCCTGTTCACAACATGAGTAGAACGCAACCCGCGTTTGCGCGTTTGCAGGTCGCGATTCGCCGCTTCTGCGCATGCGCATGACATCATTTTGCATGTCTGCGCATGCATGAGCGGCGAAACCCGGAAGTAACCCTTTCCGGTCTGCGGGACGCAACCTGAAAACACGCAACCTGAAGCAAACGTAACATGAGGTATGACTGTACCCGTGGCCCCACCCAGCGAAACACCCACACGCGGGAGGCGGGGGGGGGGCGGGAAGGGACTCAGCCACCGCCGCCTTCATGGATCTTACCAGGATCTTGCTGAAGGAGTGGTACTCCAGGTGGGTGAGGTGTTCAGCCAGCTCCCCCGACTCCAAGTGGTCAAAGAGAAGGGACGTCTTGCGCTTCTTCTGGGCCACCGGCTGGCGCTGTGTGACTTGCCTCTTCCACTTGTAGGTGGGGCTGGAAGGGGGACGCAAGAGTTCAGCCTCTACCTGGGATGTGCAAAAGCAGAGGTGGGGACCAGCTGGCTCCTAAAGGGTACTAAGGACCCGCCTGCCAGTCTGGCCCCAAATCCCTGGCACTTGGGGAGCTGCATGCCGCTGCCAAGTTTTTCAGATCTCAGCCTTAAAGTCCCACCATGAGGCCAGTCCTGCAGCTTGCAGAAAGTTGGCACACAACAGAGCTAAATGCAAGGTGATGTTTTCCTCGGCTTCCATGAATTCCATTCCAAACCCCACAGAGGGAGCCACCACCAAGGAGGCCCTGCACTTACTCCCAATTTGCTGAGCTCAGGGTTCTGGGGCAGAACTCGGTGGATGCCGCACACCAGGAATGCAAGGCTCACAGCCTGAGGTTCGCACACTAGAATCAGATGCAACCTGCCAGAACTTAAGCCAGGAAGGACCGGGGGCGGGGACTGTTGTGGGGGGCCCCACGCTGTTTACCTACACGCTCTCTATGTCAATGAGGCTGCTGTGACGTTGGTTCCCTTCCCGGCCCAGAAGCTCCTTCAGTTCCTTGATCTGCTCAGCCAGCTCTGGGTTTAGGTCAAATTCTGCTGGGAATGCCGAGATCCAGTATCTGCCGGAACCAGGAGTGACATGGTCAGTGGCAAAGTCAGAAGGGGGCAGCAGATTGTCTCCAAGCAAGGAGGGCAGAAGATTTGCAGCCACCTCTCCACAACCCTGCCCCACACCCAGGCAGCCCCCAAAGTCCCAAAGTACTGCAGCGTCACATGATTTTCACTGTGAACACCTTGCTTTGGGATGGGCCCAGAGTGGCTAGGGAAACCCAGCCAGATGGGCAGGGTATAAATATATCATTATCATTATTATTATTATTATTATTATTATTATTATTATTACCACAGAACATCCATCCCGTGGAACCACACCAGTATTGATAGGTTTTATTCATAAGGGAATGGAAAAGAAGAAGTAAATTTCAAAGCAAGTTTGTTGGCGAGTGCACTGTTTGGGTGCAATGTCATTTGCAGTGTGAATGGTTATTTTCTCAGTTATGCTTCAACTGTGAGGAACTTTCAAAACAGGAAGTCTCCGGCCTGACGTCTAAACTAAGAATCCCACCTGCCCTTCCTGCCGGGTCCCAGGCCCACCAACGGCTTCCTAAACTGAAAAACCCCAAATGTTACTTCCCCCTACTCCCCAAACTGTCCAAACTATCCCCTCATTTTCTCTCCATAGCAGCCTTCCCACAAACCACTCCACCCTCCCTGCTCCAGCACCTACCGGACCAAGTGGCAAGTCTTGACTTGCAGGGAGCTGTTTTCTGACCCGCGAGACTCCTGGTAAGTTCAGGGCAGAGTTAAGGAGCAAAAGGGAAAGAGGGAGGAACTGTGTGCGTGTTGTGGGGTATTTTGGGGGGGGGGTCTGGGGGTGTTTTAAACTGCAAACTATCCAATAGGTAAAGTAGAGCAAAGGTTTTGCGCTGCAGCTGCATCCAAGCTATTAAAATTATGATCACCAAAAAAAATAATTCACTTCCTGCATGAAACTTGTATTTCATGTGAGGTTTCAGCCTTCATGCATGGAACTCGTTTTATCAGCAAGCAGGCCCCAGGCTCTATTAAAACGAGGTCTCCCATCCCGCCACTGTTGTGGTTTATAAGTGTGAAGAAGAAAACACAAAAAATAATACGAAGAAAAGGATCCAAGACATAAAGAGAACAACTATACACAAAAAGAAGAAAAGCTGGTGCAACAAGGGCCTGGCAATGGGTAACTCTGGAGAGATTTGGGTAAGGCTATTAAGGGTGCCGGGAATTGTAGTTCTATGAGAGGAAAACTACAATTCCCAGAATTCTTTGCTGGGAATCTAAAGGCGCTTTAGACATATGGCATGTACACAGTCCCAGCTCCACTGCGGAGAGTGCAACTAACTACTTTCTTCATCCTTGGGAGGGTAGGGGCCAAAAGGCAGGTGCCCACTCATCCCACATTCCCCTTGTCCCCTTCACCACCCAGCTTGAAGACATGGTGGAAAATAACAGCCTGGCTGTTATTTTCCAAAGAGCAGATATTGGCAGCTTCCAGAGAGGAGGCGCCAAACGCTCATAAATCATTCCTCTTCCACTGTGAGCTGCAAATGGAAGTGACTCTCCAAGCTTCAGGGGGCCGGTCACTTTTTCTGGGTGGTCATCATCCCACAATGCTGCAGCCACAACAGGGCAGTGGGAAGAGAGGGAGGAAAGGTCCAGTATTCTCAAGCTGCCTGGGGTTTTTTGGGCGGTGGGGATTCTGAGCGAACCATATGTCTTAAGTCCTTTGCTACCCCTGCACTAAGTGTCTTCTGGACATTATGGAACTGCAGCACACACACACACCCCCCCAGGAAGCAGGACTATGCTGCCTGGAGCAGATGGGAGATGCAATTCAAAGCACCTGGCGAGCACCAGGACGGGGAAACCTAGAGCAAGACATTTGCAGAAGGAAATGATGCTGCTGGCTGGGTGTGGGGATTGTGCCTGGCGGGCTAAGGAAGGATATATCTGAAGCAACTTGGCAGCCAGCTCTGAGGAAGGGATGTACCAGGGGTGCATCATGAGGAACATGCGGACCAGCTGGGGGTCTCGAACTTTGCCCTCATCGTCTGGAAAAAAGAAAAAGAAATGCAAGTCAGAGCAAGTCCCTCCTGGGAATTTAACAACAACAACAACATCCTTCATTGGAGGTTTTTAAGCAGTGGTTGGATGGGGATTCTTTAGCTGTGACTGCTGCCTTGAGGGGGGTTGGACTGGATGACCTTGGGGGAGTCCCTTACAATTCTACGATTCTATGATTTCCCACTCTGCCTCTTGCTCCACAGGGCCCACAGCCACAAAGTCCGCCCACCCCCACTTTTCCCTCCCTCCATCACACCCTGCACACTGTAAGGATGGCCAACATGGCGACCTCCAAATCTTTCGGACTTCAACTCCCAGCAGCCCCAACCAATATGGCTGATGGTCAGCGTTGATGGGAGTTGTAGTCCAAAGTGTAAGAACTTAGGAGGAGGCTGCTGGAGCTGGGCATTGGCTCATCTTCTCCAGTTTCCTTGTCCCAGAGTGGCCAACCAGGCCCCCACCCCACCCCCCATGGGAAACCCACAAGCAGGAACTGAGCACAACAGCCACTGGCAAAGGCAATGCCTTTTGGGTACTTTGTGGGACGTTCCTCTGTTAAATGAGGTCTGCTGCCCCGCCGCCGCCACACCCCCCACACACTGCCACTTTAAGGTTTCATGTGAAAAGGCCTTTGCCTAAATATATATTCCCCTGCCCAATTTGAAAGCTTTTGAAAGCTTTTACTGCTGTCTCCCCCACCCCAAAGTAATTTTGTTAATGTGATGGCCTTTTTAGGAGTGTTTTTATCTTGGTGATGCCTGCTGCCTTGGGTCCCTTTTGGAACAAAGGCAGCTTCTAATAATGTTTACAGTCCTAGATAAACACACACCCTTCAGTTCAGACCACTCAGGAGCTCAGAAGTGGGATCAAAGACCATCCAAAGAGCCCTGGAGCAGGAGCAGCAACAACAGCTGCATCAGGTCAAAGGAGGTCGTCTGGTCCAGCATCCTCTTTCCCAGGAAGTGGGGAGGACATGATGAGCACAGTTGCCCTTTCCTGCTCATCCTCTTCTGAGGCTCTGGTGCTGGAGGGCTTGTATAGCACTATCACATCTTACGCGCATATAACTTGAGCGATTCCAACCACACGCGTTGAGGGCTGGCTGGTTAAAACTACACAAAATAAATGAATGCACAGCAGAGAGCTTCAAAGCTCTTTTCTGCACCAGGTTTTCCCAGCGTGGAAAGTGCTTTTCATTTTCCAATACAATTTTTACCGAATTTCCAAATTTGTACAAATTAACTTCAAATCCAATAGTTGCATTGTTTCATGCATTGACTTCCCACCCACACCCTCCAGTGTTTTTACTCAAACTCCTTTATATTGCATTCTCAAATTCTCTTCTATTACCAAAACCCCTGTAATATTTTATCCTTTTTCTTCTGCCGCTCCTATCTTGTACCCTGCCCGCAATTTCATTTGTTTGCAGTGCTTGTCCAAATAGGCCAAAAAAGGGCCTCCACTCTTCTATAAAAAGCTTGTCATTTTGATCTCTTAATATTGCTGCCAGCTTTGCCATTTATGCATAGTCCGTGACTTTTAAAAGCCATTCCTCTTTTTTCAACTCTGCCCTGCTTACCTGGCAAGGCCCACTCAGCACAGGGGCTTTGGGATACCCTCACGAGATCTCACGGGGCCGTCCGAGTTCCCGCGAGATCTCATGGGGCCATCCCCATACAGTGGTACCTCAGGTTACATACGCTTCAGGTTACAGACTCCACTGACCCAGAAATATTACCTCGGGTTAAGAACTTTGCTTCAGGATGAGAACAAAAATCGTGCTCCGGCGGCGCAGCAGCAGCAGGAGGCCCCATTAGCTAAAGTGGTGCTTCAGGTTAAGAACAGTTTCAGATTAAGAACAGACCTCCAGAATAAATTAAGTACTTAACCCGAGGTACCACTGTACTTCCAGAGTCAGCACACCAATGCAATGCAGGACAGGAACAGGTGCTTTAGAGCATCGCCAGGCCAAGAAAACCACTGCCCCACCTGCTGAGACCTCAGTCATTTGTCCCTTCCCTGCCTCTCCTGCTCCTCCTCACCAAAGGCCTCGATGCAGCCCTGCAGAAGCTCGTCCACTGTGCAGCCCTTTTCCAGGTCCAGAGTCTCAGACATTGTGGCTCCCGGATCCCCTTCGCTCACGAAAGACGCCACACGGCCACCAGCGGGTCGCTATCCCCAGGGAGCAGGGCAAAAACCTGAAAAGAGAGAAGGAAAGAGGTTTCAGACATCTCTGAGGTTACAAAGGAGCGTGTGCTCTCCCTCCCTCGGGGCTTGGCCTGGGGGAAGTGGGTGCAGGAGCCCAGAGGGGGGTTTTCCCCAGATTAATAGCATGCCAGGGACGCGGGTGGCGCTGTGGGTTAAACCACAGAGCCTTAGGACTGCCGATCAGAAGGTCGGCGGTTCTAATCCCTGCGACGGGCTGAGCTCCTGTTGCTCAGTCCCTGCTCCTGCCAACCTAGCAGTTCAAAAGCACGTCTAAGTGCAAATAGATAAATAGGTACCGCTCCGGCGGGAAGGTAAACGGCGTTTCCGTGCGCTGCTCTGGTTCGCCAGAAGCGGCTTAGTCATGCACAGCAAGAGGGTCTCTGCGCCATGGCACAGCAAAAGGGTCTCCAAAAAGGAGGGTGGAAGGACAATGTTCATTCATAGCTGCCGCCACCCCAACTGGAGTGGGGGGAGACAGAGAAAGACTGTGCATAGGGGGGTCTCCCCTTAGGGACGCGGATGGCGCTGTGGGTTAAACCACAGAGCTTAGGACTTGCCGATCAGAAGGTCGGCGGTTCGAATCCCCGCGACGGGGTGAGCTTCCGTTGCTCAGTCCCTGTTCATGCCAACCTACCAGTTCAAAAGCACGTCAGAGTACAAGTAGATAAATAGGTACCACTCCAGCAGGAAGGTAAACGGCGTTTCCGTGCGCTGCTCTGGTTCGCCAGAAGCGGCTTAGTCATGCTGGCCACATGACCCGGAAGCTGTACGCCAGCTCCCTCAGCCAATAAAGCGAGATGAACACTGCAACCCCAGAGTCGGTCACGACTGGACCTAATGGTCAGGGGTCCCTTTACCTTTACCTAATAGCATGCCGGGTTACTGGGTCACTATTAGCACATCAGCCAAGCGGCTTGAGATCAGCTTGCCTGATGAGCAGCCTGCCCAAGGCTTACAACAGGCCGCAAGGAAGAAGTGGAGGCCCTGCTCCCAGATCTGACATAAAGACCCAGCCGACTGGCAGATATGATAGGCAGGGCCTTTCTAGTTCTGGCCCCTGTACGTAGAACCCTCTCCCCCAAGAAGTGCTAGGCTAGGTTTTGAACAAACCCTTAAAATGTTAGTTTCTTCCAACTGCATTCTATTAAAAGGTGGCGTTTTAAACTGCCTTCGTCTCCAGCTCTTTCTGGGTCTGTTTATTTTTGTAACCGAATTGCTTTATTTGTATTTTAATTTTTGTTTTATGGTTTCCGTTCTCCTTTGCCACCTGCTTTGAGTACACTTTGCCCTGAAACGTGGGATCTCCATACTTTCAGATTGACCAATGAATCAATAAAATGGCAGCCCAGCCGGTGTGATAAGAAGCGTAAGGGTGCAAAAAGAGGCACGTGGTCACCATCGTAGTTTGGTTGTGGGAATATCAGCCAGCTGGGAATGGCACTTTCTGCCTTCGCTCTGGGATGCCAACATTTCCTTAGCTCCCAACCTACATTGTGTCTCCTAGTCATGGCATCTCTCTTTCTCCCCACCACCCAAATGCCGTGAGGACAGTCTTGCTGGTGCTGCCCACCTACCCCAGCATACTGCCTCCAACAGCGGAAAGCCTATTGCTCCAGAAAGCTCTGCAAGTCGGGCCCTGAAGGCAACACGGACCCCCCTGAAGCATTCAAAACAGCCTCCTGAGAACTAGCTGCTTTGGGGACACCCCCCCCCCAGGAAGTGCTCAGCGTCATCTCAGAACAGCAATGGGGGAAAGGAAGCAGCATTTGAGGGCAGGCGAGAGGATGGAGAAAGCCACTGGGTTGAGTCTCTTCCACCCACAGAAGATGTCAGAATCATACTCCACGACTTTTAAGTGGGGGCTGCTCTTGCTGGGGCAGATTATATAATAATTGTTTCTTTGAAGAAGGGAACTGGGTGACTTGTCATTTGCTTCATCCTCATCCTTAACGATACACTGAACTCAAATGCTATCTCCGGCATGTTGCAGTGGCTCGCTGCTGAACTTCCCCAGCCTCGGGGTACATATTTGGTTCTGCAACAGGGGTGGGGAACCGAGGTGGGGGCTGGGCTCCAGCTTTTGTGGTACTAGAACTCCTATCACCCTATGCTGGCTTCTGGGCAAGGCTGGATTAACAATTAAGCAAAATAAGCATGTGCTTAAGGTGGGCACGGCAGAGAGTTTCCATTTCCAGACTTGCTACGGACCATATGGTGCAGCTGAACAAAAATAAACATTATTTCTACAAATATAGAAAAATAAACATTATTTTCCATCTTACGGTAGGTTTCATTTCATTTTGAAAAATGAAATTTCATTTGATGGTTGATTATTGTTGAAAATTTGAATCAGATATACATGGGGGCACCAAAATCTTTTAGGGGCTTCCGACAGTGTTTCCCAAACTTGGGTCTCCAGTTGTTTTTGGACTACAATTCCCATCATCCCTGACCACTAGTTCTGCTAGCTAGGGATGATGGGAGTTGTAGTCCAGAAACAGCTGGAGACCCAAGTTTGGGAAACCCTGACTTAGGGCCTCTAAAGGTCTTAAAATCTGGCCCTGACAATGGGAGTTGGAGGCTGGAAGCATCGGGATGACGGCAGGTTTCCAATCCTTGTTCTAGGGAGGATCTCCACTTGACAGGCCACAAGCAATAAATTTGAGATTTAAACATTCCCCCTATGATCCCCTTCTTATTGCACATTCATTTGTGCTCGCAATGCTATCACGGCAGTCACATACCATCCCACTTTTGACACTTTGGGACGCGGGTGGTGCTGTGGTCTAAACCACTGAGCCTCTTGGGCTTGCTGATCAGAAAGTCGGGTTCCAATCCCCAAAATGGGATGAGCTCCCATTGCTCTGTCCCAGCTCCTACTAACCTAGCAGTCTGAAAGCACACCAGCGCAAGTAGATAAATAGGTACTGCTGCGGCGGGAAGATAAGCGGTGTTTCCGTGCACTCTGGTTTCTGTCACGGTGTCCCATTGCATCAGAAGCGGTTTAGTCATGCTGGCCACATGACCCAGAAAGCACCGCAATCCCACAGTCACCTTTGACTGGACTTAACTGTCCAGGAGTCCCTTACCTTTTTTTTACTTTTACTTCTTGCACCTGCAAAGGTTTTGGGGTGATCACACTGCCTCACTTCCAGGTGGTGCACACCCCAAACCTTCCTGCTGAAAACCCGTAACTTTTTACAACACAAATTGTTCTGCTTTATTTTTGTCCTACTTGTGTTGTGCTACACACACATACATCTCCAACTCCAAGAGCAGAGAAAAAGATCCAGCACTCCGGGCTCTGAGCAGGGCCTCTCTGCCTCCTTTTGGACATCTGAACCCAAGCCAAGCAATCTTCAGTCCCCTGGAGAAATGTTGGACCACAATCCCCTCTTGCTGCTGCCTCTCTATTCAGGAGGAAACAGGGCGACGCACAGCTGGGGTGGGGAATTCATTTCCTCAGCCCTCCTCTTCCTCCTCCTCCTGCTGCAAATGGGCAGGAGCAGAAAAGGACGGGGTCTCCTTGGGGGACGAGGGCACAAAGTCACTACTGCCCCCCCTCCCCAAGCAGATTCTCTCGCCTGTCCATCCTGCCACCCTCCTCCTCCTCCTCGTCCCAAGCAAGGGAAAGAAGCAAGGAATGTTGGAAAGGCACACTGGGCTCCAGAGCTTCTGCCAAGGGATGACTCAGGGCTGGCAGCTGATTTTAGACAGGCCCCTCCGCTGCCTGGGAATTCCAACTGGCCTCTCTCAGCGGCTCTTGTCCCTGGAAACGCCAGGCCTAAACAGAGAGACTGCAGCTCATGGCCGCCCAGAGAAAAGAGCTCAGTTGTAGGCTGCGAAACTTAAGAACCTAAAAAGAGCCTAAAAAAATCGGGCCAGCGGCCTGTCTAACCCAGCCTCCTGTTTTCACAGTGGACCACCAGATGCATGTAGGGAGCCTGCAACCACCAGACCACTCTCCCGCCCTGTGTTTTGCAGCAACTGGCAAACAGAAGCATCGCTGCCTCCAACTGCAGAGGGAGTGCATAGCCATTGACAGCCTGTCCCTCCATGAATTTGTCCAGTCCTGTTTTAAAGCCAAGTTGGTGCCCATCACTGCCTCTGGTGGCAGGGAGTTCCATTGTCTAAGAAGCTTCACCTGCCGCAGGCAACAGACCGTCACACCAGCACATCCAAACACAACGCACTCATCCCTCTCAATGTGGTATGGTGGTCAGAGTGTCTCGCTAAGGGCCCGGGAGACCAGGGTTCAAAGCCTCATTCGGCCATGAAATTCACGGGGTGACCTTGGGCCAATCGCTATCTCCTACCCTAACCTACCTCACAGGGCTGATTATAGAGGATAAAATGAAGAGAGGGAGAACCATGCCTTGAGTTCCTTAAAGGAAAATAAGGAGAGGTGGAAATGTAATGAATAGATAAACATGGTTAATACAAGAAAAAAGGAGACTTTTAAGTGTTTAAAACAGAGCCTGGATAGCTCAGCTGGTTAGAGTGCGGTGCTGATAATTAATGCCAAGGTTGCGGGGAGCTGACAGAGCTGCACACCCCCCCCCCAAGACAAGAACTAGGAAACTTCTCTCACCGTCTTAGCTCAATTCTGTATCTATACGAACTGGCAGCAGCTTAGACAAGGAGTCTCTCCCAGCCCTGCCTGAAGATGGTAGGACTTGAACCTGGGACCTTCCGCACGCAGAGCAGGTGCTCAACCACTGAGCTACAGCCTGACTTTGGCTGCATTCTGAAAACACATGCTGCTCCCTTTCTCTTGCTAATCTATTGAGCTGTATCACTAAGGCCTTAGGAACACAGAAAGTTGCCCTATACTGAATCAGACCCCCGCTATCCGTCTAGCTCAGTATGGTCCACACTGGCCGGCAGGAGCTCTCCAAGGTTTCAGGCAGATGCCTGCAGATGCCAGCAGAGACTGAACTCTGGCCGCAGGGATTTGTTGTTTTGAGTACCAGAACTGAAGTGTGCTCACACAAAATGTGCTCTCATTCCCACAAGTGATCTTCATTTCGGCAGGATAATTGAGGGCGGCATCGTTTTACTGTTGCTTTGTTTAAACCACCGGGAGTCAGAAATACTTGCAAATCACAGAGAGCAGGCAATAGATCCAATAGATCTTTCTCCTTCTGACACCCCCTGGTGTAGAGTGCTTGGAAAGGGTAGAAGCCTGTTTAGCCTGGGTAAAAGAGGTCTTTGGGGTGGGCGAGGGGACGCACAGAAGCCCCCTACAAATCCCAGAAGGGCTTTCCTCATCATCACCATGCAGAAGAGGCGGCTCCCAACAAAATATTTTTTTAAAAAACAGTAAAACATCACCCATTAAAAACTTCCCTTAAGAGGGCTGCCTTCTAAAAGTCAAACAGTTGTTTATCTGTTTGACATCTGTTGGGAGGGTGTTCCACAGGGTGGGTGCCACTGCCAAGAAGGCCCTCTAGATTTCTGTTGAATGTTAGGGGACACTTCTTGGTGCAGAGAGAGGGACGGAAGGCCCGCTCTCCCGCCCTGAGGATTTCAAGCTGTGTCTGCACAACCACCTGTCAGAGATGCTCAGACTCTGGATTACCTCCATGGACCAGCCAGAGGGCTGGTCAAGGCAGATCCCCACTCAGCCATGTCCCTCTCTGGGCTAGTCATTGTCTTTCGGCCCAGCCTACCCCGCAGGGTTGTTGTGCGTGGGGAAGAGGCCCCCAGGCCTGTGAGCTGGAAGGTGTTCAAGCAGAGAGGCGGGCAAGCATCTGCTGCTCCTTCCCCCAGCAGGGAGTTCTCCAGCGCAGCGCCCAGAATCCCGGCGTGGAGTAAGGAATGTCTTTATGTCGTAGAAGGAGATTATTATTAATCTTTTGAGACAGGCCTTTGTGCTCGGAAATGGTGGGTTGGCGTTTTTTGCTGGCGGAGTTATTTTTAGGCAAGTTTTGCTCAAAAGCCAGGCAGGAGCGCCAGGAGCTGAGAGATGGCAGGCCAGGTCGGTTGGCTACAGGAGAGGCGCCGCTTCAAGAGAGGCACAGCCCTTCAGACCCCACATCTCAGGGTCTCCCGTCCCCTCCTGATTCCTGCAAACTGATTTCATTTTCTCTTCTCATCCCGCACCCCCCCCATCCATTCACCGCACCTCCAACGCAATGCATACCCAAAGGCCTCCTTGCAAAATTGCATGTTGCAAAATGCCATTTCCCAACAGCCGCCCTCGAGAGCAGGGTAAATATATTGACAGCAGATTGTCTGAGTGGCACAAACATTTATCAACACGCGCAGCTGCTGCTGTTGCTGATTTTGCACACACACAAAAGGCGAATGGGGAGAGATAGACAGAGCAAGCCCCGGTGCTGCAGAGGGGGCGCGCACAAAGGCAAGCGCCCCCCCCCCGCGCGCGCGCTCTACAATCCAAAGCCTTCGCGCAGGGCGGGGGTGGGAGGTGGGGGTGAAATGCAAGTTTGCCCTCTGCACACAACCTGCGCATCACCTCCCACAGGGCTCCTGCCACCGCAAACCCGCACACACAAAGACACACATACACACACACGCTGCCGAGACGCACAGGCGAGGCGCCACCGTTTCGCTGCTGCTTTGCATGCACGGCGGGCGCCCACGGCAGGTGCAGCCCCGCTGCCACGCAAGGGCCACACACCAGGCAACAACCCCCCCAAAATCATGGTGCACCGAGGGGCCACGGCGCCCTTCCCCAAGCCCCGCTGAGCCCAAAGCACTGGTGGCTCCACATGTCCGGTCTTCTGCCCTCCCCATGGAAGGCTGAAGCGGGCTGCGACAGCTGCCCTACAAGAGCAGGGGAAATGCTGCGCGGTGTCGGGGGGGGGGGCGTGCGGGGAGCGCAAAGCTGCACTTTGCATGGCCCTCAAATCGAGCAAAGGCACCCAGGCGGCGGAATGGGCGCTGCAAGGCAGGTGACCTCCCTCTTTCATTTGGGCAACGGGGTGGGGGGAGGTGACCCCAAACCTCTTCCCTCCCACCCCCCACTTCCATGCGGCAAGGGGGTCAGAGAGGCTTAACTTCTTTCTAAAACCTGCCTACCTGGACACCGCCCCTTCTGGGAAGCGCAGGTGCTGCGGATGGGCTGCCAGGGGAAAGGCACTCTGCACGCAGGCAGAGGCACTCTCTCCGCCTGGGCAGGTGCTTCCTCGGGGCTCTCGCGTCCCACCCTTCCAAAGAATAGCGCTGGGGCAAAAGCAATGCCTTCCCCCGCCACCTTCCCAGGAGGCGCGCACTCAGTACATGCCCAGAGGTGCTCTCGCCGCTGGGCTGCAAGGAAGGGTGCGCGCTGACCTCTAGCAGAATGGCCCAGGGAACGACTCCCTCGGCGGGAGCGACTCTCGCGCTCTCCCGGCCAGGCTGGCGGCGGCGGCGGCACTCACCGTGGCTTCGGGGCGGCTCCAGCCCGCTGGCGCTGCGCTCCGACGGCCGCTCGGTCCGGCTGCGGCGGCGCTGCCTTTGCCTTTGCCTCGGCGTACGCAAAACGCAGCCGCGTCTCGCCACCGGAGGGAGGGCGGGGACGGAAGGAGGGAGGGAGGGGAGAGCGAGGCAGCGGGGAGAGGACCAGCCCAGCGCCCTCCCGCCTCGGACGCCCCCTCGCCCCGCTTGCCTCTCCGACCCAGAGCGCACGGAGGAAGGGGTCAGGGCTGCTCCGACAGAGACGGAGGAAAAGGGGGAAGGAGCGAGGAAGAGGACCCCCGTAAGCTCCGCGCGCGCCCCCGCCCGGTGGTCGTCGTGGCTTCTTGGACCCCCAATCTGCTTCTCACCTGCCCGGCTCAAGTCTGGAAGGCGGCAGGCCTTGGTCCCAGGGTGCCTCTGAGAACGAGCAGAGTCTCTTTCCTCTTCGGGATGGCCCGTCTGAGAGAAGGTGAGGGGGCCGCCCTCTTTCAGCGCCAGAACTCACCCCCAGCCCTCAATCCAACAACGCACCGAGAGAAATCGGAAAGAACAGGGTGTCCCAGAGCACGTGCAGAGTGTGTTTCCCGAAACACACAGAGGCAAAGTAAGTAAAAGTGCCCCAGTGTTTCCGAATCAGTGAAAGGAAAAATGACAGAAGCATGTGTAGAGAACAGCTCTCAAAAGATCGGAGAGCAAATAAGAGGACGCCTCAGAGCATGTGCAGAGTGCGTCCCCCCAAATAACAGAGGGCATGAGCAGAGTCTTCTTTATAGGAGAGTGTATGTGAGAGAGGGGGAGGGAGGGGCGCCGTCAGAGCTGATCCCGACTGATGGGTTAACTCCTGTAGTTCTGCAAAGAAGCGAGATTTGCTCAAAGCTTCGTTTTTTAAAAAAATAAATTATTCTGCTTCTGCTGCAGAGCAGCATATAAAAGTAGCACACCGAAAAAGCAAAACAATTTCATTAACAAAGCAATTACTAATTGGGGAGGGGGTAGCTTTCCCCCTCCCACCAGACACTAAGTCGTGCCCCCACCCACCTTCCCAAGAATTTACACAGGATAACTCCCCCCCTCCCCGGATTCTGCTCTATTTCAATATGTGGGGAATAAATTAAGAACCTTCCCACTGGGGGTGGGGGGGGGAGACTGTATTGAGGAGGGGGTTGTGTCATAGATGAAGTGTGCGCTTGTGTGTGTGTAGGCACTCCCCAGAAAGTGCTGCCACTACTGGGGTGCATTTTGGGGTGTCACGGAGGCAGGGGGGGTGCAAAGAGGAGGCCTGAAGCGCCACTGCAGCCCTCCAGGGGTCCAGAGATTGCCCGCATTTTGGCAGCGCAGCATCCCCCGGTTGCCATAGCAACTGGCTCTGCAGGGCTCTGATTGAAGAGGGCTGGAGGGCCTGGCACTACTCGACTCCCCCTCCCCAGTCCACCTCCCCCCCCCAACCAGGTTGAGTGCACATGAGAAGCTGACTCAAGGAGGCATTGGCCTTTGTCTCCGCCTTGCCATATCCTGATGAGCAGTCAGCCCTCTGCACATGCCAGGAGGCACCCTTTCATTTCTTATGATAGACACGGGTGGGTTTTCTCAGAGGCATGCGCTCTTCTCCCTGCACAAAGCTTGGCCCCTGACCATGAGCAACTGGTGCTCCCTCCGAGATGAAGAAGCAACAGAACGCCTCTGAGCACATACAGAGTTCCTTCCCCACACAGCTGCAAAAAAGGGGCTTTTGAGAACGAGGTTGTGGCTTCGAACAGGTTCATATCCGAGAGCCTTTCCTCTTGAGATATTAAGCACCGTTGCTGACCAGACCTGGTTTTAGCTTTACCTGTGCACAGGCCACCCACCCCCGAACATGAGTTGATGCTGGCCCTGGAAGCATTTAAAGAGTTGTAACAGTTTTAATTTGTTTCAGTCTGATTTATTGCCATTTTAATCTTCGGCATGTTTAAATCACGGCTGTAAAAATTTTAGTGACAATTTTATTGTTTTATCATTTTTATAAAACTGCATTGCATTTTTTCCTACAATCAAGCAGTATATAAATGTTATGAAATAAATAAGAGAAATAACAGAGGGCTGGTGTTTCACCCCTCGGCTGTAAACCATTCCTTCTTCTTGCCTGAGAGGCTTTGGGAAGCGGGGGGGGGGGGCAGGAGGCATGGCTTTTGGACTATCCTGAGAGGAGGTCCTCCTCTCCCACCTCCTGCCCAGCCAGGCTGAACGCAACCCATAGAATCAGGTCCGTAGAGTTGAAAGGGACCCCCAGAGTCATCTAGTCCAACCCCCTGTGGGGCAAGAATGACAGCTTAAGCATCCCTGACAGATGGCTGCCCAACCCGTGCTGCTGGAAGTGGTCCCTGCAAATGAGCCTTTATGCCAGGAGCTTTCCCAGGTGGGAATTTCCCACTGCAGCTGCCCTCCGCACATGGCTTAGGATGCCACATGGAGCACAGCAGAACTGGCTTCCAAATTCCAAATAAGCCCGGTCAGAATCATGACTGTAAACTCACGAGAGCCTAAGAACATGGGTAGGCAAACTAAGGCCCGGGGGCCAGATCCAGCACAATCGCCTTCTATTTTTTTTTATTAGAAATTTTATTTACAACATAACATAAACCCCCCACCCCCCCAATACAGAAATCCACCCTCATTAAACGTGAACATAACATACAATAAGCATAACATACAACAATACAAACAACCAAATAAAATACTTCCTTTATCCTGTATCTGGCCTCCTTATTTACTTCTTATAAGCTGTTTCCTTTATGAATGATTATTAAGATTTTTCTAATTATAACTTAAATATCCCCAAAGTCTCCTGCAGACATTACAAATCCAAACAAGTCCAGGTACGTATTTTAGGGCACTGTTTTGTGAAGTATTCTCTGCATTTCCCCCATGCTTTTTGAAACTCTTATCTAGTGTGATCTCTAATTGCCTCTGTTAATCTAACCAGTTCAATATACTCTAACAGTGGCACAGGAGCGGCAAGGATCCTAATTGCTAAAAACTGGAAAAAAGAAATTGTTCCAACAAAAAAAAGGAATGGCCCAATTGCCTTCTAAATCTGGCCCGCAGACGGTCCGGGAATCAGCGTGTTTTTGCATGAGTAGAATGTGTCGTTTTATTTAAAATGCATCTCTGGGTTATTTGTGGGGCATAGGAATTCGTTCTCCCCCCCCAAAAAAAAATAAAGTCCGGCCCCCCACAAGGTCTGAGGGACAGTGGACCGGCCCCCTGCTGAAAAAGTTTGCTGACCCCTGGCCTAAGAAGCACCTGCAGGGTCAGGCCAACCTGTTCTCACAGTGGCCAGCCCAAGGAAAACCTACAGCAGGATTCAAGCCCAAGAGCCCTTTCCCCTCCTGTGGTTTCCAGTAACTGATATTTCCTGCCTCCAGCTGTGGAGACAGAACAGAGCCAACATGACCAATAGGCAGTGATAGTCTTCTCTTCCAGGGGTTTGTCCCATCCTCTTTTCAAGCCGTGCAGATTGGTAGCCACCCCTGTGGCCGTGAGTTCCTTAATTTAACTATGTGCTGCGTCAATAAAGAACTTCCTTTTATGTGTCCCGTATCTTCCAAATCTTACAGGGGAAACCTTCAGGGGGTCTGAGGTCAGGCCCACCCGGCTCACCCACCCAGGTCTCGGCAATACAGGCCAAGGCAGCTCCTTCATCCTCTTTCAGTTCCACCACCTACAGCACCCTCTTTTCAGGATCAGGCAGTCTAAGGTCCCCCACCCACCCACTGGACAGCAGAGTGAGGACGCAGTGGAAAAACAACAGCCAGTTGCTTCTCTTTCAATCACTGTTTTTCCAACCTGAGCTTTTGGGGAAGCCCTGAGTGGGAAGAACTGAGAGTTCTGGGCCAATTCATAGAGGGCCTAAGCTCCAGAACTCAGCACCGAGGCTAAAACCTGGAATACGCCTAGGACAGTACGAAAGAAAACACCTTTGAGCATGTACAGACTGCTCCTTTCCTCGCCCTCTTGAGACGTATCTTGGGTCCCACCCAACTGAGATTCAGCAGGCAGACCTAAAGACCCAAGCGGTTTCCTTTGGGTCTGATGGTGACTTTTAGCTGCGTTTTCATACTCAGCCACGAAGCTCTCCCCTTGGGTGCCACCCAGATTTGTAGGCACAGATCATCCTCTAGAATAAAATAGCTTACTAGGGAAATGCTGAAGTCGCCTTTTGGGGTGCCTCAGGGTCAGTTTTTTATGGTAGCCCAAATCTCAGGTGTATGGGTGTATGTATATATCTCAATTTTAACTCATGAGCTATTGCTGCAATCTGCTCCAATTGTTATGTTATGTGAGCTGGTCTTTGACTGTAATAAATTATCTCTCTATCTACCTTGGGTGCCATTCACCGCCTCTCTACCTAACCTACCTCACAGGGTTGCTGTGGAGATTAAACGAGGAGTGGGGGGGCAACTATGCGAGTCACCTTGAGCTCCTTGGAGGCAACAGTGAGATGTAAATGCAAAACAGTGAATGCAATATGATTTTATTTTATTTTAAAGGGGGTTATGTTTTGCTTCATTATGATTGCCGGCTCTCAATTGTTTAATGAATTGCAACAGTGGTTGGACGGACCTTAGTTGATTCCTTTTTCTGCCTTGAGAGGATTTCACCCTTGAAGGTGGCTTTAAATGTTTTTAATAGCACAAAGTGAAGAGCAGGAGGTACAGGTTGTGGATCGGATTACTCAGATTGGCCAGGAAAAGGAGAGCTACTACATGAGGTTGCAGACCCTCCAAGGGTCCCTATTTCCCAGGGACAGTCTCAGATTTACAGAAGTCATCCCAGTTTCTGATTTGATCCTGGAATGTCCTGCTTTTCCTTAGGACGTTCCTTTTTTTTTTGCCATTTCTATCACAGGCAATTTTATTTATTTATTAACATTCTTATGTTACATTGGTAAATATTGTCATATTACATTACAGAGCTTATTATAATATATTTTCAACATGTATACCGAGATTATATACCAACTTTATATACCTGGATTATATACCAACTTTATATACCTGAAGAGAAAGAAAAGAAAAAAGAAAAACAAAGAGAAAAAACAAAGACAACCCCCCCCCCCAAATCATATACGTACCAACACATTGGACTTCCTATCTATCCTGTTGTATATTCCTTTTTTTACATATGAATGTACTCATATTATTGTATGGACGTTCCTATTTTCATTGGAGAAATGTTGGAGGGTACGGAGTTATGCGACCCCCCGAGCCAAAAAGATAAGTAACTATACAACCTTTAGAATACATCTGAAGGCTGGGAAGGGGTTTTTTTGGTTTAATGTTTTATTATGTTTTTAATCTATGTTGGAAGCCGCCCAGAGTGGCTGCAGCAACCCAGTTTGATGGGTGGGGTATAAATAAATATTATTATTATTATTATTATTATTATTATTAAGGAATAGGATGTCCCTGTTTTCATAGGTGAAAAGTTGGAGGGTATGAGGTCATGACCATGGGGCAGGCCTCACCCCCCGGCTGCCTCCCCACCCACAGAAAAATGACTTGAATAGGCACTCTCCTTTTCTGATGGGTTCAGTTCAAATATCCTTTCCCATCACCTTCCCTGGGAAGGATATGGAAGAACAGCATCACGCCATCCCTATGGCCTCGTCTGTCACAGCTCTGAGGCTGCCAGGTGCCAACTTTGCTCTGGGAGTTACACCTGGGTCCCCCTGAAGCAAGGAGACACAGGTGCACCGGGCTGCAGATTTGCCCACACTCTCTCCTCAGAGAGGGTGCTATTTTAAAGCAGCGTGCGGGAATAAAGAGGCAGTTTCAGGCTGGCGGTACTGGCAAAGCCCAGGACATGATGCATTTCTTTATTTAAAGCGATTTTCTCCTGATCGTCAGCTCCGGAGGCTCAGCTTACATGCAATCAAGTAAAACAAAAAACAAAAAACAAAAACAAGGCAGTCCGTCCCATCAGCCTTAAAAACTCAAGACACAAAAGGAAAAAGGCATGGGGAGGGCAGAGGGAAAACAAGCCCCAATTGCTGAATGTGGCAACAGAGGAAGAGGATGCAGTGCCCTCTAGAAGTTTTCGACTACAGCTCCCATTATCCATGACTATGGCCACACTGGCTATGGCTGATGGGAGTTGGAGTCTTGACTAGGCCTGCTCCGTTGGCTGGAGGTCATGTCAGGGCAAGTTGGCTTTTCTGAAAACAGCAGGAGGTGGTGATGGGAAAGACTCTCCCTGCTGGATATTCTGAAGAGCTGCTGCCAGCCTGTGTTGGCTAGCTGTAGCTCAGTAGCAGAGCATCTACTTTGCAGGCAGAAACGTCCCGGTTCAGTTCAATGGCCAGCTCCAACATCAGTCCTGAAACTTGCCTGTTGTGTCTCCCTAGAGCTCCAGTGAGTTTTCCCTTAGGAGTCAGCTGCTTCTGTTGGTGCAGGAAGAGAAAAGGTGGAAACAAGCAAACACACAACCAAAAACCCCACGGCCATTCCTGCTTTCTACAAACAATACCATTATTGGTACTATTTTTATGCCCTTGAGATTTTAGGGTGAAAGGCAGTCTACAAATGCAATACATAAAATAATAATAATTTCCCACTGGCCTCTCCAGGAAGGGCCGAGACCCCGGAGAGCCACTGCCAGTCAGTGTAGACAGTCCTGATAAGGCAGCTTCCTAGAATCATGGAATTGTGGAATTGGAACGGATCCCAGGGGTCATCTAGTCCAACCCCCTGCTGTGCAGAAATCTCAGCTAAAGCATCCTTGACAGATGGACGTCCAACCTCTGCTTAAAAACCTGTGGTGCCCTCCAGATGCTGGACTACAACTCCCATCAGCCACAGCACCCTGTGGCCCTGCTGGTTGGGGCTGCTGGGAGTTGTAGTTCAAAATGCCTGGAGGGAAAGCTGGAAGCTCCAGCCAGAGGTAGCAGGAGGATACGTGATTTGAGGGGGGGACATGTGCATGGCGGACGGTGTGCAGGTATGTGCCCAGCTCCTGGCCCTGTGATGGCACAGCTCAGTGTGTGGCACAGCAGCCGCCCAACCGCGCAGCCAATTATGTCCTGCGGCTCCCCTGCCAGCTGTGGATCCAATTATGGGCCTTGCAGTGCCAGCCTGACCCAGAGGATGAGCCCTGGAGGGGGCCCCAGCCCACTGCTCTCCTGCAGGAGGAGGTGGGGGAGCTGGGATCAGAGGAAATCGCCTCCAGGCAGGGCTTCAAAGCTCAGAAGAGCCGCCCCCCATCCTCCCACTTGCCAGCCCACGCCTGCTCAAACCCCTGCTTAGGAATATACAGTATGCCAAGTCAGGCCATTGGTCCATCTAGTTCAGTATTGCCTGCACTGGCCAGCAGCAGCTCTCTATGGTTTCATCCCAGTCCTAACTGGAGATGCTGGGGATTGAACCGGGGACCTTCTGCTTGCAAGGCAGGTGCTCTGCCACTGAGCTACCTCCCTCCCTCCCAGGCTTCACTGATGCCAGCACTTACATCCCTGGATTTGTGTTGGGTTTTTTCTTAATGAAACTGGGACTCAGGCTCTGGCACACTAGGAGGAATAATAAGCAGAGAGAGCCTTGGGAGCAGCTGAAGAATGCTTTCCCTTCAACACAGAACACAAGTCCGTTTTGAACATCGGTCCTGCAAGGAGTAACGTGCACTCTGATCATGCACAGAGTGCCTCTCTCTCACCACCAGGCAACCACCTCCCATGCCCTCATCCTAGGGTGGAGCTCACCCTGTTTTAGAAATGTTGTCGTTTTCCTACCCTCCATCCCATATTTGTGCTGTGCTTCTCCAGCAGAGAGGACACACACACACACACACACACAAGCGGTTTTGCTCAGCCAAGAGGGCAGAATGCAGAGGGCCCATGGGGAACGAGGAATGCCTGTTCTTGCCAATGCTCAAGATCAGTTCTTCGCGGCCCCCGTGTACTCAAGGGTTCGCAATACAGTACTAGCACTGTTTTTACCTAGGAAAGCACTGCTCAAGATTAAGTTGCAAACACGAAACTCCGAACCTCAAATATTCTAAGATGATCTAGTGTAATTGCTTCTCTTACTAGTAATAGTTTTTGAGATCGAGATTTAATATATATTTTTAACTGAATTGTCTCTGTTATACCCAACTGCAATTCAGTGTATTCCTGTCCTGTTGTGTTTTATGATTTCCCTGATATTGTAAGTGAGCTGGAACTGGTCTGTGACCATAATAATAAAATTCATTCATTCATAGTTTTGGGAATTATTTCTGGAAAACAAGTTGAAATTTGGAGAAAATGGCTGTGTGAAAATAGCACCCCAGACTCCACATTCTTTTTCCTCTGCTGATCTGCATTTATTTGAAGCATTTTAACCTTGCGGTTCAGAAGGGGGAAAATGCTTGAGTGCCGAGCGCCTCTCAGACATCTATAGGAAGACAGCCCCTGCCTTCAGACTTTAAATCTAAAAGGCAACACACAAAAGGAAAAAAAGATCAGGAGGGAGAAGGAAATGAGCAAACTCACTTGCTTATTTTCATTGTTCTGTTGTGTTTTTGTATATTCTGTTGGAAGCAGCCCAGAGTGGGCAAGGTACAATAAATAAACAAACAAATAATTATTATTATATTATATTGAACTGGCAACAGTTCAGTAAGAGAAGTTGCTCAAAAGTCTCTCTGCAGAGCCAATGGAGAAACTTGTACAGTTCTGCAGACGGAGTACCTCGTTTGTTTTCCTGGCAATCCCAGCAAGGTAAAACTCCGCCACTCTTAAGAGAAGTGAGAAGAAAGTTGTGGCAAAGGTGGCTTTTAAGTCATCCCTCTCGGGTTCCCTTCTCTTGACCAAATGAGGAGCTCCTCTTTGGACCACAAACACTACAAGGGCACACCAGGACTGATTCAAAGCTCATCACCCTCTTGCAAGAAAACATGCAGAGAAGCACCCCAGGTCTGCTAAAGAACACAAGCAGGTGTGGCTGTGGGGCAGGGACTATTTTTAGGGATGACTCTCTGGGTGTGAAGGAGCAGCTGTTGAGGCTGACTGGAAGGGCTGGCGGGGAGGAGAGTGGCACATTCTCAATTCCCTGCCTGACGCCTTAGGGACCATCACTGACCCCTTGGGACCAAGGAAGGGATTTGCTCAAGGTCATGGGGGAAATGGGATCTTTAGCAAAGAACGGACCTAGTATTTAGGATGGAGGCTCAGACTGGCTCTCACCTGCCCCTGCTTTTTGCCATTAAGATTTTTATTAAAGTTTTTTCATGATACAATAGGATGCAGAAAATTAATGTAAACAAAAGCAGCTACAAAAAAAGCAAATAATAATAATAATAATAATAATAATAATAGAGCATGGAGTCCTATCTTAAATGAACCTTTGGACCCCCCACAAATGGTAGGAGCCCCTTCCAGCTGTCACCTGGGATCTTCCCCCAGCCTCTCACCCTGGGAGACCAACCCCACAGAGGATCCCTCCATCAACCATCTACCTCCCCCATGAATGTGCAATCTCTGGACCCTAAGAGAAGCCCCCAGCAGAGGACACCAAAGAAGAAAGAAAAGGAAAAGAAGAAGAAATAAAAAGAAATGAAATGAAAGGTGGGGATTCGAAGGGGGGGAGAAAGAAGCAAGACCACCTGCCCCCCCATATATATATATATATATATATATATATATATATATATATTATTGGAGAAATGTTTAAACCAGAACAAAGAAAAAGAGAAGGTTTTTCCACAGAGCAGAAAGAGGAGGAGAGCCTGAATGGCAAAGATCTAGTATTCACAATCTATTATAAAAGCGGGGGGGGGGGGGAGAGAAAAGGACATTCTCCATCAAGGGGTAGAACGGAAAGCATAAAATTAAACATTGTACTGACTCAAAGCTGCTGTAAGGTTTGACTGCAACATCTTACTAGGTTAGCACCTGCCACTTTTTATCACTTGTTGATTCCAGCACGTGCAGAAATATGCGTCACGGATTGCGCAGCAAAGAGTTTTCTGACTGTCCAATGTCACCTCAACACAGAATGCTGTTACGCTCTTGCACACACCCCGGGCTGAACAGTGAGCAGGTCCAGGGGTAGTTTCCTTTGGTTTTGTAATATTTGCATTCATTTATATATGTGTAGGCTGAACACTCCAACAGGCACCTGAAGGTCCAGTGTTCCCACATCCGGTTTCTGGATAATATCTTCCCACCAGCCAGCACCCTAAGATGCTCACAGATCACCCACTCTGGATGTGTGTGTGTGTGTGTGTGTGTGTGTGTGTGTGTGTCTCAAACTGCAGCTTGTCATTTGTTTCCTTCACACATAGCAGCTTCCCCAGTTTGACCTGTGTGTGTGTGTGACACCTTTTGACCTTGCTCAAGCTCCCAGGCTGGACCAGGAGAAATACAGCCCTAGTGGCTTCTCTTCGTTTCCTTTCCAGAGAGAGCCAGGGCACCCCCTTCTCGCCAACATCTGCACATGACATCTACAAACTGGACAGCTTGGAGCCAAAGAAGATGACGTCCTCATGTGACTCTGGCCCAGAGTGTCTGCAGCAGCAGCCACAATAGAGACTCTTCTGGCGCTGGAACAACTTTGGAGATAGATGGACGCAGAAGCTTTTGCAGATTAGAGTCCAACCAAGTGTTCATCTCAGTTGGGCAGGTGCATATGGGTTTTTGTAAACTGTGGGACCAAACAGCAGATCTGCTCTGTGATCTTTCTATCAAAGCTCAGATGTCTACAAGGTCAGCGCAACCATTCACCACTGTCGTCGCTGTTGATGTCACAAAACTTCCTCCTTTTGCCCATTTTATGTCTCCCCGGTTTTGATCCAAAATGAATTGGATCAAATTTGCTGATCCGTTCTAACTCCCCAGTTCCCCACAGAAACTTCCCTGTCAAAGGCATTTTCTTGACAATCGGGGAGTGGCTGAGGTCAGCAGCAACCAGGGAGTTATGCTGCCATTTTTATTTTTTTATTTTATTCAGGTCTCATGTAGACAGCAGAAGGGGCACCGTGGGCAAGCAATAGCCCTAGATCATGTGAGAAGATGAACAGGTGAACATGAACCCCTGGTCAGTTGGTTAGAGTGTAGTGCTGGTAACACGAAGGTTGCAGGTTCAATCCACATATAGAACAGCTGCATATTCCTGCATTGCAGGGGATTGAACTAGGTGATCCTCAGGGTCCCTTCCAACTCTACAATTCTATAATTTTCATAGTGGCCAGCCAGTTGCCCCAATGAGCACAACACAGCACTCTCCCCTCCTGCTGTTTCCAGGAACTAAGAACCCTTTTACTGCCTCCAACTGTGGAGACTGAGCGCAGTCATCAAGGGTAGTAGCCGCAAAACTACTGCTTTGAGTAAGAGGGCTTTTGGGTTGTCAGGTGTGAGAATGGAAGAACGCTGTAGATATGGGGGAGGCAGGATTAGGAACACAAAATGCAGCCCCCACCCCCAATGGACGGACACATACATCCTCTCCCAGCTGCAGGACAGATTTGTCTGATTCTCTGGTGATAGGCAAACCCTCGGGGCTTCCTTTAATAATTCCCCTCTCCCCCCATTGCACCCCACCTCGCTCATTTTCAGATCAACCCTGAATCTTCAGAGTCTAATCCATGGGTAGGCAAACTAAGGCCTGGGGGCTGTATCCGGCCCAATCGCCTTCTAAATTTGGCCCAAGGACGGTCTGGGAATGAGCATGCTTTTACATGAGTAGAATGTGCCCTTTTATTTAAAATGCATCTCTGGGTTATTTGTGGGGCATAGGAATTTGTTCGTGTTTTTTTTTTCAAAACATAGTCCGGCCCCCCACAAGGTCTGAGGGACCGTGGACAGGCCCCCTGATGAAAAAGTTTGCCGACCCCTGGTCTAATCCCACCTTGCTTAGAGTGACCCTGGTGGTTCTGCATCTTGAAATAATAAAAGATTTAACAGTGGGGATCCGTCCCACTCCACATTACACCCTGCTCAGAGGAAGATGCTCCAGGAATGCACAAGTATCCGGCCACCCCCCTGTAAAAATACATTCCTGCGGCTGACAATAGTTTTTAAAACCTTTATTATTATTGGCGCCCTCTCCCCTCCAGGAGCCTTGTTGCCCCATTTTAACGAAACAGGCCAAGTGCTGCTTTAAAAGTGAGGAGATAAAATCCTCCCTCCCTACCCAGCAATACATCCCTTGAGGATAAAAATGGGACAGAGAAGCCCCCTTAAAAAGCAGGGAAGCCATAGACACCCCTCACCCTTTGAACAAAAGGAGGGCTTCAGAAGCAGAGATGGGTTTTAAAATTAAGGTGTGGACCCCCCCTTAAAATAAATAGCAGAGCATGGCAGGAAGGGGGGAGAAGGGGGACTGGGCTGAATTACCTGCCCACAGCTCCTATGGGGCAGATTCTAAAATGGGGAGAGGGGGAACCTAGACAGAAAAACAATCTCCTCCTTTGACCTCCTTCCCCCTACAAGAAAAAGTGATTGTACATTTGGAGCCAGATGAAAAAGGGGGGTGAGGGACCCATTGATTTTGAGCTGCCCCGTTGAAGTTGCTGATGGCACATGAGGGGGGGTCCTTCACTCCCGAGGCTCGTCGGGGGCGGGGATCTTTTGGCGGCTGGGCTCAACACCCCAGATTTCACGGGCGTACTGGGCGATGGTGCGGTCGCTGGAGAACTTTCCGGAACAAGCAATGTTCCTGATCACCTTCTTGGTCCACTCCTTGGTGTTCTGCGGAGGGAGATCAAAGCAGCGAATCATGAGAGGGAAGAAGGGAGCCTCCCCCCACACACACATTTCAGTGTGTGGGCACCTGGGCACCCCTGCCAAATTGTTCCCAAACTATTGGAGAGGACCAGCTCTAGGGGCCTCCTGCGGCCAGAGGTTCAGCTACAAGGATTTCCTTTTAAAGTTGGGATTCGTATTGTTATGAGTTTGTGGGTGCGAGACACCCTAAAGCCCTAGGTGTAATAGGTGTTAGAATTTAATCATCTCTGCCGCTTTGGCCTCCCACTCATCTTCTTCAGCTTCTGCCTCTGATTCTGGACTTCTTTCTGCCACCGACTCTCCCAGCTCACTAAGCCCTGTTGCCTCTTTGCAGTCTTCTCCCTCTGACCTCTCCTTGCTGTCCCAACACCACTCCCCGGGCTCTGAGCCTTCTTCCCATTCCTCTTGTGTCCAACCAGTGCATGACACTCCCTCCCTCCACCAAGAGTCAGTTTGAAAGACAACGCCAGTGTTTTAGGTTTGGGTTTTAGGCCTGGAGTTAGGAGTTATGCAAGGGAGATACTAAGCAGCAGGCTGGGGTGACAGTCACAAGAGCAACGGTTGAGGTTGAGACTGCTTGGCTCCCCTGTCATTCAGCACATCTGGCATTGACACCTGATCAATGAAACACACATGCACACGGCAACAGTCCTTTTTCACCAGCGTCGTCCCCATCCCACCACCATTGGGCATGTGGGGGGCACCGCCTCACCTTATAAAGAGCATTGACCTTTTCTTGACATTTGATGTAGGACTCGTAATCGGCAAAGACTTTGAACCTACAGGGAGGGGAGAGAAGCATAACAACGCAATTCAAAGCAGTGGCGATGGGTTGCGCATTTATTCAAAATCCAGTTAAAACTCTTTCATTTAATTAATCCAACATAAGTGATGGACTTGATCCAGTGGTACCAGCTTTTCAAAGTCCGATAGTCATTTACACCTCCAGTGCTGTCCCTGCTGCCCTCTTGCCTCTAAGCGTGCGCACGCACACACACAGTCACACACACCCCAGCCACTAGGGTAACAGGAGCAGCCACAAAACAACTCCTCCTCACACACAGAGAATCCAAAGTACATCCTGTAAGCTGACAATCTGCACCCAGCAAATCCCAGCAAAGCCTGTGGAATCATAGGATTGTAGAATTGCAAGGGCTCACGAGGGCTGCCTATCTATGATGCAACGCAGGACTCTTTTGCCCAAGGTGGGGTTCAAACCCACGACCCTAAGATTAATAGCCTAAGGCTCTACCAACTGAGCTATCCCAGGAGTTACAACTACAGGCTATCACAACATTTGGGAAAGTGTAAGCCATGAACAGTTTCCACACCCATGGAGGGCCAGTGCTGGGAAAGATGAAACGTCAGCTCAGGAATAGGATTTGGAGGGGATTGCTCTTTCCCACCTCCCTCGGCCAGCCAGTGCCACTTTAGGCTGCCACCTGCTGGGCAAATAGTGGCCCTAACAGAAGACCAGGGGGAGATGGGAGTTTTCCACTTTTCTTTCATTAACTATAGGTGCATGGGGGGGCACTGTTATTCAGACCAGAAAATAGAGGGAGAGGAAGCTTCTCTCTTCCCAGCCATGCCAGGGACCAAACTCCACCCCTACCCAACATGAGCTTAGAAAAAAAATGGTTTCATAGCCACTTTTTTAGGTGGGGGGAGGATAATCTTTCTCCCAATAAGGATCCCCATCCCCATCCCACGTGCCACAACCTTTGCCTGCAATTAAAACAAAAGGTGAAAGGTTTTCCCCAAAAGGTACAGTGGAATTGAACAAAGAGAGGATGAAACAAATTCACTGGCCTCTGGATGCCAGTTGGGTATCACAAGTGGGGAGAGGGAGCTGTGGCACTCGGGTTCTGATGGGGGGCATCTGCTGGGTTACTGGGCAAAACAGGATGCTGGACTAGATGGGCAAAAAAAACAACCCAACACACACTTTGGTTCTAAGCATTAAGCCCAGGAGTGAAGAGCCTCTGGCTATTCCACACACACCCCTGCCCCCAAAAAAGTTACAGGTAATGGCAGGTGTGGGGCAGGCAGAGACACAGCCCACAACTCTTAGCCCACAGCCAGTCCCTGCAGGAAGCCAGCTGGCTGGCCGGACTTCAAAGGAGCACCCAGGACTCCTGGCAACCCCTCCCACACCACCACTGCTTTGAAGTCTGACCTCATTGCTACATCAGGTGATTGGCAGGTGGGTGGTCCTCCCAGGATAGCTCAGTTGGTTGAGCACGAGGCTCTTAATCTCAGGGTGATGGATTCGAGTCCCAGGTTGGGGAGAAATATTCCTGTACTGCAGTGGGTTGGACTCGATGACCCTCGTGGTCCCTTCCAAATTTACAAGTCCACACCTGTTGAATGTGGCCCATGAAGGGGCAGGGGAGATTGCGATCTTGCCCACCCCTGAGTGAGCATCGGGTGTGTTTGGTCCTGAAGCTCCCCTCTCTCAAAAGGTGGGAAAGGATGCCTTGTGACCAGCGCCCAGGCCAGGTTCGTTTCATTTGTTTGTGGGGCGGACAAGGCAAGACGCACCTTGAGCAGCAGAAGCACCGCAAAAAGAGATGGAAAGGAAGAATTTGGCAGCGCTGAGGCCTCCAGAGTGTTCTGGAAAGCAGGGCAGCAGCACTCACCCACCCCAATCCCCAGCCATCTCACCTGTCGTGATACATGAGCATGTTGACAATGTCCTTAAAGAGGTCCGGCTGCTTGGGAGAAAAGAAGCCGCTGCTCAGCTGGTCAATAACTTGCTTCAGCTCAGGGATGTGGTCATAGTAGTCCTTGGCACAGTAGCTGCGGGGCAGGGGGCGAGGAGAAAGGGCAGAATTTAACTTGGAGCGTGTGTAGTATCCACACCCTCCCAGGCCTTCCACATGTTCTTAGTTCAGGATAATGATTTCAGTGATGGCTGTGGCACCTCCAGCACCAGTGGCAGTCTAGCCCTGAAGAGCGCTCACTCATGAACAACATTGATAGAGGCCTCCTGTGCTCATCTCCCACATAGCCTTCCCAGGAGCAACTATAATAATAATAATAATTTATTTATACCCCGCCCATCTGGCTGAGTTTCCCCAGCCACTCTGGGCAGCTCCCAATCGAGTGTTAAAAACAATACAGCATTAAATATTAAAAACTTCCCTAAACAGGGCTGCCTTCAGATGTCTTTTAAAGATAAGATAGCTGCTTATTTCCTTCACATCTGAAGGGAGGGCGTTCCACAGGGCGGGCGCCACTACCGAGAAGGCCCTCTGCCTGGTTTCCTGTAACCTCACTTCTCGCAATGAGGGAACCACCAGAAGGCCCTCGGCGCTGGACCTCAGTGTCCGGGCTGAACGATGGGGGTGGAGACTCTCCTTCAGGTATACAGGACTGAGGCCGTTTAGGGCTTTAAAGGTCAACACCAACACTTCGAATTGTGCTCGGAAACTAGTGGGTTGCTGTGAGAAAGAGGGAAGCTGGACTAAGATGGGTCTGAAACTATATAGGCATTTAAATCTCTAACAACAGGGCTGGCCTTTGCCTCCTTGCCCTCATGGTACGGCCCCTTTGAGCACTTTGAAATCACAGCAAAGGCCAGAAGACCGGGCAGAAGAAGCCCAGGAGCCAAGGAAGGTCAATGGGGCCCAGAATGAGCAACCCCGACTGGCACACTCACCCCTTCCTGTCCAGCTCGTCCACGTCCTCCACCCGCATGCCGAAAATGAAGAAGTTCTCCTCGCCAGCCTCCTCGGCCATCTCCACGTTAGCACCATCCATGGTGCCAATTGTCAGCGCCCCGTTCAGCATGAACTTCATGTTCCCGGTGCCAGAGGCCTCTGTGCCAGCTGTGGAGATCTGTTCCGAGAGGTCGGAGGCAGGGACCACTGCAGGGAAAGCAGGAGGGGGGGTTCAGTGGGGAGCCCAGAGGTTGTCACACAAAGGGACAGGAGGAGCCCACCCAAGAGATGGGGAGATCTTCCTCCTTTCCAGCCTATGTCAATCACAGACGGGCTCATTTATAAGAACTCCATCCCGTCGCGTTTGCACATCCATCTGCAAATTTCGTGTGTGTGTGTGTGGTGGTTGTTTTCAATCCCCATGATTTTTTAGAAAGTCAATGCAGATTTTAATCTGTTTTGTTACTTTAACTTTCTGAAAGTTTTCAAGACTTGTTTTTAATTTTTCTTAATGATAATTTCAATCTTTTTCATCTGAAACCACTTTGAGGTTTGTTTGTTTTAAAAAAACCATCAAGCAGCGTACAAATTTTACGAAATAAAAAAATTGTACTAAAATATATTATCACAAAACATATTGAATTTTTTTTTAATCTTGATGAATGCATTTCTAAACACATTCTAAAATATGCATTGCAATGCGTCTTGGTGCGCATTTCAGGCAGAAGCCTTCATCGCAAATTTCGAAGGATAATGACATCCCAGCCCCCAGATGAGCCCAGGTGGGGTGAAGCTGGTCAGCTGACAGAATCCCGCAAGCCCACCCTGGCCCCTGAGTTACCTTTTTCAGCCAGCGAGACACGGTAGTTCTCTAAGAAGATGACCTTGAGCCGATCTCCGATGACGGGGTCGTGATTGACAATGTCCCCAATGGACGTGATGAGTTTGATGATCATCTTGGCCATGTGGTAACCGGGGGCAGCCTATGCGGAAGGGAAGATTTAAGATGACTGTAACAGGTGGGAGAAATGGGCCCAAACTTCTTGTTGCCATCCATCTGTCTCGAGAGACAATGGAGTGCGCCTTCGGGGGTGAAGTCAAACCTCTGCCTTATCTATGCCAAAGTGACCTCCCTGGGACGCAAGCCTGGGCAGGGTGTATGGAGGTCCTGGGCTGCCCAGACGACAAGGCCCCCCTCTTGGTCTCGCTGATGTGGTCCAAAGGAAAGCAGAGCAAGACATTTGGCACCAGCTTGGCTGCAGGAGTTGCAGGAAGGGGGCATACAAGGCACCAACCAACCCTTTCCTTCCTATCTGCCCCACCCCTCTCCAGACATGCCACCCTCACCCATAAAACAACCCCCCAGAACTTGTCACCCCCACCCTGCACCGCTCATGGCTCTCACTTTGCCTCCAATCATGATCGTCCGTGGCACAAATTGCTTGTTTGGCTCCCTCTTGATCCCTGCAGGGAGGAGAAAAAGGTGAAACAAACAGCAACACTCTGGGACCTCCTGCTCCAGATTCAGGGAGCTGCAATGCCCCCACACCACCAGATTTCACCAGGTTGCCCAAACTCTCCCTCTAATGCTTGGCAGCAGAAAGGAGGTAAAGGAGGTTCTCTCTGGCGCTGCCCCATCCCAGCTTTGGGGAAGGAGAGGCCTAGGGCCACAGAAGGGGGGAGAGGGGGAACCAGCCTTCCCACAACCCCCATTAATTAACATGACAGCATTAATTAACTTTACAGGCACCAAAGCGCTGGTTGGCTGTAGCCAGTGTTGGAGGACAGTATCAGTGTGTATGTGTTCATGTGTGCTTCCCAGACAATGCTGAGCCGACTTCTGCGCATTAAATTGTGCAGGCATCAAAATGCCTTGGGCAAGCCCTCATCAGCCCCCGCTCCAGCTGATTCTTTCCACATTTTTTAAAACAATGAAACACTGCACATTATTTTAAAAAGGTAAAGGACCCCTGGATGGTTAAGTCCAGTCAAAGGTGACTATGGGCTTGTGGCGCTCATCTCGCTTTTCAGGCCGAGGGAGCCGGCGTTTGTCCACAGACAGCCATTGCCATTACAGTCGTACCTTGGTTCTCAAACGCCTTGGTACTCAGACGTTTTGGCTCCCGAATGCTGCAAAGCTGGAAGTGAGTGTTCCAGTTTGCGAATGTTTTTGGGAAGCCGAACGTCTGACGCAGCTTCCGCAGCTTCCGATTGAGTGCAGGAATCTCCTGCAGCCAACCGCGCCTTGGTTTTCGAACAGTTCCAGGAGTCAAACAGACTCCTGGAATGGATTAAGTTCGACAACCAAGGTACAGCTGTATAAGAGAACGAGGGAGGCATTCATGATGAGTTCCGGCTCCTCTTTTTCTAGAAAAATAGCACTGCTCCTGACTCTCCTTCTCTCTACAGCACACCCGCCCCCCTTCTCAGCCCTTCCAGGAGAGGGGGGGGCTGGTGACCACTCAACTCAGCCCCCTCCCTGGTGGCTGGAATCAACGTGGAGCCGCCAGTTCCCAACCCTAATCCCAACCAGTCCCAAAATGCGGAAATTAGGAGTTTGTGGGTGGGTGTCCCCACTTCCCCCAGGGGAAGGGGACATCAAGGGGGTCAGAATAGGCAGAGCCCCCTACTCACGGTTGTAGAGAGTGATGATGTGGAGGCAGTTGAGCAGCTGCCTCTTGTACTCATGAATCCTCTTCACCTGGATATCGAAGAGCGAGTTGGGGTTGATCTTCACTTTGTACTCCTTCTCCAGGTAGGCAGAAAACTTCAGCTTGTTCTCCTGATGTGGGAGGGAAGGCAGATGGGTGTGAGTTTTCCCAGAGCACACCCACAAAAACACAACTGCGGACGCAAGAGAAACACCACAGGGCCCAACCCGTTTTATCCTGTTGTAAAATCAGTTGATTTAACAAAAGGGCTATTGCTCCTTACTAGAGCAAGACTTTTGATTCCAGATTCTCAAACTGCATTACATCCCCCCAACCCCCTATCCAGTGACTCTCTTCTGCCAAAGAGGGGGGCACATTATCGGGGGGCACCAAATACAGAACAGGACAGGGTGGGGGACTGCATAGCCCGCAAATGTCCTGGACCGGGACATCCCTTTTTTTTTTAATCAAAAGAGCACAGAGGCCATTTGGGTTGACATGATCTCATGTGATTTTGCGGGTCAATTCCCCCCCCTCAAAAAAAATTGCTTTTGTTCCAGGCCCACGATTCTGTGCACTGCCTCCAAATGCGCATTTGCGGGCAGTGTGTGTGAAAAAAGTACTTTTGGGTACTTTTGCAGTGCAGTGCGAAATCACGCAACCGAAACAGCCGCCATTCTCTCACAACAGAAAAGAGAGAGAGAATATGAATCGGCAAAACAGAAATACGTGACGAACTACGTCCTGTGTTGAATCAATACAGGACACAGCATTTTACATTGAAATACAGGACAATCCTATATTATACAGGATGGGTAACAACCCTACCCTCACCTCTGAGCATCAGCTTGATTCCCACTGAATTCCAGTGAAGGACAAAGAATCCAGCCTCTCCCTTGGGAAAGGAGGCAGTCCGCCAAACAGGCAGGAGGGGGGTCTTCTGGGCGCCAGCATGACACGAGAGGCTTGTTACAGTTTACATACATGCGCTCACAGAGTGTCAGGGTACTGCTGACCACAGCCCCTTGTGGTGGGTTGGATAACTGCAGCTTCTTCCCGGGGAAGGAATCTCCAGAGCGGCTCCACCCACCCCAGCTGCCCATTGGTTCATCCTGGGCAGGAAGGAGGATAAAAGGACTTCCTTACTTGGCAGTTGAGCCTCCCTTGGGCAACACAGTCTACCTGAGCTCTTGTGTGTGCCTTGAATGTTTGGCCTTTCAGCTCCCAGTTCCTGACTGTTTTTCAAACTACTACCACCAGCCCAGCCCTGGCCCATGGAACCCTTATTCCTCACCTGTTTGACTTTTGCCATGTCCCGGATGAAGCCTTCATCTTCCACAAAGTTCAGGAGTTTCTTCAGCTGATCCAAGTCGGAGATGTAGTCTTCCCCAATGCGCTGGAGGAGGAAATGGGAAGAGAAAACTCACCACAAGCCCCCCAGGAAGTGTGGAGTGTGGGGCAACAGCAATCAGGAGAGGCACTCCCTCCTCTCCCCTCTGTGGCCGCTTTCCCTCACCCCTCCTGTCGGAACAGTAAGATTTACAAGTGTCCCAAGGCTTCACATAAGGCCAAACCTATCCCTGGTTTTCAACGCTCTGATCAGGGAAGGTGTGAAATAATCATCGAAAGCACCACCAGGCCACATGCAGAGGGTCTTTCTGATGTGCCATGTAAGAGCCACAGCCAGCTCATCTCAGGACCAAATGGGATGTGACAGTTAATTGCAGGAGTGCAGCTGATGGGCATGTGTTTTGTTATGGAAACCTGCAAACTGAGAGGAAGCTTCCCTTAAAATGCAAATAGCAGTCTTTGGGGAGGCAGAGAGAGAAAGGGTTAAATTCCACACACACGCACAAACACACACTCCGAACACAGCAATTAATGGCAGGCCCAGTTTGGCCAGCTGATCTGCGATTTGGGCTTCCACATGAGGAGGGGTCCCTTAAGCCAGAAGAAAACTAGCACACAAACTCAAAGGTATGGATGCAAAAATTAATTTGATTCTATAATGCCAAGTGGAGGGGTAGTTAAGAATTTTATATCCAACAGATTTCAAAAAATCAATACTTCCACCTTTACACACACACACACACACACACACACACACACACAGCCTTAATCCAACTGTAATTGAGAATATTGCATTAAAATGCCATTGAAGAGACTAAACGTCCATATTTTAGCAAGCGAATCAAATGTGGGAGCCGACCGGCCCAAAATTCTTTGTTTGTTTTTCAAGCGAAACCTCCAAGACTTTGCATTTGGCCAAATAGGGGAAATAGCAAAGCCAGCAGGGAGGGCCTCATCCTGCTTATCTTCACCTCGGCAATGATTTCAGCCAGCCCTGGGTTGCACAAGACCAGCCAGCGACGGGGGGTGATGCCGTTGGTTTTGTTCTGGAATTTGTGAGGCTCAAACTCATAGAAGTCTTTAAACCTGGAAGAGGAGTAAGAGGAGAACTGCAGTTAGAGGCACTTGTGGGATTTGATGGACCAACACTCTGGCAGTTTCATATGTTCATAACAGCCACCCAACAATGTGTCACGGGACCAGAAGAGGGCAGGAAAGGAAAGGGGGGTGAAGCCTGCCTGTCGTGGGGCAGAGTACCTACACGGTGGCCTTCAGGATCTCAGAGTGGATGCGAGCCACGCCATTGACAGCATGGGAGCCCACGATGCAGAGGTGGGCCATGTTGATGCGCTTGACGCTGCCTTCCTCCACCATAGACATGCGGCGCATGCGGTCGAGGTCCCCGGGGAACTTGGCATAGACTTTCTGCAGGGACAGAAGGGCACCCCAAAGAAGACATTAACACCCATTCCCATTTATTGGGCCCATCCCCTCCCTGCCATCTCTGCTCCAAGCCCAAAACTTCAAGCACAGAACCAGGGTTTGAATTAGAGCAGGGTTTCCCAAACTTGGGTCTCCAGCTGTTGTTGGACTACAACTCCCATCATCCCTAGCTAGCAGGACCAGTGGTCAGGGATGATGGGAATTGTAGTCAGCTGGAGACCCAAGTTTGGGAAACACTGAATTCGAGGAAGTGGAACCAAACCCCCCCTGACCGCTTTGCTTTTAAAATGCTACTGGAGAGAGAGATGATTTAGCAAAAAGAGTGGGGAGAGGAGTGTGTTCATTCAGGGCCCCCCAGTTTTCTGTTGCCCAACAATTCAGGCACTGACTGGAAGTGACCTGAGGGGTGCCTTCCTTACTCAGCCCTCGAGCTCCTTCCCCAGAGGTAGATGAAGGGCCAGCATCAGATTAAGACCTTTAGAGGCCCTATGCACCTTAAAGATTTTGGTGCCCTCATATATACCTATTTCAAAATATGAACAATAATAACCTGCAAAATGTAATTTTTATTTTTCAAAATGAAATGGAACCCACAGTAAGAAGGAAAATAATGCTTGTGTACTTGCACTTTATTTATATTTGAAAATACCGTATTTTTCACTCTATAAGATGCACCAGACCACAAGACGCATCTAGTTTTGGAAGAGCGAAAACAAGTCACAAAAGTATTCTAGAATCTCAAAAAGGCCAGCACACAGCATGGAGTTGCTCCGAGTCAGTTGCAACTGTATACGGTGTTAAAGCAGCAATCCCTCTTGCTGTTCTGGCTTCTGAGATAGCTCATAGCGACAATGCCTTGCATTCAGCTCCATAACAGAAAGCCCTTACATTTGCAGTTTTCCGCCTTACATTGTCTAGGAGGTAAAACTGTGAGTCTTATATGACTGCAATATTTATATTTGAAAATAATTATTTTTTCCAATTGCAAAACCTTTGATCAGATCTTCAAAAACAAATCTTACATCACATATCTGCTTTTATACATAGTAAGATAAGGTATCATCCAGCCTGCTTTGTTGCAATAGTTGTTCTGTTGTGATTTTTTAATATACTTCAGTGGAGAAAGTGAATGCTCAGACGAGCAAATTTGTGACCATTCATGTTAAAAATCTGGCAACGAGGAATTTCTGTGGTGCCCTCTTTCCTCGATGCCCTAAGCACATGCTTATTTTGCTTAATGTTTCATCCACTCCTGGGGAGGGTGCAGGGAAGGCTCCTCCCAACTCCTCACCCCCCTCCACCCGCCCCCAGTGGCCTCCCTTCTCTCCCACCCGGGGCTACTGAACTCACATCGAGGAAGCGCTGGTTGATCTCATAGATGATCTCCAGGTGGCGGGGCAGAAGGGCCTCAAAGAGGTGGACAGGCCAACGCTCCAGAGCCTCTGGCAGCACGGTGTGGTTGGTATAGGCACAAGTTCGCACTGTGACATCCCAGGCCTAGAAGGGACAGAGAGAGAGACTGAGAGAGAGCAGCAGCAGCAGCCCTTGAGCCAAGCTGGACCAGCTCAGGAGGATCCTGCTGCCTGACTGATTGATAGTGGCTCTGCAGGGTCTTCAAAAGGGACCGGAAAACAGTGATGGAGAAAACAGGTAAGAGAACCCCACCCCACACTGCAACCCCTGGGGTATCCCTGGTGAGGAGGAGCACAACTGTGAAAGGGAGACCTGGTTAAAAGCTTGTTTCTAACAGGACTGCCTCCTGTTTCCTTGACATGCCCCTGGAACAGGAGGACATGGGCACAGGGCCAATATACCTCTTCAATACCACTACTACCAACAATGTTTTTTAGAAAAGCTGTTAGGAAAGGAGCCCAAAGTAAAGCCACCCTCCCACCACACCCCTTTCTGCCCTGCTGGTCCAGGCCTGACCAGGCTTTTGATTTTGTGGTTTCTCTGCCCACCTGGTAGGACTGCGGGACCTGAGTCTTTCCCAGGGTTTCATTTCAGCCAGAGCTACCAAGGGGAAGGGGTCTGTGTTGGATCCTGTGTTCGTTTTTGGAAGGGGTAAGCAGAGGCACTCTTTGAGCACCTCCAGAGAGCATGTCCCTCACATCAGAGCAGCTGCAAGGAGCCCCCAGGAGCTGTTCTGGGATTATGTGGAAAGAACCAATTCTCCCGGTGTCCCTCCTATGGGAAACCTGCCTGGCTCCCTCCCTCTCTCTGCCTGCCTGCCAGGGAGCCTCACTTGCCGAGCGCAGGGCTCCTTTAGAGAATGGGTGCTGGAGCGAGAGGGTCCTTGAGCCACCCAGGGCCACCAGCTTTCCCCCTGCCTTGACTGACCCCTGCCTGGGACCCTCACAAGATGAAGATGCTTCTTAAATATTCTTGTCTTCTCTGAATGTTTTTTTTTTGATAGGGAATGTTCTTTGGCTTTTTAGCAGGAACACTGATGTGTTTGGTTTTTATACTGCTGAAAGGTTTTGAATTTGCATCGTTTGTAGCATTTGCATTTGCATGATTGTATTTTTGTGTGTATCTGTATTTATGTGTATCTGGGAGGGTTTTGGCCTGACAGGCAGCATATAAATAAACAACAACATTAACATAACATTCCTCTTCCTGCTGTCAGAGTTTCCTTTGGCTGTTGGGTCTCGTTTCATTTAGCGCTCGGGTCATATAAATGCATTTTATGATTGTGACTTCATTGTCGTTTTAAATAGTCATAAGCTGCCTCATGAAAAGGCGGGCTAGACATTATTTACATAAATAAGCTCCATGGGGAAGGATTTCTGCATCCGTCCACCCTGCTCTGGCACCAACCATTGCTTAGAGTCCAGCAGCTCCTCACCTTGTCCCAGTCCAGCTTCTCAATGTCCACTAAAACCCTCATGAGTTCTGGGATGGCCAGGGAGGGATGGGTGTCGTTGAGCTGAATAGCAACCTGGAGGAGGCAAGAAAAGAGAATCAGGTAGAGAGGTCAGAATGGAGAAATCAAGGCCGCCCTGTGGCTCCCTTCCCTTGGTGCCCTAAGCACATGATTATGTTGCCTTAATGGTTAATCCAAGGGACACGGGTAGTGCTGTGGGTTAAACCACAGAGCCTAGGACTTGCCGATCAGAAGGTCGGCGGTTCGAATCCCCATGACAGGGTGAGCTCCCGTTGCTCAGTCCCTGCTCCTGCCAACCTAGCAGTTCAAAAGCACATCAAAGTGCAAGTAGATAAATAGGTACCGCTCCGGCGGGAAGGTAAACAGCATTTCCGTCCGCTGCTCTGGTTCGCCAGAAGCGGCTTAGTCATGCTGGTCACATGACCTGGAAGCTGTACGCTGGCTCCCTCGGCCAATAAAGCGAGATGAGTGCTGCAACCCCAGAGTCAGTCACGACTGGACCTAATGGTCAGGGGTACCTTTATCTTTTAATGGTTAATCTAGCCCTGCTCCCACCCCATTGCAGAGTCCTCACAGGAGGGAGGAAGTGTAACTGCCAGGAGCCCCCCATTTCCAGATGAACCTGGCTCTCCCTCTGGCCTCTGCACACTGCTGAGTGAAAACAGGCAGGCGAGGGAGCAAGGGAGGCCAGCTGCCGATCCTTGTCACTGGCTGCCACTTCTGCTGAGCCCAAGGGACAGAGAGGAGCAGCAACAGGCGCGGAGGAGACATTGGCAGGCGACTGACAACAATGCTGGCCCCAAACACCAGGGCAGCCTGCACTCCAAGCCCCCATCAGAGAAACCAGCCCCGCTACCTTGTCTGGGAAGGCATCGAAAGAGGTGCGGACGGGATCACGGCTGCCGAACTTGGAGGACTTGAAGCGGCGGATGATGTCTTGCAGTGTGGCGGCCACGACAAAGTACTCCTGCTTCAGGCGCAGCTCCTTGCCCTCAAAGAACTGCGGAGGAGGGAGGCAAGGGGAACCCAAAGGTCAGCACAAGGAAGGCAGGGGAGGAAGGAAGCGTGACTGCTGGGAGCCCCCCTGCCCCATTCCCATAAGCAAAAAGATGAGCATTGTGGCAACTTAAGGGCAAAAGCCACATTTGTTTTTAAGGCACCGCAAGATGACTGCCCGGCCCCACAACCTACTGAGTTGCCATATTTTGAAGAGCAAAAAAGAGGACACATTTGCCAACTTCTGCTTTTAACTACGGAACGCTATGATGATTCTCATTTAAATACCCCTACTGTATGTAGGCTATAGAAGCTGTGATATACTGCTAGTAACAGCACTCTTAACTTTCAACAACAACATCATCATCATCATACATATTGTCCCCTCGCTTGCGACATGAAAGTACTTGGGCTCATATTCACATCTTTGTGAACGTAAGTGTGCACAGAAAAGTTTATTAAACTGTGCATATGGACTGCCCTTAAGGGCAGGGGGCTGTTACCTCTTACCCTCTCAGACTCCTCCCCAATATCTTGCTGCTGAGTCAATGTCCTTTCAGTTCAGCCACAAGAGAAGAGACTTATACAGTACAGTATGTAGATAGTTTAAGATGCTGCCCTGTTGTGATTCTCTGTGGCAGACTAGCTTAGCTGGGTGCCTTAGATCTGAGTCTAATGCACTAGAAAAAAAATATTGGGGTACTGTAAACAAACAAAAAAACCCCAGACATTCTGCCAAAATTTAAAAATCTGCCTGGACAGATTTTACTCCTGAAAAAGAGAACATGTTCGGGGGGAAAGGGGACGTATGGCAACCAGACCTGGAAAAGAGACGTGTCCTGGAAAAGGAGGACGTATGGCAACCCTAGCAGGGGGCTCCCCTTCTGAAATTTGTCCACGTCTCTCAAGAAATTGACAGGTGCTGCCCAGGATCCCATTGGGAGCCAGGAGTCCTGGGTTCTAATCACTCCCACTCTACCAACAGGCAGAACAGCAGCAACAGAGGTGGAAAACAGAAAGACCTTTGGAAGTGGGGCTCCCAGTGTGTACCATTTCACAGTGCATTTGTTCCGTCTTTCGGCAACGTGATATAAAGTTTATGTGTTTTCCTGAAACGTTTTTTTGATGTGTCTAGATCCAGCCTCAGAGGCAGGAGAGGAAGCTGGGAGGGGGGCCAAGAGGCAGGCTGCTGAAGATTCCAGGGAGTCTCCCCACTACTTCTGCAACCAGCTCCCCTCCCCCCGCCCCCGTTCTCCCAAAACACACAGAGAAACGAAGAGGGCGGAGCGAAGAGAGACAAGGTGAATAAGTCTGAGATTGCTGGAAGTGGTGGGAAGGCAGGGTCCTTCAGTCCTTGCAACTGCCTCATTGGGACAAGACCTACCGGGAAGGGTTGCTGTGATCACGAGGCCTGCGCTGTTTTGGTTTCTTTGAATAAAGAGCTAACTTCACTGACACCAAGTGTTTTTTAATGCTCCCCTGCTTCTGACTCCAGCTCCTGACACCAGGTGGCACGAGAGAAGACTGGCTGGGGGCTCAAGAACAAGAGGGGGAGCTCTGCTGCCCTGCCTGCTGCCTGGGGAGGTTGCCCCACGCTGTCCAATGGTAGGGCTGGTCCCTGTCTCCTTCTCCCCCTCATCTCACTCCCACTGCTGCTCTGGAAAACAGTGGCTCGGGGAAGGCACACCACTTTTATGCTGGGCCGTCCCAGAGAATACTGGAGACCACAAACTGGGAGCGCCTGGGCTTGGTCCTTCAGCCAGCATAGATAGGAGAAGAGGGCTCAGAAACCACCTCAGACTTTTATTTTCTTCTGCTCGCTCTCATCATGTGCGGTATCAGATGCAAGTCTGGCCTCTACATTAGTCTCCCCACAACTCCCTGAATAGACCTGCACATTTCTGGAACATTCTCTCACACATCAGGAAACTGAAATTACAGAACTTACATTGTCGTTGGGATACAGGACCCGGGAAATGTTCTCAGCCAGGTTTCTGTCCAGCACTGCCTGGATGTAGCCACCGACATTAACTGGGAGAGAAAGGGAGAGAGATGATGGATGCAATCTATTCAAACGGGGCAAAAGTTATACAAAGCTGTCAGAAGCTGCCTTGGAGGGGCCTGGACTAGATGACCACCTGTGTCCCTTCCAACTCTATAGTTCTATGGTTATAAGTCAGCCTGTTTCTCTAGCCAGCTCAGTGCTGCCTGCTCTAACCAGCAGGGGCTTTCCCAGCCTGACCTGGTGGTGGGAACTGAACCTGGGACCTTCTGAATGCCAAGCAGGGGAGCTCACTAAGAGATGGGAAGCCACCTTAGAGCAGGTCATCCAGCCTAGAGCATGACACCCGGGTTCTCCAGGGTGGTCTCGGGCAGGAAGAAGGGGGGCCTTTCCCATTACCTGCTGGCACCCGATTCTTTTCTTAAGCGGAGAGATGCCAGCAGAGGTTCTGCATGCCAAGCAGGTGCTCTGCCACTGAGCTATGGTGGCCCCTCCCCTAAGTGAGGTGCAAGGAAACCTCTAAGGATGGCCTGCACCCACAAATGCTGCAGAGTTCTTGTCGGTAGCCAAACACACACTGAGAGACAGACATATGGAGTGAAAGAGGAAAGAGCTTCCTGTCTAGCAGGCATCGATAGGCTTCTCCTCCATTAATTTGTCCATTAAAGCCATCCAAATTGGTGGCCATTGCTGCTTCCTGTGGCAGGGAGTTCCACAGTTTAGCTATACGCTGCATGGAGAAGGACTTTCTTTTATCTGTCCTGAATCCAACATTCAGCTTCTTTGGATGTCCAGAGTGTTAGGAAAGGGAAAAACATTTCTCTGTCCACTTTCTCCAGATCTGAAATGCAGGAAGCTGCCCCACACTGAGTCAGCCTATTGGGTCCACTGTCTACACTTACAGGCCCCGCCTCTCTAGGGGCAGGGGATGTTCCCCGTCCCATGTGGAGATGCCAGTGGGGATTGAACCCAGGGAACCTTTCGCATGCCAAGGAAACGCTCTGCCTGCTGAGCCACACAAGGCCTTGCTGCTTGCAATCCACTTACAGTCCTTCAGGTTGAACTCGTTGGGTGCCCGAGCAGACCACAGCCGCATGGTGTTGACGACGTTGTTGCGATAGCCGGGGACGGGGGTGTCATAGGGGAGGGCAAGGACCACCTGCAAGGCAAGGGGGAGGGTTCTGAACTGGCCTTGGGGGCCCCTGCTGAGCACCCACCAGCAGACAGCAAACCTAGTCAGGCTGCCTGGGATTAAGAGGGGCACAGCAGCAAGACCCCCACTCCTGCAAGAGACTACGAGGGCCTAGGAGCAGGGGGGCGGACCTAGAGGTTGCCTTGGTTGGCCACTGCCAAGGGCACAAGCCCAAGGTGTGTGTACAAAAATTGCACCTCTCCACTCTGGCTCAAAGCGACTAGGAGCTCACCCACTCGGCTGCACTTCCCAGGCTGCTCTGGGCACAAGAATCTGGCCGCTGGTGTGGGCCGTCAGAGCAGCCCTGTAGAGCCCCCTCCCCAGTTGGCTGGTGGTGCTATTTAAAGTGTGGGCAGAGCCCCAGCAGAGCTTAGAGGGAGGAAAGAGCAGGAGGCGAGAGTTGCAGGAAGGGGGGGACGCAAGGAAGGAGGCAGAAGGGAAAGGAAGGAGGGAGGCAAGAAGGCAGGCAGACCGATGGAGGAGGAAGTGGAGGAAGAGAGCAGAGCAAACCCAACCTTGATGGGCATGGAGGAAGTCACTGGCAGAACGCGAAATGCAACAAAAAGCAAACCTATTGAGGTTTTGGTCCATGGTCTCTCCAAGCTTCAGAGGTGCCAATTCAGATCCTTGCCAAGGGCCCAAAGAAGCCTTGGCTTCCCCAGCTATGAGCTCAGCACCATTTCTGGCCCCTGCAAGCAACACCAGGGCACATCTGTGCACATCTGAGCACACGCACACCATATTTGTACTGGGGAGGCAGAATCCTTATTATCATTGTTTATTAAATTTCTATGCCACTCTTCATCCGAAGGTCACAGGACGGTTAAGCCATATAAGAACACAAGAATACAAAGCAAATCCACCCCGCCTTCCGATACCCTCCTCTCATTCCTACTGACCTGGGTGTCTACCCATTTCACGCCATCATGGTCATGCTGGACGCGGCCGTAGAAGTGCACAGGGATCATGTACTCTGGGCGGGCCTTCTCCCAGGGGTTCCCATAGCGCAGCCAGTCGTCAGCCTCCTCCACCTGCCAGCCCCCGCAGATCTTCTGGTTGAAGATCCCAAACTCGTAGCGGATGCCATAGCCATAGGCTGCCAGGCCAAGGGTGGCCATGGAGTCCAGGAAGCAGGCTAGTTGGAGAAGGAAAGGAAAGGGTTAGCGGAGCCAAAGGGGGTTTGGGCTGCATTCCTCTAGGGCTTCCACAGGAATGGATGGATTGGTTGAGTTCAAATATATGCCACTTCCACACAACAGGCTGCTGGGCCTAATAGCGGCTTACAGCAAACATTAAAAGTGTCCAAATACAGAGCATTGGAAATACCACTACAGGATATGTCAGTATAGGACTAATTTAGCCAGCGAGCCCTGGTGATCATCTAATGTTTATTGGATGGATTTCCCCCCTAAATTGATTTTTAAATTCTGAATTTATTGTTATTCACGTTTTATACTGTATTTTATGCTGGGTTTTGATGTTGTTGTTGTTTTTTGCATCAATTAAGTGTTTTAAATTTGTTGTTAGCTGCCCAGAGCCCGGTTTTCTGAACCGGGAAGGATGGAGTATAAATAAAAAATTATTATTATTATTATTATTATTAAATTTTAAAATGGCAAAAAACATCAATTTGGCAAACGCAAGGGAAAAGGAGCAAGCTTGTTTTCTGTTGCTCCGGAGGGGAGGACCCGCATCAGTGGACTCTTGTGACAAAGAAGGAAATCCCGACTAAACATTAGGAAGAACTTTCTGGCAGTAAGAGCTGTTTGACAGTGGAATGGACTCCATCAGGAGCTGGTGGACTCCCCTTCACTGTCTTTTTTTTTTTTTTAAAGCAATTTATTGGGTTTTACAATAAAAATAAACATAATAAACAATATAACATTTGTCTTAACATAGTTTCACATTTTCTTTGGACTTCCTCACATCCCCCGCTCCCACTTTCATCGTTATAACATTTTGTCAGCAATTTATCATCTTATTTAAAATTCTTATATCTCTTCAATGTTTCATAATCTTATAGTTCTCATAAAGAGTTAAACTTTCACAGTCTTACTTATTTTCTTAAAAACTTCTAAGTTAAGTGGTGCTCAGTTATTTAGTCTAGCATCTTATTTAGCATTCGGACTCCCCTTCACTGTCAGGGGTTCCTTAACTCTGATTCCTGCCCTGCAGGTGTTGGGATAGATGCCTCTCGGCATAGCTGTCAACTTACAGATTTGAAAATAAGGGACCAGCAGCCTCGAAAATAAGGGATCAGCAGCCAAAATAAGGGATTTTCCGAGCACAGGTGTGTTCTGAGCCCCTCCAAGCCAAAGGCAGAAAGCCCAGCCAGCAGCCAAACGGAGCCTCAAGCGGTGGTTCCCACAGCGCAGCAACCCGGCAAAGGGGATGCAGCAAGGAAAACCACCATCACCTCTCCGCTGGGAAGCGCTGAGCAAAGGCGAGTCCCCAGGCAATGCGGCCAATTTGATTGGCACAAGGCATTCAAGCTCCACCCCCCCAGTCGTTCTTAGACTCCTTATTGGGTGAGCAACACAGCCAAGCAACACAGTTGGAGCCTCCCTCCTCCCTGGCCAGCAGGAAGGGAGGGAGAGGAGCTGCTTCCTTTGAAACCCAGGAAATTTAAGGGACATCATCAGTAAGGGACAGCAGAGGGACACAGTGCTGGGATAAGGGACTTTCCCGCCAAATATGGGATGGTTGACAGCTATGCCTCTCGGGGTCCCTTCCCATTCTATGATTCCATGGGACAGCCATGTTGGGAGGACGAGGAAGACCGTCAACACATGAGTGCGCTCCCGAGATCTTCGGCAGCCACAGGAAGGCCACGGTCATCCTAGCCCCACCGGGAGATGCTGCCAGGGAGAGAGAGGTGCTTGCAAAGCAGGGGTTCAGCCACCGAGTGGCAGCCCCTCCTCTGGTGGCTCACCTGCCAGGCGCCCGAGCCCTCCGTTACCCAGGCCAGCATCTTCCTCGATCTCCTGCAGCTCTTCCATGTCCAGGCCGAGCTGTTGGACAAAAGGAGGGTGCGGAGGGGAGAGGGGGTTGAATTAGCTCAGGTGGGGGTGGGGGGAAGCCCCCAGCCCCAGGAATCTCCCAAGCCTCCTTGGCCCATCACCACCAACCACCTTATCCACACACACCCCAGGCCCCTTGGCAGGCCCCAAACCTGGTAGGTAGCTTCATCGCAGGCATTCTGCAAGGCCAGGTTGACCATGGTGTTCTGCAAAGTGCGCCCCATGTAGAACTCCAGAGACAGGTAGTAGATGCGCTGCAGGAGGAAGAAGATTGAGGAGGAGTTAGAGAGGAGCAAAGGTGGACCTGTGCGCTTCTGTTGTGTTTATGGGAAGAAACTGTGCGCTGCCGTCTCCCACGGAGAGGATTAGATTTGGATTGTTGTTCTTATCACCATTGCGTTGTTTTTATTGAACAAGATGTTACGCCTTGGTCACCTTCGGCTTCTTGTTGTTTCGAAACACAATAGATTTTCTTTAGTTCCGCAAATATAAATATGGCACTGAGAACAATACTTTTAACTCTTTTTGAAATAAGTATTATAGTAAACTAGAGCTTAGTACCAGGAAAAGGTGGCTGGCAGATTGACGGGTGGGAAGGAATACTCATAGGAAAAAATAGATACAGTGGTACCTCACGTTAAGAACTTAATTCGTTCTGGAGGTCCTTTCTTAACCTGAAACTGTTCTTAACGTGAGGTTTTGTTCTCATCCTGAAGCAAAGTTCTTAACCCGAGGTACTATTTCTAGGTTAGCGGAGTCTGTAACCTGAAGCGTCTGTAACCTGAGGTACCACTGTATATAATTGGACATATATAATAACTCCATAATAGTTTACATCATCCCCAGTAACGTATCCGGGTGACCATTTTCTTGTATCTTATTTCACCAAGACATAACAAACATGCCCCACTTTTCCAGAGGGGCTGTTGCGAAGCAAAGCCTAAACCACCATTGCTCAATTTACTGTGCCTCATTCGTGGCAGTGAGACTTTGCCACGCAGGAGGGAAGAAGCAAATTCCTTGAGGGTATGAGTGGTCAAGACTGGAGGCAGGATCCCGCTCCCTACAGGCTGAGGGGCTCTGGGGAGCAGCAGAAGAGCCCCACTGCTTTGGGGGCACTCGAGACATGCCGCTGACATGAACTAAACACTGCTGGAACTCCCTGATGCACCAACAGTTCCTGCAGCTGGTCCACCTGCCAGTGAAGAAAGCAAGTCATGGATGGGGTGCAGGGGGCAAGCAAGGGCACAATCACTTATCTTTAAAACGCTTTGTTCATTATTGGCATAATGATGAGCCCTCTTCTTCAGCGGATATGGCCCATTTGTTTTATAGCTCATCAATACCAGATTGACTGTATCATTCCACACATGTCGGCTCCGAAATAAAGACTCAGTGTGATCAACACAGCTAATCCCAGGTAAGTACGTCTAGAACTGCAGCCTTATTTCACAATTTGCATTTCTGTTTCATGATTTGAAATTTGTAATATATAAAGCCTGCCTGAGCCACTGGCTGAAAGCAGCAGATGTGAGCCACACAGCCCCTATTAAACTGCCTTATACCAAATCAGGCTATTGGCTGATCTAGCTAAACAAAAAAAAAAGGAGGCTCCAGTCCTCGCAGTTTTGGATAAAAGGCTGATTTACATAGGGATACAGTGAGTCATGCTATTGACCCATATAACCTCCAGGTGTTATTGGACTACAGCCCCCATCAGAGGCGGACTTAGGGCAGTGTGACCAGTACTTTTGCACTGGACACTGAGCCTAGGGGGCGCCGCAGCTACAACATAGTGAATTGAGCAGAACGGAAGGCAAGAGGTTGGAGGGACCAAATTTTGGCCTTGCACAGGGTGCTGCGGGAATTTGAAAGACCCAAGTCTGCTGCTGCTTCCATCATCCCTGGCCATTGGCTGTGCTGCCTGCAGGGGCTGGTGAGAGGTACCACATTGCTTACCTCTGGTCTACACAAACTTGCAGCAGCTCTCCAGCCTTACGAAAAGAAGTCTTTTCCAGCCCTACCCAGGGGCTGAACCCAGCCCCTGCTGTGTGCCAGTGGTCCCTCCTGGGAGCACAGGAACCTGCCTTGTATTAGAACAGGCAGCTTGTCCACCTCGGCCTCCAGAGTGACACACAGACCTTTTATCTACTCACCCCTGGAGATGCCAGGGATCAACCGTGGCCCTTTCTGCCCGCCTGCCTGCCAAGAAAGGGCTACAGGTCCCTCTCCTGACAGTTCCCCTCTATTCTACCAGGAACTTAGGTGGTAGCCGTGTGGCCACTTCTGCATTGCAAAGAGAGAGACAAAGGCAACATCTCTTTTTGGATGTTATAGGAGCAAATTTAGAAATATTGTAAGTTACATAGAAAAGTAATGCATCTCACCGACAACAGACCAGCCAGCCTATGTGCCTGCTCGGTTGCTCTCTATATTGCATTCAGTGCTATTTTAATAATAATAAGGAGGAGGAGGTGGTGCTGGAACTCACTATGAACACCCCACTTATAATGGCAATGGCACCCACCTGAGAGGTGCCAGAACTGAGTTCTGGCTGGGGGGAAAAAGCCCTGATTGCATTTCTATCCCACTATTTTTCAGGAAGAGCTCAAGGTGACATACATGGTTCTTCGTCTCCTCATTTAACTCCCACAACAACCCTGTAAGGTAGGTTAGACTGAGAAGCAGTGACCGAGCTCAAGGTCACTCCCCACAGAGCTTCAGGCAGAGGGCCTTCTCGGTAGTGGCGCCCGCCCTGTGGAATGCCCTCCCACCAGATGTCAATGAAATAAACAACTACAGTACCAGACTTTTAGAAGACATCTGAAGGCAGCCCTGTTTAGGGAAGCTTTTGTTAGAAACTGCCCAGAGTGGCGGGGAAAAGCCAGCCAGATGGGCGGGGAATAAGTATATTATTATTATTATTATTATTATTATTATTATTATTATTACTTCATGGCTGAGTGGGGATTTGAGCATTGGTCCTCCAGGGCCCAATCAGGCATTCTAACCACTAGGCCACACTGGCTTCAAGGCCTCCACACACCGTCTGCCCAGCTGCTCTCCTTTCTTGCAGTTCTTTTAGATTTAAACAGAACTTGGAAGAGGACTGTCCTCTGTGAGGTAGGACACTCAGCCACATGGTACTTGGGGGGCCAACCAGCCATGGCTGGGTTCAGCCCACATGCAGGGGAACAACAGGAGTGGACTGGGAAAGGGTGTTATAAGGATGGAGATAATGTAAGCAAAGCTCTCTGAAGTTTTAGAAAACAACACATCAATGTATTATCTTTACCATATTTTTCGCTCCATAAGACGCACTTTTTCCCTCCTAAAAAGTAAGGGGAAATGTGTGTGCATCTTATGGAGCGAATGCAGGGGGGAGGCAGGCAGGAAAAGCCCCCAAGAGCCACACACAAGCTCTGCGTGGCTCTTGCGGGCTTTTCCCCAGGAGCGAGAAGGGACTGACGCGGCCAGTCAGTCCCTTCTCCCTCCTTGTAGAAAAGCCCGCAGGAGCTGCGCACTCCTTAAAGGCTGCGCAGCTCTTGTGGGCTTTTGCGGGAGGTGGGGGAATTGCCATAGTCACGCGAAGCCTCTCCCAGCCGGAGAGGCTGCATGCGGCTAAAGAAGCCAAGACAGCAAGCAGGATCCATCCCGCTTGCTGTCTTGGCTTCCTTTTTAGCCCCATGCAACCTCTCCGGCCGGGAGAGGCTGCATGCGGCTATGGCACAAGCCAAGACAGCCAGCAGGATGGATCCCGCTCGCTGTCTTGGCTTCTTTGCTCTTTGGGGCTGGGGAATAATATTTTTTTTCTTGATTTCCCCCTCTAAAAACTAGGTGCGCCTTATGGTTCAGTGCGCCTTATGGAGCGAAAAATACGGTATGTAGTATTGTGTCAGCATTGTTAGAGGGGCTTCAATCTGGCAAGCAGATCCCACCTCCTGATAAGCCCAGCCTCTCCTCATCTGGATCAGCCTGTGTCCCAGTAAGGAATGCCTCTGAGATATTCAAAAAGCAATGTGAGATAGATAGAGATAGAGAGATAGATAGAACAGGCAGCAAAACTTTACAAATGTTTGCTCAGTTTTAGGGCACATTTTATTTGGGGGCAAAAATAGTGTTAATTTGTTTCTCAATGGCTGGCTGACACAGTCCGGCGGCAGAGAAGCAGGCAATGCTAGTAAATGTGAGTTTATTTGCTATGCTATCCTAATCTCGATTCCTGGATATTTTGGGAACTGGGTAGAGTTACTGAGGCTGCAGCCCTAGGCACATGCGCTAGCACGTAAGCCCGGGGTGAGGAATGAAGGCAGAAGGACTTTGCTTCTGAGTGAAGATGCACTAGATGGTGCTGTTAGGGGGGGGAGAGACAGGCACTCTGTACATGCTCAGAGGCACCCTGCTTTCCTACTCCTACATATATTCTGTCGCTCCACTTAAAGTGCTCATTGCAGATCATTTCCCCGCACTAAATGTGCAACCAGAAACATTTCTGAACAGCAGGATTCCCAGTGTGGTCAATGCCTGGGATAGGACATCCTGCCACCAGCCAAACTCTTGGCGTTCTCCAGCTGAGTGCTTGCAAAATACTCATCCCCTCAAGAAGAAGCTCCATCTAAGGGACCTTTGTTGGTGCCCAGGCTTGCTACCACGACTTACTAACCATTAGCAGCACTAATATATTTATTTATACATGTGATCTACAGCCTACCATTCCTCCAGTGAGTTCAGCCCTGCTTGAATGCACACGCGTACCGCAGATACCATTAGCTAGCTTGATTTCTCTGGGTATGGACCCTTACATAATCAAAAGGTCATCAACCATTCAAACTAAGAAAGTATCTGCAGGGTTGGGGAAATGCAAAGTTTGCAGAAGTACAGAAAACATTTATTAGAGACCCCACTCTGCAAAAACAAAGAAACAAACATAACCACAGCCAAATAAGAACTGTGCATGATATAATCTGAATGCTATTGGGGGCGGGGACCCAGAGGAAGGAAAGAGAAGGTGCTGGAAAATGGCAGAGTTGATCGGCTGGAACCTGAAGTGCAGCACATGCCACACTACACTGCAACATTTTGTTGCAGGCTCCCCACTACTACTGCTACTAATAATAATAATTTATATTCTGCCTTTTCTCCATTGAGCTTAAGGCAGTTTGCAGGGTTCTCTCTCAATTTATCTTCACAACAACCCTATGAGGGAGATTAGGCTAAAAGAGAGACTAAGGTTGCCCAGTGGGCAGAGTGACTGAGTAGAGCATGGGTAGGCAACCTAAGGCCCGGGGGCCAGATCTGGCCCAATCACCTTCTAAATCCGGCCCACAGACAGTCCAGGAATCAGCATGTTTTTACATGAGTAGAATGTGTCCTTTTATTTAAAATGCATCTCTGGGTAATTTGTGGGGCCTGCCTGGTGTTTTTACAGGAGTAGAATACGTGCTTTCATTTAAAATGGATCTCTGGGTTATTTGTGGGGCATAGCAATTCATTCATTCCCCCCCCCCCCAATATAGTCTGGCGCCCCACAATGTCTGAGGGACAGTGGACCGGTCCCCTGCTGAAAAAGTTTGCTCACTCCTGGAGTAGAGGTTTGGAGCAAAATCTCTCCTGTCCTCTGACCACTCTGGTCCTCAACTTAAAATAAGAATCAGTGTAAATTTACTGCAGCAGCAGCAGCATCGTGGCTCCGTGAGAATGACTTCCCACCAGTGACAGATGAGATCCAGCCTCCTCCACACAGCTGGAATGAGCAGAGCCGGAGTCCAGGGCAGGTCACCTGGTGAGCTCTGGGTGGGATCGAGCCCCCTTGACATTTCTCACTCCATGAATCCATGTCCTCAGGAATGACTGTGACACTCTGAGCATTCTCAGAGGCACTCCTATTGTTTGTTGTTTCATACGTCTCTAATTCTTAAACCCCTCTCTGTAAATGGGGGGGGGGGGAGCACAATATGGGTTTCTTTGGAGAGCTAGCAGACATGAACCAAAGAGTGGAGATTGCAGGGAAAGAGCAGATTTTGGCTAAACATCAAGGCAACTTTCCTAATAGGAAGAGCCCTCGGCCAGTGAGGCAGTCTTGCCTCAGGGGGGTCGTGAGTGCTCCCTCTCCCTTCCTCTCCTTTGCTAGAGCTACTTAAGCAGAAACTGGGCAACCAGCCATCAGTGATACCAAAGTCCAGCTTGCACCCTGCGCTGAGGTGGGGGTTGGGCTGGATGACCTCCCAGACCCCCCTTCAGACTCTCACATTCTTTGATTCTACGTCCTGGGACTCAGCCACAGCACTGGTGTGGTTGCCAGCACAAACTAAGCCCCTTTTTGAGATACTGGGAATGAGCAGCAGGCAAGGAGGCATCACAAAGTAAAGGTGTTTCCTCTGGCAGAAGGAACCTGCGGCCAGGTACCCCTCCAGAACCAGAACGCAAGGCCCACCACTGCTGCTGCTGTTCCTCCACCGGCCGGCTGACCTTTCCAAGCTCCGCAAGCCGAGACCGGCCCATCTTGGGTCTGCTGCTGCCAGCTGTATCTGGTGTCCTTCCCCCGGAGCCCTGGTGCTGCTGACACAGGCCTATCCCGAAATTAAATGGCAAAAGTTCACAGCAAATGTCAGGCTGGGCTAAATTTAAAGAGGACGGGAAGGAGCTGCCTCCCCTGGCCAGGCCCATCCCTTTGTGATGCAGAGAGGGAGGCAGATACCTGGAGACCCCACCCCTACCCCCACCCCAATCTCTGGAAGGCTGAAATTGGGGTGGGTGGGGCAGATCTCCTGGATGTTCAAATGCAACTGGGTATGCGGAATGAAAGTTGGGGGGGGGGGCTGCTTTGCTTGGTCTTTGAACCTGAAGCCAGGTCAGCTTAGTGATCCACACAGAACATAAACTATGGAACTCCCTGCTGCAGGAGGCCACCCACATGGATGACTTTAACGGAGGAGTAGACATATTAATTGAGTGGGGGGCTGTTGATGGCTGCTAGCCATGATGGCGGAAGGCAGCAATGTTTCTGAATACTACTGGATGGAAACTGGGAGGGGGGGTCGCATTTCTTTCCCTCACCTACCACCTGAGGCCTGCAGAGCTCAAAGCGAAGGGCTGGAGCCTTGGGGTGGAACACCTGCTTGGCATGCAGAAGTTCTCCCCCTAACAGACCCCCAAACAGAAGGGGTTTTGCTCTCCAAGCTTCAGGTGGGCGTCTTAGGGCTTTTTGGCCCTCCATCCTGACCCGCGGATGGGAGCAGGTGGCCTCTCTCTCCCGCAGGCGGCGGGGAAGCGTCTTAAGCAGCTATTAATACCCCCGACCGAAGACTGGCTTGGATACCCCGCCTCCCCTGTCGCCCCGCCCTCCGGAGGGGCAGCTTCGACCCCTGGAGCCACGGGGAGCGAGAGGACGGAGCTTGCTGGAACCCAGACATGCAAAGGGCACGCGGGGGGGGGGGGTCCGGAATAAGACACCGGGAGGAGCCCGGGGGGGGGGGAGGCTGACACCAGTTCGAAGAAGGCACGGAGTGCGAAAGGTCAGGCAGGAGGCAGACGCTCCACAGAAGTACTTGAAGGAGCACCCCCCAAAAAAAAAGTATTCCCCCTCCCCAATCCTTCCTCCCAGGTCACCGTCTAGTCTCACTGAAGGAAAGGAGTAAACTCCTTGCTCCCTCCCCCAGCCGACTTTGGAGGGGGGGCAACCCTGAGCGGACACCCACACCCCTCCACCGGCCCAGGTAGGGGGGGGGCAAGTAAGCACCGCCCCGTATATTGATCACATGACGGAGCTCACCCATACCATTTGAATGTCAGTACCCATCAACTTGTGGGGGGACTCAAATATTTGGGGGGGCTCCTATGGGCCCAGGGTCCTCCCTCGGCTGGGGGCCACGAGCCCCTCCCCCCTCCGGACCTCTCCCCCCTCCCGCGCTCCTTTGATCTCCTCCTCTTCCTCCTCCTTCCCAGACGGGCTCTCCCACCTTGGGGTCCTTCTCGTAGTAGTACTGCTGGGTGCGGATCCATCGCCCGACGAGGTGGTCGCGGACTGTGTGGGCGAGGGCGAAGTAGTAGTCGCGCGGGGTGGCGACGTTGCGGTCCTTGACGAGGGTGAAGTGCAGGTGCCGGTTGAAGTTCTTCTTCAGGTCCGTCACGTTCTCCACGCCCGCCAAGCCCCGCACGCTGATCTGCTTGCGCTTCTCGTGGTCGGACAGTGGCCGAGACATCCTGGCGGCAGGGAGAGTGGCGCGGAGCGGCCGGCTAGGTAGATGGCAGGAGGAGGACTCGACGGGGCGGGCTCCGGGGGCGCTGCGCTCTCCGCTTCGGCACCAGCAAATGCGCCCCAAGCCCCTCCCCTGGGGCGCTATTAAACCCCCGGCCCCTGCTGCATTATTCAGGAGGGGGGGAAGGACCGCCCCCTCGCGCCTTCGACCCCGCCCACGCGCCCAGGGAATCCCCCGCCCCTCCTACGCCTCGCGGGGAGAGAGAGCCCAGAGGCTGCAGCTCTGAATCGGGAACCACAGTGGTACCTTGGTTCTCGAACTGAATCCGTTCCAGAAGTCCGTTCCATAACCAAAGCTTTCCAAAAACCAAGGCACGCTTTCCCATAGAAAGTAATGCAAAATGGATTAATCCGTTCCAGACTTTTAAAAACAACCCCTAAATCAGCAATTTAACATGAATTTTACTAACGAGACCATTATTCCATAAATTGAAAGCAATAAATAATGTACAGTGGTACCTTGGGTTAAGTACTTAATTCGTTTCGGAGGTCCGTTCTTAACCTGAAACTGTTCTTAACATGAAGCACCACTTTAGCTAATGGGGCCTCCTGCTGCCGCTGCGCCTCTGGAGCACAATTTCTGTTCTCATCCTGAAGCAAAGTTCTTAACCTGAAGCACTATTTCTGGGTTAGCAGAGTCTGTAACCTGAAGCGTATGTAACTCGAGGTACCACTGTACTGCAGCCACACAATCAATCAAGCAGTAGCTGAACTGGGTTCCACACAGTCACAAAAACAAAACAAAAAAACCTGCAAAAACAAAAGTGCAAAATAAATAGCAAAAACAGACCTCAGCGTAACACTCAAAACAGAAGTGTGGCACTGAAAATGGAGCATGTTCAGCTTCCGGGAAAAGTTTGCAAACTGGAGCACTTACTTCTGGGTTTGCCAGGTTGGGTTCCAAATTGTTTGAGTACCAAGACGTTTGAGAACCTGTACTGCAGTGACAGAAGAGCTGGAAGGGTCCCTGGGAGCTGGGATCTCTTTGACACACACACACACCCAATAAAATATTTGAGGGGGCCAGGCCATGGGCGTAGCCAGGATTTATTTTAGAGAGGGCAGGCTTCATGTTGGGGGGGCAGAACCAAATTATCCGCAATGCAAGTGGTCAGTTAGTCAAGTATTTTATTATTATTATTTTTTTACTTGATAGGGGCAGCTGACCCCTGCAACCCCTGGCTGTGCCCCTGGGCCAGCCCCACCTCACCCCAAGTTGATGGACATTCTCATTCAAATAGTGTGCATATGCTGTGTAAAGTGATTGATTATGCATGGAGGGACTTACCTGCACCCCCCCAATATTATATTCAAGTTGGAAACCCTGGAAGGGTCCCAAAGGGTCATCTAGTCCAACCCCTTGCAATGCAGGAATTGGGATTCTTATTATTATTCATAAGGCAATATAAGACTGTGCGTGGGATAGTACTTGAGTTTCAAATAACCTCCCTTGCTAGATATCAATAAATAAGGATGGGATAAATAGCTAAATATATACAGGTTTTTTATCCCACACTGCTTGCTCGTTCAAAGTCTGCTATATTAAGGGTTAAACTTAATAATTTCCCCCAAATGCCTCCAAATAGCAGATACAAATTTATTTTCCCTTGCACTTTCTGATGCAAGTAGAATACAACCAAGTTCCATTTTTTTCAATCAAGACACCTTCCATTCTCCTGCCTTCTCTCTCATCACCAACCTTGTGAGTTTAGGCACCTCCCAGAGCCAATAATTTCCCTGTGGAGGACGAGGAATTTCCCCCGTTTTTGCGGATTACCATTTTGCTGCTGCCTGTACATCGGCTGTCATTTCCTGGTTGGAAGGTATTCAAATATTAATATTACAAATGGAGCTCTGGGGAGATCCTGGCCAAGATTTGTTTTACAGTGGTACCTCGAGTTACAGACGCTTCAGGTTACAGACGCTTCAGGTTACAGACTCCGCTAACCCAGAAATAGTACCTTGGGTTAAGAACTTTGCTTCAGGATGAGAACAGAAATTGTGCGGCAACAGTGGGAGGCCCCATTAGCTAAAGTGGTACCTCAGGTTAAGAACAGTTTCAGGTTAAGGTCAGACCTCCAGAACGAATTAAGTTCTTATCCCGAGGTACCTTTTGCTTCTATTAATACAAGCATTCCCAAATGATGTGGAAGATGTTTGCCTTTGCAGGGTTTTGCATCTACATTGCGGACTGTTTATTGTTGCATATATCATGTTCACTCCAGTTGGGGGGGGAGGGGTTAAAATACCAGTGAGCCATGATTTTCTATATGAAAAAATATTTAGGCATTATGCAAATTTATAAGTGTTCTTCCAAGCCCAGGTCCATTTTTATCAAGATATATTACTGTGCATATCCACATTCCACTTTAATTGGAATTTGTGCTGAAATGTTTCCAATTATGTGATTATATTATATTATACATTTGTCCCTGAGGTTCCTTTCAGCTTATTGTTTCTAAAAGCCAGTGATTCAAAATTTGTACTATCTATCAATGCCCCAAACATTCTCAATAAGTTGCTTATTATATGCCGTACCTGAAGTTACTGAATGAAAGGAGAACCCTCTGTCACACACAACTTGATGGTATGTTTTGACAAGGCCTTTTATCATTGCTCTTAATTCAATTAACACATTTCCTTACCCCAATTTGAATTAATAGTTTAACTGATGTTCCAGAGTGTACTTTTTTATTTCAGTCGTTTTCATTTTGTTTTAATTTTGTAATGGTGGTGTTTAGGACTGCCATATTTTGAAGAGTGAAAAAGAGGACATATTTGCCAACTTCTACTTTTAACTATGGATTGCTATGGATGGTTCTACCCATGAAAAAGAGCGTGTGTCCTGGAAAAAGAGGACAAATGGCAGCCCAGCCAACCACATTTTCAAATGGTTAGGCATTGTAAAAACATTTTATGCTGGGAAAAGCCAGTCCTGCCCCTGATATTTTCTGTGGGCAGAATGCAGTTTTATATTTTGTAATGTTTTGCAAGTGACAGCCAAACCACTCTGACTTATAGCGTGAGATTTGTCCAAATTTGTCTAGCGTCTTTAAAAGAGGTTCAAATTATTATTCTCATCTTTTGAGATTAGCACTTGATCATCTGCATACAGCTTTCTTTTTAGATTCCCTTTTTCATCCCTGAAAATCTTTGTTCTGGTCTATTAGCTTTGGCCAAAGATCCTATTATGGAGGTAATGTGAAGGTTTCTCGATTTGCTTCACTTATGCATACTGAGGCAGTAGGATTCGAATAAATCAACTTAATCCAGGAGGCAAAAGTAGAACCCACTCCCATTTTGTACACTGCTTGAAATAAATGTCTCCACATCACTCTGTCAAAAGCTTTTCCTGCATTTATAAACTGCAGTCCGTGCAGGTTATCTATCTATATCTATCTATCTATCATCTATCACATTGATATCCCATCTTTTCCTCCAAGAAGACCATTTGAGACATTTTAATAAAATTCAGCAGTAGAGGTTTCAGGGCCTGTGGCTTATTCATTGCTGTCATTTTGCCTGTCCATTGACTGCTTTTGCACTTATTGTGCATTTTCGGGTTGGACTACATGATCCTCAGGGTTCCTTCCAATTCTATTATTCTATGACTATGTAATTGGGCTCCTGAGACTTTTCTGTATCCTAATGAGTGGGGGGCGGAGCTTTGAGCTTTCTAGAGGCACATGGAGAGCAACCAAATGCTGAATGAGATGAACCCCACTTTGATCAAGGCAATCCCTACAGTCCCTGCCCAGCTCCTCCCTTTTGGGCAAGCAAAGCCTCAAAATCCTCCCTCCCCAGCCTGAGTTATGACAAGCAGGTGCCACTCAGCCACCCTGCCGACCCCCGAAGAGATCAGTGGAGGAAAACTGCCTGGCAACATTCTTTTCTATTTTGGGCCTCGTCTGGCATGGATGGTGTTGAGTGGGTGTCTTGACAACAACATGACCGGTGAGCGGGTGGTGGGGGAGGTTACACTCTGCTTGGTTTTGAGGTGGGTGTGCAATAGGGCTTGTGTCTCCCCTGAACCAATGCATCCCCCCCCCATCCACAGACCTAAGCCCCAATTCCAGATGCTGACAAATGTTTGGAGGTATGGTAAGCAGGTAGATCTGTATTGCTACAATAGTCCTGTTGCAAATGCAGAATTTGTTTAGGCAGTGACTTGCAAGCCTGTCTTTACTGCATGCTGGGAAAGTCTATAGTAAAATAAACGTATGAAAAAGGCAAACCAACTAGACCCAAATCCAAGCCCCCTTATAGCATGGAAAGAATCTTAAAGCTTTCCCTTTCACGATACCCAAGAACTGAACAGGGAAGCTGTAGAGGAGCTACAGCCAATGTTCAGACTGCGAAAGACAAGACTCAGCAACAGCATAGGAGCAGGTGAGGAGCAGGGCATAGGGTGCTTCAGGAAGGTGACCCTGCATGCACAACTTAAAAGAAGACCTGGTTTTGATACATTTGCAAGTCTCCCACTTTGTATCTCGCCTCTGCCCTGGGCTTGCTATTCACACACTGCCTGCGCTTCCTGTCTCCTGTTCCCTACCCTGCAGAGCTCCACACCACCTTTATGCCAGCAGCACCAAGCCCCTCCTGTCCCTAGGCCGTTTTTCTCCCATTTAATTTCCTTTTAATTTCCCTAACAGAGACTACACTGATTATCAATAATCTATTGCCGACAACCAGCCCCAAGCAGTTAAGATTATTCAATAAATAGCTGGGGAGTTGCTGTCAACAGTCCAGAGGTGGGGGGGTGGGGGCAGGGGGGGTAGGGCTTGATTTATACACACACACACACACACACACACACACACACACTACTGTGAAAACCCCTGTAACACCCGGTAAATCTCCTGCCCGCCTAGAACTGATTCCCACCTCTTTCTTCCTCCCCGCTTTCCCTGTAATCCTCTTTTATCTGAGCTTCTAATGCTCTTCCTCCTAATTCTCTTTCCCCTGATCCTTATCATCAGTCTACCTAATTTCACTCAATTTCTCTCTCTAATCTTGTTACCAGTCTAATCTCTCCAGTCAATGTTCTCAATCCCTCACACTGCTACAAACAAACCATC